ATAATTGTGAAACGCTGAAAAGCTATTTTTAGTAGATTAATCATGTTTTGTTTTTTTTAGTTATATTTTTAACACGCTAGCGGAATCACGTTTCAAAAACATAAAAAACGTAAAAACGTGAAAACGTGATGAATAACATGAATGGTAAAAAATAACAGAATCAAGTTTCCAAAACGTGAAAACGTGAAAAAGCTGCATACCATTCAAACCCATGAGTCTTTACATCTAAGATTATAAGACTTGAAGTCTGTAAATAATTCTTATTATGTTAAAGATTATGTGAAGAGAAAATTACTAATCCAGAGTTGCTAGAAGACATACTTTAATCCTTAGATAAATAATGTTGTCTTGTAGACAATATAAATGAAGTTTAAGAACTATTTTGAAAAGATAATGAGCTATTAATAAAAAGTTCTAAATTATGTCCAATTCATTATGATCTATTCCTTGAAGTGAATGTGATATTATATAGTGGGACAGAAAATAATCATGTCAATAAAACTAGTCAAGGAAGCTCAAGAAGTGGTCATGATGTGGATATGGTCAAAGACTAGATCACAAGTTTTATTTCATCAAGAAGTATTTCAAGAAGTTTTATAAACCAGAAGTAGTTCTCTTGTCTAAAGATGAAATAAACTAATGTGAGTACAAGATCTAGTAATATATGTAATTGAAAGCTATAGAAGAGTATATATATTTGCCAGTTGCAATTATTGATGCATTATATCTCCCAAGTCTCAAAAGTTTAAAGAATCAAAGATATAAGACATGATCCAAGTTGGATATGTTATTGATTCTAGATTGGGATCCAATTCAAAATAGATGAACCTGAAGTGTCATCATCTTGAGGGAGAGAATTGATGAATCTCACAATCCATAGTAAGTAAAACATCTAGAAGATTATGTTCAAAGTCAAAATGATCTTGATGAATCATTTATAAGGCAATTTTAATGGATTTCAAAGTTAATCAAGTTAAGACAATAAAGAAGGAAAATTTGAATACCTTCAAATCTAGAGTATTACCAAATGCAGTAAAAGTATTTTGGTGAAATTACATACACTCTCTAATAGATTGTAATATATAAAAATTATATAATGGGGATAAATGTTATATAGTGAACCAGAAGTTTAAGGAATATAACATAGTTTGGCATGAGTTGGTTAGACCATTCCGGTTCAAGAAATATGCAGAAATAATTAATAGGTCTATAGACATTCATTGAAGAACTTGAAGATTCTTCCTAATGATTTAATCATATGACAAATATGATATTATGATTTTTACTAGCCAAAATAGATTTGAAATCTATTTCATTTCCTAGAAAGTTTACAAGGAAAAGTTTGTGGTTAAGTAATTTAATATATTGAATATCTGCAACTTGAAGTTTGCTAGATCCCTTGGCAATGTTAGTGAATTCATGTCTTAAGCTTTTGATAATAAAATCATAAAAAATAAATATTGAACATTTAATAGCAAATGTTCATACACAAAATCCAGAAGTATTAAATCGCATAAAGCCAACAAGTAATCAAAGTTCTTCCATCAAATCTGGTTTTGGGTCAGAAACCAAATATTTTCCATCTAAATGATTTGGATGTGCAATATATATCCACATTGATCCACCACAACGTTATAAGATGGATCCTCAAATGAGGTTGAGAATATATGTTGGATATAAATCTCCATTGATAAATAAGTATGTAGAGTCCATCCATGAAGGATTTATATTGGGCTCGATTTGTAGACTGTCATTTTAATATGTCAGTAATTCCAATATCAGGGAGAGAAAAGAAACAGCTGGAAAAGATAAGTTGGAATGAACTATCATTGATCCTCAGACTAAAGAATGTGAATAAAGTCCAAAAGATAATTCATTTACAACGTTTAATAAATCAGTTGCCAGAAACATTTACTGATCCAAATAGAGTGACAAGATCACATACCAGCTATAAAGGCTACAATAAAATTTAATGTTCCAGAAAGACAATATCAAACTGCTAAAGAATCTAAAGAACGCATGAAGTGTGATAAACTTATTGGTTCCCAACATAAATATCCTCAGAAAAGAAAAGGAGCAGAATATGACAATGGTCAGACTGAGGAGATAGATTTTGAATGATCTCAAGAAGAGACATTAAACATGACAAGAAAGAAATTCAGGTACCTGAGACAATAAAGAGATCGATCTCAACAAATTATGTCATGTGTAGAATAAAATGGAACCGAAAAGCAAAACGACGTCGTAAATATTTTTGCATGCAGTGTAGCAGTTGATATGATACATGAGAAAGAGGATAGTGAAATCTATTGCAAAGTGTACACAAAGATATGATTGGCCAAATTATAAAGAAGCAATAGTCATATAGTTAAAATCTCTTGAAAAGATATAAGTATTTGGACCAGTTGTCCATACACCTAAGGATGTAAAACCAGTGGGATATAAAGAAGACTTTATATGAAAGAATGATATATATAAAATTAAATATGAAGAGACAAACTCTTCTGTGGTGGATGCAACTACTTTCAAGTTCCTCATCAGTCTGGCAATAAGAGAAGAACTTGACTTATACTACCCACTGGATAATGAAACTTAAATTTAAAATCCCAAAAGGATTAAGATTGTCAAAATCATATTCCTGAAGATTCTAATTATTTGATCGAATTAAGACAATAACATTTTATGTGGTATAAGTGAATATTATAAGGTTAACCAATATACCCATATGTATTTACCAAAATATTATGGATCAAGAGGATCCTAGATTTGAATATAATCAGATCTCTTGAAGAGTTATCCCAAGTTGTAATTTGGAAGAAAAATCTTTGGAATAGACGATATTGTCTTTAAATGTTCCAAATTGAGATATCTAAGTGGTAGAGATATTATCTCAAATGATCCTTGTAGGATTTGACATAAAGAATGCTCACAATATTTTTGATCCTAAGTACAATACCTAAATTGCTAGTTGAGCAATGTATAGATCTATTTCATAATTGAAAGATGTGATTTAGTATAACAAGAAAGAAAGCTAAAATACTAAAGAAGAGCATGAATGACATCTTATGTATCAGTATGTTCCATACAAGTTTAGAATGCTGTAAGTAAAATGAAGTTTGGACTTGAAGTTCAAAAAGATCAAGAAATGGTTGTTTATATGAAAAAGTTGTTATGGACAAAAAGTCTAATAACCTAAGAGATTATAAGATAATCATATGAGTTTATTCATTCAGCTTATACTTATAATGATTGCCAAAAGATGGTATATATGATTGGAATGCATCTCCTGAAGAAGATACTTCCAAGGGGGAGAAATATGATGATGTGTGCGGTTGTACTCTTTTTCCTTATCATGGTTTTTATCCCATTGGGTTTTTCTATGAAAAGTTTTAATGAGGCAACAAAGAACACGCAAATGATAGACATCTAAAAGAGAAATTTAAAGATGAAAGTTTATCACCCCTCCAAAGTATTTGTCATACTTTAATAAGATCAAGTAAAGAGAATGATCAATATGAATCATTATCAAGAGTCATGCATTGCAGAATAATAGTGGCGTATATATCCTACAAATTCATTCAAGTGAAGATTCAACAGACAGATTTGCCAAGGCATCACTTTCAAGAAGTTATTTCATCATACTGGATTGCGTCATCTCAAAGATTTCAAGTGGTGCAGTCATGAGGGGGAGTTAATGCGCGCTGCACTCTTTTTCCCTTAGCTATGGTTTTTCCCATTGGGTTTTCCTAGTAAAGTTTTTAACGAGGCAGTTTCATACACGCTTTAAAGAACAATTTGTATAATGAACATCAAGGGAGAGTGTTATGAACTATTATGTGATGTCCATTATAAGTCCATAAGACCCATCTTCTAAAAGATTCTAGAGTTACTTGTAAACTAGGTTTTACTTTATCATCAAGTAACCCTCTCTTTGTACTCCTATATAAAGGACTACATATTTATTGGAATAACACAACATCAATTCCTTCTATCTCTTCTCTCTATTCACAACAATATTAAAATTGTTTTTTTTTGTTTAGTTTTGTTAGATTTTTATTTTAATTTTTTTAACCAGTCGTTCATTTTGTTGAAAGACACGCACAAATAAAACAATCAAATAATCATTCTTCATGATCAGTTCTATTTGACTTTCTTTTTTTAAACTACGGGGAAAAAATAATCTACAAAAAATGGTCGATCTCCGTATAATTAGCTTTATATCCAAACGACTACGAATCTTGATAAGGATTGGGTACATGTGGTTGGGAGAGAAGTACAACGACGAATCTCTTTGTACCACTGATCATCACTAATCATTCAATGCATCACCAAAGACTTCCACAATGTAAGAACGTTGACACGTTTTTGGTATGCCGTAGAGTTGACATCAAGCCTCATGACGCTAACGCTTCTTTTCATTTTTTTAACATTATAAGTATTCTCTTACGACAAATAAAATCGTATAATGAGAGATATCATTGAATTCAAGAGATATTGGACGTTTACTTTTCTTTGTTTCACATTAGCAGCCTAATGTTTTTAAATCTGGTCCACGCATAAATCTATATATAATCCCATCTATAAACGCTTCTAAGTTTTTCCCACCGTTATTTTAATTAAAATTATGGTATTCACACCGTATTCATGGATTGCGTCATTGTTACTTTAGAAGATCTTGTTATCCAATTCCAAAAAGGATAACCCAAAAACGCTGTAAAAGACTTGTTTAGTTCGTTTAAAACTTAGATTTTAATGTATTTAGGTAATACACCATGACAGTCGACAAACCACCAATCACTAGTCTTAAAATGAATATATTAGCTATAAAAGGAAAACCCTTCAAAACGCTAATTCTGGTTTATTTATTTATATTAGTTGTTTTTTTTTTTGTAACCGTGGAGGTCTACATCTAATAGTAATGGGCAAAATTAGTTTCTAGCAAGTAATAATTATGACCACGTTTGGAAATTGTAATATTTTTGTTAGAACGCGTAATTCCCATGAATGGTTTGTCACAAATCCATAGCAACTTTGAAAAAATGTCTTTTATTGACTCATAGCTAACGTCTTTGTTTTAGCTACTCGTCAAAATAATCGTATTATATTTCTAAAATGACGTTTATTAAAATATTCTATTCAAATAAACACCCCCAAAATTAATATATTTATAGTCTTCTCAAGCCTTCTCTTCTTTGCAGTACTCATCCATTTTCTCAACAAAACTCAGAAACTTTCTAAACCAGACAAGAACAAGAGCACTATACTTTTCTTTTTGTTTGAAACTTCAAACGCAAGAAACAAGAAAGATATGATAGAGCTTGCTTTGACTCTGTATCTTCTCCTCTCATTTAAATGTGTCAATTCTGTTAATTCTCCTCCGACAAGAGAACAGTTTCAAAGTTGCTTGTCGACAAATCCCTCCAGTTCAATCCTCAAAAACCCTAAAAATCTTACTAACCACACCTCAGATTCCAGAATCCTCACCGACTTTTCCGAGTCTTCATCCCCAAATTCAAGTTTCCTCAACTTGAATTTCACAAGCCTGAAACCGATTCTGATCCTCAAACCGAAATCCGAATCCGAAATCAAAAGTGCAATACTATGCAGCAGGAAACTTGGCGTTCAAGTAAGAACCTTGAGTGGTGGTCACGACTACGAAGGCCTCTCGTACCTCTCACAATCACCGTTCATAATCATCGACCTCGTTAACCTCAGATCGATCAACATCAACCTCACAGAAGAAACCGCGTGGATCCAATCCGGCGCAACACTCGGCGAACTCTATTACAAAATCGCCAAAACCAGCAAGATCCATGCCTTCGCCGCAGGGATATGTCCGAGTGTTGGAGTTGGTGGGCATATTAGCGGCGGAGGATTCGGTACAATAATGAGAAAACACGGTTTAGCGTCTGATAACGTCGTGGACGCGCGTTTGATGGACGTAAACGGGATAATTCGCGACAGGAAAGCGATGGGAGAGGATTTGTTCTGGGCGCTTAGAGGCGGTGGAGCAGCGAGTTTCGGCGTTGTCTTGTCATGGAAGGTTAAGCTTGTTAGGGTTCCCGAGAAGGTAACTTGCTTCATAAGTCAGCATCCGATGGGAGCCAGCATGAACAAGCTTGTTCACCGATGGCAATACATAGGAGCAGAGCTAAACAAAGATCTCTTCATCAGAGTCATAATTGACAATAATCTAGAAGGGAATCAAAGAAGAGTGAAAACTACATTTCAAGCTCTGTTTCTTGGTGGGATCGATAGACTGATTCCTATGATGAACCAGAAGTTTCCGGAACTCGGTTTACGAGCTCAAGACTGCTCGGAAATGAGCTGGGTCGAATCGATCATGTTCTTCAATTGGAAATCAGGACAGCCATTGGAGACTATGCTCGACAGAGACCAGAGGTACGAGGATCTTTACTTCAAAGCAAAGTCAGATTTTGTGCAGAAACCAGTTCCTGAAAAAGTTTTCGAAGAAGTCACCAAAAGGTTTCTCGAGAAAGATACTCCATTGATGATCCTAGAGCCACTAGGTGGGAAAATCAGCGAGATTTCAGAAACTGAGTCTCCATATCCGCACAGGAGAGGCAATCTGTATAATATACAGTATATGGTGAAGTGGAAAGTGAATGAAGTGGAGGAGATGAACAAGCATGTTAGGTGGATGAGAATGCTTTACGATTACATGAGTCCTTACGTCTCTGCATCGCCGAGAGGAGCTTATTTGAATTACAGAGATCTTGATTTGGGAATGAATAAAGGAATCAACACGAGCTTTGAAGATGCGAGGAAATGGGGTGAGAGGTATTTCAGAGGTAATCTCAAGAAATTAGGTTTGGTTAAAAGGAAGATTGATCCGACGAATTTCTTCAGGAACGAACAGAGTATTCCTCCTCTGTTTTGATTTGATTTCTCCGTCAATACCAGGTTTTACAGATGTTGTATATTATGTTTTCATTTATACATAGTGGTGTAACTTTGTTGTTAAACTTTTCAAAGATGTAAAAGTGAATGTCTTCTTGTAGTAGATATGTACCCAATGCGGTTTAGCCGAACCAGGAATAATTGATTCAAAGACCGAGTTGAATAAGAAATGTTAAACCGATTTTCAATTTCTTTAGTGATCCTTCGATTCAAAAACTAACAGAAACTGAACTGAAAACAGGTTTTAGGCACCACTAGATATGTTCAAATATGGTGTGATAGTATACAAGTAGTTAACAGTCATTTGAATCACCTGATGAATCAGAGAATACACAAGATCAGCGAGAGTTTTTCGACACCTCGAAAATGGCAAACAGAAGCAGGAAGTGTTCTCTGATCAGCTCTTCTTCTCGGCGGCTTTAATACCAGGAAGTGTTCCAAAGACTTTGTCCCAGAGAGACGAAGTGATTCCATATCCTTTGTTCTGAATTCTAAAGTGATGATTCAAGTGATATTTCTGTAAAAACGTATACCAAAATCTCATCAGCAATTCAGAAGAACGGGTTTGAATTCTGAATGCCAAAAGAAAGAGTCTTTTAGAGGGATTTTCTTACCTTAAGATGTTTAAAGGTTGGTTCTTTAGGTTGACCATGGTGTAGATAGTAATGAGTACAATCATACATCACATAGCCAAACAAAATACCTCCAAGCAGAGCAGGAGCTGTAGCAGGAGTAGCTAAGAGATGGAGCAACTTCCATAGCTATCACAAGGAAATTTGAAGAACATCAAACAAAGTTTCCATTTTGAGACAAAGAACGAATGAAAAAGATTCCAGATTTGAATCAAGCGCAGATACTTACTGGAACCAAGAGAATAGCTGTTGCGGTAGGAGGAAAAACAAGACGAAGGCCGTCCTGTGGGTGCTTATGATGGCATCCATGAAGAAGATAATGCGCAGTGTTTGCCCTAAAAGAATAAACAGAATCAGCTTCGTGATGAAGCTAAGGTTTTACATAGTCACAGATGTAGAACTAACCAGTAACTCTTGGTTTTGATGTGGAAAAGGAAACGATGAAGTGTATACTCGAGCAGTGTCCATGTGAGTACGCCAAAGGCAACTATTAAACCGATCTGTGGAAACGTAAGTCCCTTCCTCGCTGATATTGAAAGAACATAGCAAACAAATGGAAGCCAAATTGTTGGGATCGCCCACCAAACCGTACGAGTCAAGAACTGCTCAAAAAATCCCAAAAAAAAGGATTTGATCAGAACATAGAGCATGACATAAAAGAAGATAAAATTTACAGAAAGGAAGAATTTTTACCTCCCAAAAATCACTTTGGAAAAAACGAGGACCCTCTACGCATACTATAGGTTGATGAATCCATTCCTGATATTCTTCGCCAAGATGACCAACCTGATGAGAAAAGAAGTTTCTTTCTATCAGTAAATTGATGCATTTCAAATATCAAAGTACCAGACTGTGAAACAGAGCTTTGCCATTTTGTTACTTTCATTTATCGATCTTACATGATGAATACAGATAAAAGAGCATCACCTGAAAGACAAGTGGCTTATCCAAATCGACTGTGAAGCGTTCTGCAACCATCTTTGCCACTTTAATGAGACTGCTCGCTGGAAAAAAAAAAAAAAAAAAAAAAAAGTGAATACATGATCTTTCTGATGCAAGAAGAAACTATGCATAAACTCTTATCATGAAAAACGAAAATCTCAAAGAAATATATAAGCTTTTATTAACAGATTCCAGGATTCGAAAGCTTGCAGTACTGTTGAAAACAAACATAGAGTGTTGAAAACAGACATAGAGAATGAACAGTATACCATCAAAGGTAAACCAAAATTCAAGATTCAATTGCTAAGCCATAGAAGATTTTCCAATCAAACTGAACCCAAACCAAAAACATATACAATCTTACTGTGATGCCGAATTGAAACTGAACTCACACAAAATAAAAATATTGATGGAAAAATAAAATCGGCAGGACCTTCATCTCACAAGAATATATAGCATAATTCTACTGATTGAGGAGTATTTATTGCCAGAAAACTAGATTTCAGGCCTAAACCAGGTGCAAATCATCATTCAATAATGGAATCTAAAATAGAATAATGCATTTGGCATCAAAGGATTTGGGGAAATACAAATCTAAAGCTCGATTTGCAGAAGGGAACACAAATATGAATCTCATCCAGATCAATGAACCAACAAAAAGTAGTGTAATTGTAAGATTCTCATCATCTACCTCAAGACACAGCTAATCAAGGAAGAGCCTTGACAATGTTGTTAAAGACCAAAACTTTTAAAAATCAGATTTCCTCGGAAACCATAAGGATAAAACCAAGAAACCCGTCAAAGGAGACGAAAATTCAACGAAGAATAAAGAATCCTAGAGGGGGAAATAAGGCAGCATTCTTCCGAATTTACGAACAAAATCCCGAACTTTTTGCAATTAAATAAAATAAGGTAAGAAACGATCCAAATCGAGGAGGAGTAGGATATCGAGAGAAGAAATTGATGAGAATGCGAATAAGATCTGAGGCTTTTCTTTACCTTAGCGGAGAAACAAGAGCCTCTCTGCGTAAGAGACTCGCTTACTCTCTCTTTCAATGAGGTGGAACAAACAACAACACTCTGTCACACGACGATGGGTTTATTGCTTCTCCCCTTGATAATGTTCGGCCCACGTTTTGCTAATCTTTATGGTGCTATTTTGTAAGACTTCTCAAAATAAAATAAAGGATTTTTATTGTATATTTAGATGAAAAAGTTTTTTTTTGTGTAAAATCCACATTCTAAATATATTTTGCTTTAGAGAAATACCATATATAGACAAATACTATAGAAATGGTTACCTTTTTGTCTAAATTTGTTAAATTCTTTTATAAGATTTGCTAAAAATAAATGCTTATAATGGTAAATTACAACACATGCCCATTTGTTTGAAAGACAGTCATAATGATATTAATGGTTTGAAAATTTAATTTTAAAACAAAAACATAGGCTTTAAATTTATCAAACAGTACAAAAAAGCAATAACACAAGTTTAAATGCTCATGTCGTAGGATTCCTCTTTTTCCACTTCTAAGTTCTGACAAGTTTCAGAGCTACGCATGCGAAAGGTTTTTCTCTTTGCCAGCTCAAGGGATACGTCGAAACTATAAACCATCATATGATTCATATCGATAGACGATAGTCATAGACTTTTAGTAATGGATTATTAATTTTATTTCAGTTTTGTTTATATAAATTAATTATAGATAAACTCTATAATTCATTTTACGATGATGATACAACGATGTAAAATTGAAATGTACGCTTAGTATTATTTTTGTGGAAAGCATACAGACGAAGGGATCATATATCTTTTGGCTAATCATGAATTCATAATAAAACTATGATTTGCCAAATTTATGTAAAACTATAGACAATAGTAAGGCTCGTTGAATAAAAAACTATACAATAAAAATGCGCCTAGCACATTACCAACATACAGATGTGGTCTTGTGGATGTGATGTGTTGTTTTTTATAGAAAAAATACAGATGGGGCCTGTAGACCCTTTACATCTGTTGGGAACTACTCAACTCGCAAGTCTATGTATATACATAAATTAGTAGACATGACCACAAATCTTAATGGTATGCATGATATAGCAATGACGCTTTCCACTACTATATGCACACTATGAACTAGGTCAAGATTTCATTCAGTGCAACATTATATATTTATTTTGAGATATTTTTCACAGATACTATTTCATATAGAATAAATACGGTCTTCTTTAACAGAATCTCTTAAATTTCTTGTTTAACAACATAGCCATCCGATTACTGTCTTGTTTTTCATTTTCTTAATTTCCAAATAGGGAAGAGCTTGTATTCTTTTTTTTTTTTTAATTATATATTTATTATTAAACCATCCCAAAATGGGCTTAGGAAATAAGAGCCTCGACAGAGCTTGTATTCTTTCTTTTTTTAATAAAAAGTTTCTTCTTTCAAGAATGATTGGATCCAATTTCATAAAAGTTGATTTTAGCAACTGTGGAAGACCAAAGATATGCTAAAGCGGCCGCACGATTAACTCGTGAAGGACACATCCGATACACTACACCATTATTAGATTATCTTTGGATGTATCAAATGCTATGAAATGTCGAATATATATGGTCGACTCAGTAATTTGATAATGACAACATCATGTGTCTTCGTCAATACCGCCACATAAACTTACAAAACCATATTCACAAGTTAGTGCATTGGTCTTTTTTGGCCGACACACACCTTAATGCTCTGCGCCTTTCATTACATAAACAATGACCATTTTGTTTAAATATAAATTACGTTTTTTCTTCCTTCACAGTAAACAACAACTTTGACTCTTTGACCATCATTTATAATAACAATATTTTCAGTTTTTTAAAAAATTTACAGTTTCATAAGCAAACAATTGTAGCTTCGAACTGCCAACCACCCAACAACACTCCCGTCGTCAACACCGTCACCGTCAGCAACTAACGGCGATCCGTGGGGCCTACCACTTGCCACGGAAACACAACAACAACAAAATTCCCAAGGGCTGATTTTTTTTTTTCTCTTTCTTCTCTTCTGTTCAGAGACTGGTTTTTTTAGATTTGCAGCAGACAACTCTCAGAATCAGACACCAAGAGAGTGTCAGACCAATAGCTACGACTTTCCCGCTTAACAATCCAGCAAGAGCAATCACTATCAGAACCATCGCTTTCGTTAGATCCCCTTTTGATCCAGTTTCTTCTTCTTCCTCTTCGACAGCCTCTTCACAGCTCTCCAACAATGGCGGATTCGAACCGATCTCATCTTTTTCAGAGATTTCGCTCTCGACTATCTCCTCGGAATACAAACTCGACACTTCCGTCACAGACTCTTCCTCTTCTCCTTCTTCTTCAACTAGCTCAATCTCCTCCTCTTCCTCTTTTTCTTTGATCTTCATCTTCCTCTTCTTCTTATAATTTCTTAACTTCTTCGGCACGATTTTCTTCACGATCTTCGATTTCAGCTTCGCGCTTTTACTCTTCTCCTTCGTAAACACCACATCTCTAATCGTCTGCACTTTCTTCTCCTCCGCCACCGGTTTTGACTTATCCAACGTCGACGACTCCTCCCAGTTCGGTTTCTTCTCCGATTGAGGAACTCGAGTTTCCTCAATGCAATCTCTCGATTCTTCGAAACTTTCGACGATTTCAAAAGAGACCTTGCTTCTTCTCTCGTGCGTCGATGGTGATTCTTCTAGCTTATCTTGCCGCCGCTTCCCTATGAGCTTTCCGATCAACGAATCGAGCCGAACCTGCGCGCCGGGGCAAAGATTGAGGAGCGTGAAGACACGCGCCACCGTTAGCTCGAGGAAAATGAGTGCGAATGCGGAGATAGTGATTCCCACGGCGAGCCTTTTCGTGCTTAAGGCGAGCACAGCCACCACGAAAACCTTAACCACCACCACCATGAGAACGCATCCTCCTCCGCCGCGATTACCGCCGTTGCCATCGTCGTCACTGCCATGCCTATTCTCGAAGGTTGAGCCACCTCCACCGACGAAACTTTCCTCGATCTTACTCGTCGCGGGATCTTCCGTAACCGACGCTGTATCAAGCTTCTGAGGAAGCGACCTACGCCGCTGCACAGGAGGAGGCGGAGACGAAACGCGCCGTCGTGGAGGAAGGGAATGTATCGGAGCGGTTTGTGTCTGGGCTTTGTTGTTGTTGCTGCTGCGTTTTGAAGAAGATTTCTTGAGACGATCGCGATTCTTAACGAAGAGATCGATTAGAGAAGTCGGGAATCCAGTCTCGACAACGAGAGATCCGCCGTGTTTTGGAGATTGTTGGAGGTCCGATACAAATCTCGAGATCCGACCCGATTTCGATTTCTTCCAAGGCAAAGGCATGACGAATGTGAAAGGAAAGAGAAAGACCTTGTTTGTTTTTGTTTTTGATTTACCTCTCCGAAGAACCCAGAAGAAAGGGTTTGTGGAAGAGATAGAGAAGATCTGGTTGGAAGATCAAAACCATTAATAAGACATGGAGAAAGAAAAGGAAGAGAAAAACAATAAATGGAGAAGGCTTTTCTTTGCGCAGAAAGTGAAGGCGATAGAGAGAGAGAGAGGACGCGAGCTATATGATGAAGAAACCGCTAAAAAGACATTACACGACGACGCGTGCCTGAACCAATTATATATATACTTCTTCTTTTTTAATTTACTTTCCTATTTTTTTTGTTGGGGGTCAACTTTAAAATTACTCTCCTTTTTTGTTTTCGTTTTCCATATTTATTGTACAACTGTACTACAGTACTAGGTAAAATTTAAAGATTTTGCATTTTCAACTGAACCAGATAAAACCAAAACTAAAATCAAACCGAAAAAATATAGACAGCTTTCATTAAATTAAAATCGAACCAAAATATCAATTAGTCTTGCATTTATTCATTTAAAAACCAAACACAAATTAATCTTGCATTTAACATTTAAAAACCAAAAAGAATATAAAAGAAACGAAATTTAAATTCGAATTACAATTAGTCAGTTTATATATTTAAAAGCCAACTTTGGTATATTTAAAATTTACAAAAATTAATTTATCCAGCAAATATACAGTATGTAAGAAACTAACAATAAATGACTCTAACAGTAGCTTTAAAATCCTATTTGTTTATATATATATATATATCATTTGTTTTTTTTATACAAAGCCAGCCTGAAATTGAGTCAGATAGACGTACCTACATTTTTCCTAACCATTCCGAAATAGGTTTGATTTTTTGTTGTAAACCAACAAATTAGAGATATCTTGAACTAAAATAGACGGAAAACCAAAGTCTCCATCCATATTATCTTTAGACATTGACGTGCATGATTAATCGGTTTTAGACTTTTAGCTATTTTAAGTTTCTTACGTTTTTGTATTTTTCTAAAGATAAATTTGTAAAACTTCTTCTACAGTCAAAACTTAGAACTAGTAACAATCAAGCATCAACAAACTTCTCAACATTTAGAACCCCCCAAAAAAAAAACGTATCAACAAACTTTGTCTATATTTAGATGTTAATAAGCCTTCGTGATAGCTTACAAATTTGAACTGTTGATCCATATTATAAACTTGGAAGCAACTATTCGATAGTATACGCAACAATGCAACATATATTTATGTTTTCTACTTGTAATATATTCAACAGATCAACTATATTAAATCGTCTTCTTCTTTTTTCCCAAACTGATGAGTGTTGTATAGATTGTATTCATATTCGACCTAACTATATTAAGCATTATGATAGGTTGGCAACCTTTGGCATTGGCCTGTAAGCCATTTATTTCGCATTTCTATTATAAGCTAATCTAGGTAATTATGGTGGTTTGCTATAACAAACAAATGGCTATTACTGGTGTAAAAAGATTAAATTAGTTAAATACAACAAAAGGAAAATCCACTGATGACGCAACTTTGAATCTTTTGGTCTTTTATTTTAATATCCAAGGAAAAAAGGATTTGATCAAAAATTATTTGAAAACTAAACCGGTTTTAAAGAAAGGAAAATTTATATAGAAAACTGTTCCCTTTATATCTTTTCACGAAAAGTTTTATTATTAATAACAAAATATCTATGGAAAGATATTTATTTGATTCGCTGTCATACAGCACATAAAGAAACCAAATCGGAAACACAGAAACTATTATATTAGGGGATTATTACGAGATCAAGAAAATTAGAAGGACCATACCGCAAATTAGTTCAGGATTTTAAGAAAAAAGGACGTAAACTATATATAGCCGATTACTACCCCAAACAAAGATTCTTTTGTTTTTATACCCCTCAATCAAACAATTAAACAGAGGGAGTCGCCAATTTTTCTCATATTTTTCTCGAGAAAAAGACAAGCGATCCCAAGGAGAGAAAATATCTGCTGAAAATGAGAGAAATCCTTCATATTCAAGGAGGCCAGTGTGGAAACCAGATCGGTGCTAAGTTCTGGGAGGTCATCTGCGGCGAGCACGGCATCGACTACACCGGTCAGTACTGCGGCGAGTCAGATCTACAGCTCGAGAGGATCAATGTCTACTACAACGAAGCCAGCGGAGGCAAGTACGTCCCACGCGCAGTTCTCATGGATCTGGAGCCTGGAACCATGGACTCTCTCAGATCCGGGCCGTTCGGTCAGATTTTCCGGCCGGATAACTTCGTGTTTGGGCAGTCTGGTGCCGGGAACAACTGGGCGAAGGGTCATTACACGGAGGGAGCTGAGTTGATTGATTCGGTGCTCGACGTTGTGAGGAAGGAAGCTGAGAACTGCGACTGTCTTCAAGGTGAGATACGCGTTCGTTTTCTAGGTTTTCGGTTTATGAACCTCATTTGTTCCCGTTTGTATATGATTCGCTACGTTTTCCTCTTCCCGTATAACTTGAATCTAGATCTGCTATTGGATACTTCTTCGTTTTTCCTCGAGTTTCATCTTCGCGCGAGGGTTTTCTCTGTGATTACTAAAAGATCTCCCTGCTATCTAAGAAATGTATCTGACGACGTTCGTCGATACGTGTTGTTTCTGTAGTTTTGTTAGTACAAACCCTTCTCGTTCACCTGCTTATGATAGCTCGAGCGCCTATTAATCGTGAGACGCGCCATTCTCTGATGCACATTTCTTTGAACAGGTTTCCAAGTTTGTCATTCTCTGGGAGGAGGAACTGGCTCTGGCATGGGAACACTTCTTATTTCGAAGATTAGGGAGGAATATCCAGATCGTATGATGATGACCTTTTCGGTTTTCCCTTCTCCTAAGGTCTCCGACACTGTGGTTGAACCATACAACGCTACACTCTCCGTTCACCAGCTTGTTGAGAACGCCGACGAATGTATGGTTTTGGATAACGAAGCTCTCTACGATATCTGTTTCCGCACCTTGAAGCTTGCTAATCCCACTTGTGAGTTTTAAGAATCCCATTTCTTCTCTTTGTTTTTCCTATATTCATGTGATTGTGTTTTATGAAAATCACTAACATTGTTTTTCTTTCTTCTGTTGTTCCTTAGTTGGTGACCTTAACCACCTCATCTCAGCTACCATGAGTGGTGTCACATGCTGTCTCCGTTTCCCTGGTCAGCTAAACTCCGACCTTAGAAAACTCGCTGTCAACCTTATCCCTTTCCCAAGACTCCACTTCTTCATGGTTGGTTTTGCACCGTTGACATCAAGAGGGTCTCAACAATACAGCGCCTTAAGTGTCCCTGAGCTAACCCAACAGATGTGGGATTCCAAAAACATGATGTGTGCAGCTGATCCTCGCCATGGCCGTTACTTGACAGCTTCTGCTGTGTTCCGTGGAAAGATGAGCACGAAAGAGGTTGACGAACAGATGATGAATGTCCAGAACAAGAACTCGTCATACTTTGTTGAATGGATTCCAAACAACGTGAAATCAAGCGTCTGTGATATTGCTCCCACGGGTTTGAAAATGTCATCTACTTTCATAGGAAACTCGACCTCGATCCAGGAAATGTTCAGGCGTGTGAGTGAACAGTTCACTGCTATGTTCAGGAGAAAAGCTTTCCTTCATTGGTACACAGGAGAAGGAATGGACGAGATGGAGTTCACTGAAGCTGAGAGTAACATGAACGATCTCGTTGCGGAGTATCAGCAATATCAGGATGCTACAGTCGGTGAAGAGGAGTACGAGGAGGACGAAGAAGAAGAAGAAGCTTAATGTGATTACTACTTTTGTAAGGCTTCACAGAAGCTGCAAGTCGCGCTCCGGTCATTTCTTTTATCTCCTTTTTTATGTTTGTTCCTTGAATTGAATTCTCTCTTTTTTGTGCTTTTGTGTGTTTTGTTACTGATTTTCTTTCCCAAAAAAAAAAAAAAACGAAGATTTGTTCTGGAGTGTAATCCCATATGCATATGCTTCTCTATTTTGTCTATGAATATATTTCAATCTCAAGCCTATACAATTAAACTTTGGAAACCTTTACAATTAAATCCTAAACCTCTATGGTTTTAAGTTCTGCCTGCAACCTTTCTTCTTCTTCTTCTTCTTCTTCCTCTTCCGCGATATCAGCCCAGCTTTTCTTTGATCCACTCCTCATACAATCTGCAGTATCGTTGATGAACTCATGGAGGTGATGAATCATGTTCTGGTCCAGTTTCTTTCCCTTGATTGCTTCATCTTCTTCTCCTGTCTTCAAAATCCTAAAACGATCAGAACCAGAAGGTTTCTCAAACAACAGCTTTCTCGCTGCGCCTCTCGTCTCTTCTTCATACATTCCCCTCCCCTGACCCCATTTGCATCCTCGTGGTTGTGTAAACAGACCTGCAGAGTTTTGTCTAACAGATGCTGGGGAATAAGGAACATGTGAGTACGTCCTGTTTACGATTCCAGGAGCTCTGTTTTCCTTCGTTCCGTCTGCAAACGAACATCCCGCATAGAACTTATCCGAGAGATCTTTCGACTCTATTTCCGCTAGCATCTCAAGGGCTCGTTCATAAGACTTCGAGTATGGTTCATCACCACAATCCCTCTCCGCAGAAGAATCTCTTACATCACCAATTAGAGATTTAGCTTCTGAAATTTTACCCACACGCATCAAGCAGATGGCGAGGTTGCACATTTTGTTTTTGTCCGGTTCCAAACACAAAGCTCTCCTGTTTCATATATTATCAATTGCATAATCAGTCAAAAGTCGCAAAGATCAAACAGTAATAAATTATCAATTATTTTGGGATTTTGTAACAAGAATCCAAACCTGTAATGCTGCTCTGCAATTCCATAGTTATTTAGCTGTAAATGGACCCATCCCAAGTTCCCTAGTACCCTAAAATGTTTCAACAGTCAGTTCAAGAGAGACTAAAATAACACTTACGGCAACTTGGAGAACAGATGAAAAAATTCGCAAGCACCTTGCTTTCTCTTGCTCAATCGTCATCGTGACATATTTTCCTTGAACCCTTTTTGCTCTCCAGATTCCACCACCAAATCCGATTCCTTGTTCGAGTGTTTTCAGCTTGTGCTCAAGTAATTCAGCTTCCTCTTCGATCCTCCCTGACCTCTGCGAAAACCCAAAACCCATTTTTCAAGGTTTTTAACACTAAAACATCCAAAACTCTTTCATAACAAAGACGACCAGAGGTTTTTAGTTATACCTTGAAGAGTTCCAGGAGTATGTTATCAATGGAGTCTTGCGCCTCGAAAGGACAGAGATAACGAAAAGATTTGATGGCTTCGATTCCTTCGTCAGATCGGTTTAGCTGCTTCATCACAACTGCCATGTCCTTCAACGCACTATCGACTCGATCTCCAGCGTTTATCGCAGCCCAAAACAACGATATAGCACGATCCGGATCTTTATCCACCAACTGTTCTTTCAGATAATGTATACTTATATTAGACAGGAATCAAGTACAATCACTGAAAATTGAGAGAGTGTAAATGCTTTAGAAGCGAAATCATTCACATGTTATGAGATTGAAAGAGGAGGAAGAACTTAGAAACTCCAAATTAGGTCAAAAGAATATTTCCCCCTTTTCTTCAAAATTTCCCGGGAAAATCCATTACCTGCGCATGTTTGGCTCTGACGTAAGGAGAATCACCAGAAGGAACCTTGTGCACAATGTGAAAGGGATCACGTTTCTCCGAAGACGGTCGTCTCCTCCTCTCCGACATCGGCATCGCCGCCGCATAATCCCTTCTTCTCGTGTTCGACGTCGGCGGCGGAGTCCAGAAAGTCCCAGCCGGAGGTCGACGGTCTTCGCAGGGAAACATCTTTGGCGATTCTCGTCGATTTCTCGAGAAAGATTTCAACAATATTCAACTTTTCGTCAGAGATCGTCCTCGTACGATCAAAACCCCCAAATGCTTTACTTGAAAGAAGAATCAGAGTCGCAGAAGAACAGAGACTTTAAATTTTCAAAGACTAAAAAAAATACGGGAAAATGTAAACAAACTTTGATGCTGGGGCAAAAGCGTAATTTCCATTAATACACTTTTAAACTTCATCTTTCAGCCTAGAGGGATATGGATGCGTTTAAACATCGAGGTTAGCTTAATACTGCAAAAGCTAAGGCAAAATAACTAAACAAGCTTTGAGTTTTATAGATGAACATCAGTCTTTCTTGTCTTCATCTCTTTTCCTCCATTCCCAAATGACTTTATAAGGCTGCATCGATCCTTCTGCAACATTCTCAACACCAACTTCTTTACCTTCAGATGAAGCTTCCCGTCTAAAAACAGCGATCTGAGAAGCAAACCCGGGTTCTACTTCACCAGACCCACCAACACCGCTGAACTCGACGCTGTAGCTATGTCGTTCGGCGAGCTTAGAAGCCCACTGGTTAAACTGTTCCCTTGTCCACTCGAATTTGTGGTCGTGGTTCCTGAACTTGGGAAGCTGTGACTCGGATTTTTCTTCCGAGTGCTTCTCTTCTTGTGTTACTGGTGTAGACTGTTGGAGAATCGTGTTGTACTCGAAGTTTGGTGTTGAGACAATCAAGAGCTTGGGACGGAACAAGCTTAGAACTTTTTCCCCGAATTCACAGGCTTGATCTTCTTCCATGTGTTCAATGACCTAAATAGATCCGAGAACAGCTTTCTTTTAAGTGAACGAACATACACAAAATATGAAGTGTTAGAAAGCAGATTTAATAGGAGTACCTCTAAGCAAGTGCCGATGTCAATGTCGTGTAGCCTGGAGTCAAACTCGAGGATGGAACCATCATAAAGTGTAGCAGAGTTCACGTTGCAAGCTTCCTTGTTTAGTTTTACATGTAGCATCTGAAACCGAAACACAAGATACAGAAAAAACATATATGTCAATCAACCATCTCCCTATAGGTGCAAATGCATTAGTCTCATCAAGTTAAGTCTCAAGAGTGAGAGAATAAAAGACAGTGGTGCATGATGATTGTTTCATACCTTAGCAGCACGGGCAAGACCCTTGGGTGAGATGTCAACGCCGATAATTGTTTGAAGTGAAGTTGGATAGTCAAGTAGAGAGTCTAGTAAACTTCCAGAACCGCATCCAAAGTCAGCCTGCAACAAGAAATATTTCAAAAGAAAACAGAAAGACAGTAATGGTGAAATAAGAAACAAGAAGAGCATACGTACCAGAGTAGAAGCTGACGATTCTTTTATATGTTTCACTGCATATTCAACACGCTGTTTCGAAAGCGGAGGTTTGAAAAAAGCCGCCTCCATTCGTTCTTCTGTCGGCCCTTTCACTCCCAACAGAAGTATACTGTAATCCAAATGAGAACGCTCTGTGCATAAAAACCAGAATAATTCATCACCTATCACACATATATGTTCATGTAATCTCTTATCTTCAACAGAAGTCACAGATATAGGTCAGCTTACAGCCATGAAAGGGTTGTAATTTCTGTGATTTGAAAAAAAAAAAATTAAGAGAATTGTTAATAACGATGCTACCTTCATCAAAATAGATACAAACACAGCAAAAACAAATAGAAATATATTGCACAGAGAAGAGTAGTATGCAGCATAGCAAATCAATCCTAAATACACCAGACGACTTAAAGTGAGGGTGCCTTTTTTTTTTTCTTTTTCATATTGCTCAGAACCAGTGCTTGGCAGTTCCTAGTTAGAGTAGATCAGAATTTTCTAGACCTAAGTTCACTGGTGAAGACAGCAACAAAATGTCAACATGTGATACCTGACAGGAGCCAACGGGTTCTCACGGTATCAGTGGCAACAGCCAAAAATAAAGCTTCAGCAGCAGAAGGCAGTGTCGTATTAAAAGAAGCATATTCACCCACAGTCAACTGAGTAACAGCTCTTTCAATATGTGACAGCATCGCTCCAGTTCCTATCTCAAACTCTATTTCTTCATTGCTTTCAATGAGATCTATTGAATACTCAGCCTCCACCTCAGACTCTATATCTTCGTTGCTTTCAATGGCTTCTCTTGGAGATTCACCATCACTCCAATAATCATCGCCCGAATGCGCAGGATCTACTGCCAAAGACAAAGAATAGCATATGCTAACCACGGAACCGTTTGTTATAGATTGAACACGCTTCTTTCCCGATGGTACGTTCGTGGTCCTTGAGCTGTCTCCATTTCCGAGAATAGGTGGGACTGCAAAAGGAGCAGTACTTGGAGATTTAATATCCTCGTCGTCATCTGTATCTGATCCATCCACATCCATATCATCGAAAAACTTACTGAACCATAAGAGTGCCTTCAATGAAGCATGTTGAATGGCATCGTTTTCCTTCTCATACATTTTTCTCGGTGAACAATCTAAAACCAAATCCTGGGACTTTGTAAGAACTTTCACTCCACATCTAAACCCATGTCCTAACCCTAGTGTATCCTCTTTTTCATTCCTCGAGTTCTCATCATCAGTTCCTGAGACCTTCAACTTCTTGTGAGATCTGTATATGTCAGACAACGATTTCACAGGAGCAGAAGATACAGAGAAGACAGGTTCTGCTAGTCGGTGCTGGTGGCAAAACATGCAGAGAATCTCCCTGGGGAGTGGTCCTCTCCAATTAGACTTTGTAGTGTACGCAAAAGGCAACTGCGCAGCGATAACTGCTTTTCGGGAGATTTTGTATATTCCATTCGGTGACATACCGCAACATATCCTGCAATAGCCAAAAAAAGCTAATGTCATGCATCAGTAGTAAATGCGTTACTTCAGAGTTCATAGACGTAAGTATGCAGGAGATGTGAGAAGGAGAAACCAGACACAAAACTGAGCAAAAAGTTGGGTAGAAGAAAGGGACCTGTAAAATGACTTGACAGTTACATCATCATACTCAAGATCCTCGGACTTCCATCGGTAACCAACAGATGCCAAGATTGCATCTCCGTGAATATCTTGACCACAAATGTAACTTGCTCGTGCATTCCGATGATTTTTAGTACGAGATAACTCTTCACCTGAACTTTCATTAGTTTCCGAAGAATTATCCGAGGACTTAAACATAGGAATAGCATAGTACAATCTACACTCAGAGCCACAGGAAGCTTTGCCAAGAGTCCTGTTGAAAAAAAACCAAAAAATACTTTCATACCAGATCAACACCAAAGAAAGCTCACACTTGTTAATTAGAAAAAAAAAAACCAAATTTAATCACCTGGATATCATCACTTGGCTGCCATCTTTCAAGCAGAGCCTTTCAGCAATAGCATCCAAGTAATACCGGCCTGATGAAAAATCAAGAGCATCAGGCTCAACAATCTGCTTACCGACACATGGTATATATACAGCCTCCACTTCTCTGCTCTCTAGTGAATCAGATGCATGAGTAGTAGCTACTGCTTCTATAACTTCTGGAGGGTACGGACTTTTCCTCCGGAGTGAAGCTGCGTGCGGAGATGCAACAATGTAGTCCGACAACTTTGCAGCAGCCTCCATGACATAGGAAATGACCAAGGAAGGATCTGATTCCACAGAAGGGTCGATGATTTTACAACGGCTGTTGATCTTTGCATCAAATGTAGCAATGACGGCAACAGGAACTGAGCCGCAACAATCGCCCTCCCTTCGCAACGCCGCTCTAAGGTGAGCTCCCAGAGGATGTTCAGCTGAAAGAAACTGCATTAAGTTCATAGTAACACTTCATAAGTTCATAATATTCCTTAACGTATATGTACAAGAATGTTAGAATCAGTAATTTTCTTTAGATCTAATAACCTCATCAGAGAATATATACTTGATGCGTCCAGTGATGTCATCCCAAGCTTCCTCCACGGTGATATCATCATTCTGAGGACGAATGCCTAGCTGCAACACGAAAAGCATTGTCTTCGTTAACATGAGAGATTACATATCACAGAAGAGAGAGTTACATACACATATAGCAAAAGCATACCTTCTCGAGAGCTAATTCAGCAGCAGATTGTTCGGAATCCTTCTTCTTCTTGGAGAGATTTGATACAACTGAAATGTCCGGTAGCTTCAAATGGCAGCGATAGAGACATGGACCTTTCTGAGGTATTGCTAGCCCTGGGCAACCACTTTGAGCAGAGTCATGAACTTCCTCAATTTCGTAGATTGCGTTAGCACCAAACCTCTGATGTATAATTGCCTTTGGAGTAAGAGTCGGTTTCCCTCCACCGGCCATCACAAACGCAATGTAGCTTCTCTAATACACTGAGGCAAACAAAGGGTGAGTATAAATATCGCCAAAGATCAGGAAAGGTGGTAACTTTTTTGTGCAAAATGTGCAGGCCTGTTCCTAAGCAAACAAGAAGAAGATGACTTAGCCTTGACCATTCAAAATCAGAGCCATACAAAATCGAACCAACGTCTATTTGAATTGCCGCATTGTCAATGTTCTAAAGTCTAACAAATTGTCCGAATTATCAGATTAGAGTATTCGTTTCCAAAACGCCTAAACTAGAAGACTAGAATCATGAAGATTAGAGAATAATAATAAATAAATAAACAGAATCGATAAGCACATGCGATGGAAAAACAGAGAGACGAAACACAAGAAAGTGAACAAAAGCAATGATTTTTCGTTCGAAGGAAGTACAGATAAAGGATTCGCGTAAAAGTGAGTGAAAGAAAAAAAAGGGTTTGAGTGATGTGAAGACAAACGAATCGTCATGTACAGAAACGAAGGATCAACGAAACTGAAATTCAGGAAAAGAAGTACAGAAGTTGCAAAACAATACACAAAACTACTACATACCTTACAGAGTTTTGAGGAATGGGCACATGTAGGAGAACCGAGGGGAGAGCAACAGAGAAAAGAGTGTTGGGTTTTAGAGACAGGAAAGAGGGTCTTTTGGTCATTACACGTTGTGGAATCGTACAAAAGTCTTTTTTTTTTCCTTTATTCTTCTTCTTTTTGTAGATAAAGAAAAAAAAGTTTAAATTTAAAATTATTCCGGATCCACCATATTTTTCTCCTTGTTTATGGTTTAAAAGCTTGATAAAATCAAAATAACCCATTGGAGGATGCCTTTTCAATTCATACAATTAACACTCCTTCTGTATTTTTATATACGATGTTTATGGTTTTTACATATAGATTAAGAAATTATTTAATTTTGTATTTTTTAAACAAAACATATTTTATCATCATTTACAAAACAATTCAACTAATAAAAAAATAATATACAAAATTCAAACACTTAAATCAATAAAAGTGCAATTAATTTTTACATAGATACGTGAGAACATCAACTATTTTTAAACAAAAACAAATTTCTAAAACATCTTATATGAAAAATGGAGGGAGTAATAAAAATCTAAACGTAAACATTAATTCTATCACAACGGTTGTCAAATCCGGCTGAATTCGTTTGTTTCCTCGGAGTTATGGTCTTCGATAACTGCTGTGCCTGTACTCGGAGGAGGATTGGTCAGAAAACCTGAAGGTTCAATCGTGATTTTCGGAAAAACTAGTTGCTGCGCCGAACCAACTATCTTTCTACAGATAGGACAAGTGGAGTGAGATTGAAACCACGAGTCGATGCAATCGGCATGAAACCAGTGGTTACAGCTCGGCAAAACCCTAGCTCTGTCTCCGTCAGCGAGCTCGGAGAGGCAAACGACGCATTCAACGCCATCTTTGAAATCCTGAGAGTTGAAGTCTACGACGGAGATCGATCGAAGAACAGATGGATTGACTCCAGCCAACTTTTCGATGGTAACAATTATAACGCCATGGTCGTCATTGCTCCTTCTATAAACACGGTGAAAACCCTCGCAACATTTAATAATACAACCCAGCAGCGCAAAAAACACAACAAAAGCCATCATAACTATTATTTCTGGCTCAATTTGATCATTCATATTAAAAACTGTCAAAGATTATCAAATCTCTCAGTATTCAGTATCCGAAAGTAAGAGAAGAAAACACTGAATCGTAGAGAAATTACTTTCTTTCAAGCCTAATGACACTGAATCGTAGAGAGATTCAAGCCTAATGACGACTTGTATAATGTATTTATAGCAAAAAAAACATTTCCATTTTTATTACGATTCCTATTTTTCCTTTTTTAAAAATATAGAAATACAATGACACAGAAATTTCCTATTTTTAAAAGTCACAATATACAAAGGAGAAAGTGCTCCATCAAGGCGGCATTATTCCGCATCTTTCCTCTTCTTTGATAATTTTGTAATTTCCATTTTTTAGGTTACTAGTTAGATTTTTTCCTCTTTTAGCAACTTAAGTTTTGTTCTTAATCCGAATTTAAAATTTTAAATCTTTAATTTTGCTTTTTCTTTTCCTTTATTCTCCTTCTATAAAGTTTAAATTTAAAATGATTCCGAAACCACCATATTTTTCTTCTTGTTTAAAATCAAAATATACCCATTGTAGGATGCCTTTTCAATTCATACACTATGTTTAATAATAAAAATCTAAACGTAAAGACTAATTCTAACGTAACTAAATTCTATATATTTAATAATCAGCATTTTGGTACAGTTCGGGCGTTTTTTTGTCACTCAAGAGCCAAAGGCTTTACAAAACCTTAAATATATCGAAAAAGAGATTAAGATGATTCATTTCATGCTTTACCCATTGCTGACCTAATAATAACTAGATCCCACACACTAAACCATTATCTGAATTAGCGCTTATGGCAAAAACAATAACTTAACATTCACAAAGGTTTAAAGATTCCATCCCATTTTTCCTCAAACCTCCTCGTTCACAATCCCTTTTTGGTGTTCAAAACTTAACATGCATTGTTTAGATAATAACCAAAACCTGTGTTGCGAGTTTAAAGATAAACTTAAAAAGCCTGTTCAAGTTTGATACTTTTGCCAAAGATCAGTTTTTTTTTGTCTCCATTCCTTTCTCCCATTCCCATTCGACTTTGAAAGGCTCCATTGATTCTTCTGGGACGTCTTCAACAACATCAACGTCATAGAGAGATTCCCGTTTGAAAACAGCGATCTGAGAAGCAAACCCGAGATCCTCTTTAAACCCTCCAACGCCGCTAAACTCGACGCTGTAGCTAAAATAGTTGGCGAGAGTAGTGGCCCAGTAATTAAACGTTGCCCTTGTCCATTCGAACTTGTGCTTATGGTTCCTGAACTTGGACCGCTGTGACATGGGTTTGTCTTTCTGGTGGTATCGAGCAGACTTGTTGAGGACTGTGTTGTACTCGTAGTTTGGTGTGGAGACAATCAGAAGCTTCGGTCGGAACAAGCGAAGAACTATTGAACCGAACTCATAGGCTTGAGCTTCCTCCATGTGTTCAATGACCTACACAGATTCAGAATGGTATTATATGTTTGAACATACACAACGCTGATGATGAAGAGACGAAACAAGAAAAAAACAGGAGGAGACCTCTAAGCAAGTGCCGACGTCAGCGTCGTGCAGCCTGGAATCAAACTCGAGGATTGAACCATCATAGAGTACAACAGATTGGAGGTTCCAAGATAGCTTCTGTAGTTTTGTATGTAGCATCTGAAACCGAAACAAGATTAGGTGTAAAATCAAGAATCTTCATTTAACAGCTATAAGTCTACAGAATGAGAATAATTTACGAAAAGATGGTGTTATAGATTTCGCATACCTTAGCAGCACGAGCAAGAGCCTTCTGTGAGATGTCAACGCCGACAATGGTTTGAAGTGAAGTTTGATGGTCAAGTAAAGAGTCTAGTAAGTCTCCAGATCCGCATCCAAAGTCAACCTGCAACAAGTATAGAGACTGGAACATTAAAAAGGAGACAGTAATGATGAAAGAAGAAACAAGAAGAGCATACATACCAGAGTAGAAGCTGATGAATTTATTATCTGCTTCACTGCATATTCAACACGCTGTTTCGAAAGCTGAGGTTTGAAAAACATAGCCTCCATTCGTTTTTCTTTTGGACCTCTCACTGCCAACAAATGTACACGGTACTCCAAACTTGTTGCGGGTTCTGTTCATTTAAAGCAAAAGCAACTCATCATCAGAACTTCACTAGCTTCGCAGGAGGAATCTCTTATCTATGTCACATGTACATGTTTATTACACTCAAGAACAGCCAACATTAACACATGACAAAAGTATTAAGATTGGTGCTACCTTAACCCATAGGATGAGTTGCAACAGAAGAGTTTTCAACAACATAATTTAATTCTAGATTCTCTTCTTTGTTTAGCAGTTAAGCTATAGATAAATATTTATAGCCCTAAGTTCACTATGTGAACACTTTTTTTCCTTTTCGAGCCAGAAAATGTTTGAAGCATTTACCTGAAAAGAGTGAGCGAACTCTCTCGGTGTTAGTGGCAGCAGCCAAAACCAAGCCTTGAGAAGGAGAATCAGTTATAAAACGAGCATATTGTCCCACAGACATCTGAGTAACAACCAGCTCAAGATCTCGATTCATGGATCCGTTCCCCACCTCGAACTCCATCGCTTGATTGCCTTCGACTAGCTCTCTCAAAGACTCACCGCTCCTCGACATGTCAGAATCTACCTCTAAGGACACAGAGTAGGATATTGTGACCAACGAACCTTTCGGTATAGACCGAACATGCTTCTGCTCCTTTTCCTGTAACATATATTCTTCCCGCCTTGATTTAGACGGCTTTCTCTTCATTTCATGTCTTCCACTGCTTCGACCAAACTCTTTAATCCTGATCTTCTGTTGAAACAGCATGTCCAGGACTTCATCCTCGTACTCCGGGTGCAGCGGGTCCGCATCCGGGTCGTCGTGAAACCCACCAAACCATGAGAGGGCATTCAATGCAGCGTTTTCAACAGCATAGTTCTCCTTCTCATAGAACTTTCTCAGGGAACAACTGAAAACCACATCCTGGGACGTCTTTGAGAGAATCTTCACTTCACATCTATACCCATTCGCTAACTCTGCTATCTCCTCTCTTTTCCTGCTCAATAACTGATTCTCGTCATCATCTGGCTTTGAGTCTTTCAGCTTCTGGTGAGAATTTAATATGTCAGAGAATGGTTTCACAGGAGCAGTGGATACAGTAAAGACGGGCTCTTCAAGTTCATGCTGGCGGCAGTACATGGAGAGAATCTCCCTGGGGAAAGGACCTCTCCAGTTAGACTTTGCAGTGAATGAGAAAGGAAGCTGTGCAGCAATCAAAGCTCTTCGAGAGGTTTTGTAGATTCCGTTAGGAGAGGTATTGTAACATATCCTATAGAGACAAGTAATGAAACATGATAAGAAATATGCACAAGACCATAAGATATACAAATGGAAGAAAAAAAAAAAAACATAAAAGCTGTAGTAGAGAGACCTGTAAAACGAATTTATGGTTACGACATCATGTTGAAGGCCATGTGATTGTGACCTCCATGGATAGCCAACAGACGCAACGATCGCATCACCGCGAACAGCTTGGCCACATACAGAACTTGCTCTTGCATTCCAAGACGTTTTCAAATGTGATGGTTCATCTTCATGAACCGGACGTTTTCCATAAGCTTTCGATGATTTATCGTATCGATTCATCTTAGGATTGGCAGAGTATACTCTACACTCGTAGCCAGAGGAAGCTTTGCCAAAACTCCTGTGAAAAAAGGAAAAAAAACCAAAGAAATGATTTTAAAAATCAGCTTCAAGACAAAGAAAGCTCCATTACTTTGATAGAAAAAATACAAATCTAACCACCTTGATATCACCAGTTGGTTGCTATCCTTCAGACCAAGCTTCTCAGCTATAACATCCAAGTAATACCGACCTGATGGGATATCAAGTGTGACTGAGTCAACCACCTCTTCACCGTGACTTTGACACTGTACGTGTACAGCCTCAACTTCTATGCTTTTGCTTCCCCAGTGAGTAGCCAGTGCTAGTACAATTGGTAGAGGGTGTGGTCTTTGCCTCAGGAGTGAAGCTTCATGCGGAAATACGTCAACGTAGTCCGGTAACTTTGCAGCAGCCTTCATGACACAGGAAATCACCAAGGAAGGGTCCGAGTCCGCGGAAGGATTGATGACTTTACAGCGACTGATGATCTTTGCATCAAACGTAGCAATGACAGAAGCAGGAACGGTTGTCCAATTATCACCATGTCTTTGCAATGTTGCTATAAGGTGAGTTCCCAGAGGATGACCAGTTAAAACAAACTGCAATAGCAACAACTTCATAAAATTAATCGTATATAGTAATTTGTGTGAAGAGAAATCTAAACCCCTATAGCAAATTAAACTCATAATATTATAAACATATATGAATATCAGACATTCCGTTTTTGCTACAAACCTCATCAGAGAATATATACTTAATGCGTTCAACGATGTCATCCCAAGCTTCCTCCACAGTAATAGCATCATCCCGAGGCTGAATGCCAAACTGCAATATGAGAGGTATTGTTTTCTTTAACATACACAGTATTAAAGAAATCTAATAAACAATTACAAATGGGATATATATATATATATATATATATAATATATATAAATAACAAAAGCATTACCTCCTCGAGAGCAAGTTCAGCAGCAGATTCTTCGGCATCCTCCTTGTTCTTAAAGAAATTTGATACAACTGAAAAGTCTGGTGTCTGTAAGTGGCAACGATAGAGGCACGGAAGGTTCAGAGAATAGTGGTCATCAAATTCCTCAATCCTGTAAATTGCTTCAACACCAAACTTCTGATGTATGATTGCCTTTGAAGTAAGTCTCTTCTTCTCCACACCCGCCATTACAAACTCACTGTAGCTCCTCTTCTTTGATCACTGATTCAAACAAAATAACTAATATGTCAATCCAACTAGGTATTGCCGGAAATGGTAAATATTTTGTGCAAAGAACCCCAAAAAATTAGGGTTCCTAGGAATAAGAAAAAGAAGAAGACAACATAAACTCCAGGATTAGTTTCGTCCTTATGGGTTTCTAAGGGAAGAAGAAGATTAAATCCTCAGTATCGTTGGATCTTCCTTCCGCGACAAACAAAATGGTAAAACCCAAGACAGAAAATCCGATAAATGAAAAATGAAAAATGAAAAAGCAAAACTACAATCGATTAAACATTAGGTTATACAGAGGGAGAGATGAAAACAGATCAACGTGAGTAAGAAAGCAAAGATTTTTCGCGGGAAGTTAATGACAAAAGATAAGGTTTGAATAACATTCAATGAAACGAATCTAGTGAACAGAAACAAATGAGTTGATGAAATCAAATTTTCAGACAGAAACATAAGAAGCAGAAAAGCAACCAATAATCAAATCCGCACCTTTCAGTTCAGCGAAATGGAATGTGGATAACAGTTTGAGCGAGAATAGAGAAGAAAGGTTGGGATTTTGAACACAGAGGCGGTAGAAGAGATGGGACAAAACGCCGGACTTTTTTGTAGTTATTACACTTACACGTGTGGGATATCCATTTTTTGGGCCCTAAGCCCATTTTCAGGCCCGTTTCTCTTAACAACTTTGGAAACAATCTTAAAATATTGACCCTGCTAATGGTAAGAATATAATTTAATGTCCATTAACCAAAAGAGGTATGATTAGATTTTGTTGATTTTTCCTTGATTTTGTGGGGAAGGAAGGTTGCAAGTTGCAACATTTAACTTTCTATAACTTCGAATTTTGAAAAGTCAAAAACGAGAGATGTTCCAAAACTTAGAATGATAAATTAATAATTTTTGTAAATCCCAACTTGGACTAATATAAAAATTGACATAAATTCAATAAAATAATAAAATGATATTTTTTGAAAAGTTAAAAACGAGTGATATTTCAAAACTTAGAATAATAAATTAATAATCACTATAAATTAATAATTTTTATTAATTTCAATTTGGACTAATATAAAAATTGACAAAATTTAATAAAATAATAAGATGATATTTTTTTGAAAGTTTCATGTAAAAGTATGGTTCCAATAATAATATAAATTAATAATTATATATTTAGATCTATATAAATAATATAATATAGTAAAATATGATAATATTGTTGTTTCAAATTTATAATTTTTGTTTGATTTATTTCCTAAATTTATTATTATGACATTTTTGAATAAATTTTACATTGTTGAAAAATATTATTTTTTGTTATTTTTTGAATAAATTTTACATTGCTGAAAATATTATTTTTTGTTATTTAATAAATCAAAAAATATCTATATAAATTAATAAAATATCAACTAATCGATAAATTAATAATTAATAATTAATAATTTATTAATTAATGAATAACTCTAAAAATTGATAAAATTTGAGAATTTCAACATTATTAATTTATAATTTTTTTACTGTAGTTACGTTTAAAATCCCGTATAGACGGACAAATCACAAGTCTTCGATGATTTATTATTTGCTAAGAAAATTAACAATTTAAATTCGGGGATGCATTTTATGTTGTAGAGTCAGTATAAGGTTTGTCTCAAACTTCGTCTTTGCCATTGTAGAAGTGTCTGAAAACACAAGAGAAGTCCTCTGTTTCATGCCCATCTTCGCACATGTTCTTATAACTGCAAAAAAAGAAAAGAAGAGTAAACTAATGATGTGTGTGTAAAAGAGCTTTTTACAGCAGAAGTTTAAGTTAATTACAATAGACATCACTCACAAGCCCTCTTTGTTCACAACAACACATCTTTCAAGGAGAAAACTAAAAGAAGAAACAAGACTACTGAAGTACTCACATTTCTTGTGCTTTAGATATCAATGTGCTTTTGTGTCCAACTTCTTCAGCTGAGGCTGCTGCGAGGTTTAGGTCTTTCGCCTGCATTTTGAATCATTACAAGACTTGTGTAACAAAAGCAATCTGCTTTTGAGAGATTTTAGGATCAAAGACATAAAACATTTGTTAAGAATCTGACCATAAGCTTGGAGGCAAAACCGCCATTATAATCCCTTGAAGAGGGCACACCTTTCATGACCCCTGGAACTGGATTGTATTTGTCGCTGTGGTTTTAAGAATATAACGAAGTTAAGCATTTGGTGGTTTGTACTTAGAAAGAACCATCAATGCTTAGAGGTCATTTCATTTTATTTACATACCTACTCCAACATCGACCACTAGATGTGTTTAACACTTGTGTTAAAGTGCTGGCAGATATTCCAAGCGACTGACCAAGAGCTAAGGCTTCTGAAGTACCCAGCATACTCACCGCCATTGCCAAATTGTTACAAATCTTTGCAGCCTAATTTTGCATTACAAAAAAACATGTCATGTTATGAATGCAGAAGAGCTTCTCAGTCTACATCAAAAAGATCCATCCATAAGAAATGTAGAGACAAACATATATACTCAAGAGTTATAAGATATGAGATAGTGAGCTTACAGATCCATTTCCTGAACCACCACAGTAGATTGAAGTTGTACCCATTGACTGAAGTATTGGTCTAGCGGCTAAGTAAGCTTCTTCAGGACCTCCAACCTACAAAACGTGCAATTCCCATTGTGCTCTTATATGCTATATATATAGTTAATGAGCATCTGATAAGAGAGGCGAAATCATACCATGAAAGTAAGTGTACCGGCTTCTGCAGCAAGAACACCTCCAGAGACAGGAGCATCCAACATGACTGGCTTTTCCCAATTCTCTGCATCAAAGATCCTCGATTGTTTTTTTTAAAAAAATCAGACTATCTCGACTTTTTCACAAGGAGAACACAATGATTATGTTGTCTAATATTGTGTTCAAACTTAAATCCTGTTCACGAATCATAAAGAAAAACTTATCGTTCAAATCTTATCAATGTTTTACCTCTCTTTTCTTTCAGATTACAGTTGGAAACAGCGAGCGAGATTTTCCGGGTTGTTTGTGGATCGATAGTGGATGAATCTATTAACAAGGCAGGCCTTATAGCGTTTCCTTCACGAAGCAACCCATTTGTTCCTGTGTACACATCCATCGCCTACATGAATTACAAAAAAATTGTTTCTTCATAAAAACATCCAATTAAGAGAACACACATTTTCGAAGATTTACATTCTTTCAAGTTTCGACCATCTAATACATCCACAGGATACTTCTTAATGATGCATCTGATCATACAATTAAGAGGAAGATTATCAAGATTGTTCTCATATAAAACTCTCTTATTAGAGGTAATAACTTACATGAGATGATGAAGGCAACATCGTAATCACAACTTCGCTATCTTGTGCAACTTCATAAGGAGTTCCTCTAGCAGAGACTCCCATTTCAGTGAACATCTTCATGACATCACGGTTTCTGTTTAATCAACACACAAATATATATAAGAACAAAGTTAATCAACATCTAAACAAGATATGAAAATGGATGGAAAAGCAAAAGTTTTTACATGTCATGAACGGTGACTCTATATCCAGCTTTAATTAGATTATTCACCATTCTAGATCCCATGTTCCCAAGCCCAATGAAACCAACATTCTGTAAAGAAAAAAAATACAGAAATGAAATGAAACAGAAACACAGAACAATACTCTGTAGACATAGCTATTCAGACAATTCTTGCCGTTTAACAGACTTTATCCAGACCATTTTTGGGGAAGAGAGTTGATGAATCAAGAACAAAAGCAATTTAGCCACCAACCATTTTTTGTTAAATTATAAAAGTTCAAATTTTTTCATCCTAACTATCTCAAAGATCATTTTTTTTTTGTCCGTCTTGGACGCAATTTGTCTCCAAAACATTTCAAGCAAATTATTGGTGACCAATGAGCTAAAGAGATATATGTTCTGATCATCAAGAAAATTTGAAAAATATCAAAACAAGTCAAAACACAATAAATTTCCGAGGCAGAGAGAACAATTTAAACCAGAACCTGGAACTGGAATTGATTTGAATGCTGTGATGACGAAGAAAACCGGTGAGACCTTGAATAGGAACCGAGGACGAAACTGGTTTTGAGTTTGGAAAGACAACGTAGGGTTTGCGCTCTGCGAATCGCCATTGGCAAATTTCTCCAAACCAAACGGAGCAGTTAGCAAATTGCCACGAGAGTGAGTGAGAGGCTCAGACGGAACTCTCTTGCTCTGCTCTGTCATGATCTGATCGTAAGAGTCAAATTTACTTTTTTGAATTATTACCCCTTAACTATTAGTCTCTTCTAAAAATGGACTCTTTACTTTCGAAAGAATCAGTAAAACCCAAATAATTTGCATGCATTTTGTCTTTTCCGGTCTTTCCTTGATAATTGATATCGCTGACTAGAGTCAACAAGGTCAGCATGTGGGACCCGTACTCCTACGTGGTATTTCTATCCCATCTACATTTTACTACTAATAAATGTAGGACTAATCGAAATATTCATTACGTTACCCTTTTTCTTTTCTTTTTTTTTTTGGGGACCAAATTATTTTCCTTATTTTCGAATATTCATTACTCTTTTTGTTGAGATAAATTCATGAGCCATTTATTCCATATTTTCCTTATTTCTGTAATGCATTATTACAGTTTTCTACCAAGATTTTAATGCCTGCGCGTAATTATCGCTTATTTTTCCAATGTCGTCTCAATTTCTCTATGTTGGAAATGACATTTTTGCACTTAAAAGCCATATTGCATAAACCCTTCGCGTCCACCATGCCCACTCACTAGAACAAAAAAACATAAGCAACTTTTTCAGATTCCTTTGGCGGGTAAATTCCCTAATTACATTAGAAAATAAAAATTTCCAGTCTTTCTCCCGCTACTCTTTCGTCTTTTACTTTTGAAAAGACTATGGAAAAGTAAATTAAACTGTAATTTCTTTCTCGTGAACCCCAAAAACAAATAAAATAGTATAATTTTGATTTTGTCTATTTTTTGAATTTATGATTTTTTTTAATCTTGGTTTTTTTTTTCCCGTTCACACGCTTCAAGACCATCTCATTTACCCTCTTTACGGAGTCTCTGTCGTTCGTCACTGTCGTACGTGAAAACTAGCAAATTTTCTGTTTTTATTTTTGTTTTGGCCCTCTTTGTTTGGTTCGTAAACAGTTATAGTGACTATCTTAAGGGTTTTTTAAAGTGACCCACTAAGATTTCTCACTTTCTCAGTGGCTCAGTTTACTGTATTGAAAACCAAATCCAAAAACTCCGTAGCAGTGCATGAGCTAATCAACAAAATGATTCTGCTTCAAAGTTTTTGTCTTCCTTCTTCTTCATCTGTGTCGGCATTGCTATTGCATTGAAGGTTTCTAATTTTTCATGCCTGTAAGATAAAAATCCTTCCTTTTTCCTCTTTTTTATCTCTTTGGCTTTTTGGGGGTTTGATTAGATCTCGGAATGGGACCCCAATATTGAATAGCCCATTGTTCATTTAATGTTTTCTCAGCTAGTTCCCTTCCGTTCAAGATTGTCTCTTCTCACTCAGTAGCATCCTGCATTTTGTTTGATTGAGGGGTTTTTCAGAAGATTCGTCATATAAAGTGAGGTATCTTCAATTCCTTTTATTGTTATTCCTTCTGTGTATTGGTGTTTTTTCGGAAAGATTTGAACTTTATTATGAACTTTTGATGGGTTTGAACTTCAATTCATTAATTTTCCTGTCAGATTTACTTGGGTTCCATGAATGTTCTGCGTTGGTGAGCTGCAAAAACTGTAGCTTTTTGGGGAATTTTTTTTTTGAAGTCAAGGATGAATCTATCAAGGGTTTTGTTATTATCCATGTTTTTCCTGTCTGCAATGGGGCAACTTCCTTCACAGGACATCATGGCATTGCTCGAGTTCAAGAAAGGCATCAAACATGACCCTACAGGGTTTGTTCTTAATTCGTGGAACGACGAGTCCATCGACTTCAACGGCTGTCCTTCTTCATGGAATGGTATCGTCTGCAATGGTGGTAATGTGGCTGGTGTTGTTTTGGACAATTTGGGTTTATCTGCAGACGCTGATTTCAGTATGTTCTCCAACTTGACAATGCTTGTCAAGCTCTCTATGGCTAACAACTCCATTACTGGTGTCTTGCCAAATAATTTAGGCAGCTTCAAAAGCCTCCAGTTCCTGGATTTATCTGATAACCTCTTCTCTTCGTCGCTGCCAAAAGAGATTGGTAGATCAGTGAGCTTGAAGAATCTCTCTTTAGCTGGTAACAACTTCTCTGGTGAGATTCCAGAATCTGTGGGCGGGTTGATTTCGCTTCAGTCGCTGGATATGAGCCGCAACTCCTTATCTGGACCTTTGCCAAAGTCCTTGACAAGGATTAACGAGCTGTTGTACTTGAATCTGTCTTCTAATGGATTCACAGGGAAGATCCCAAGGGGCTTGGAGTTAGTTTCGAGTCTTCAAGTGCTTGATCTTCATAGTAACTCCATTGATGGTAATCTCGACGGGGAGTTTTTCCTTTTAACGACTGCGAGCTATGTTGATTTCAGTGGGAACAGATTGGCGACGACGTCTGGGAAACTGTTGCCTGGTGTTTCTGAGAGCATCAAGCACTTGAACCTCAGCCACAATCAGCTTGAAGGTTCACTGACTAGTGGGTTTCAGTTGTTTCAGAGCTTAAAAGTCTTGGATCTTAGCTACAACCAGTTATCAGGAGAATTACCAGGTTTCAATTATGTCTATGATCTCGAAGTACTCAAGCTCAGCAACAATAGATTTACAGGTTCCCTTCCCAATAACCTGTTGAAAGGTGACTCTTTGGTTTTGACAACGCTGGATTTAAGTGGTAACAATCTCTCAGGTATGCTCTTTACTTCATCTTCTACAGAGTGGGAAACTGTTTACTTGCTAATTGTGGTGCCAAGAGAACCAAAAATCTAATCTTTTTTATCGGTTTTCTTGTTGTGTTCCAGGGTCAATAAGTGCTATCATGTCAACAACTCTTCACAGCCTTGATCTTTCTTCAAATTCACTGACCGGGGAGCTTCCTCTTTTGACTGGGAGCTGCGTTTTGCTTGATCTCTCAAACAACCAGTTTGAAGGAAATCTGACAAGATGGTCAAAATGGGAGAATATCGAGTATCTTGATCTCAGCCGAAACCATTTCACTGGGTCGTTCCCTGACGTAACTCCTCAGCTTCTGCGAGCGAATCATCTTAACCTTTCCTACAATAAGCTCACAGGCTCGCTTCCAGAACGGATTCCTACTCATTATCCGAAACTTCGGGTTCTTGATATAAGTTCTAACAGCTTAGAAGGGTCAATCCCAAGTGCATTACTCTCTATGCCAACTTTGGAGGAAATCCACCTTCAAAACAATGGCATGACAGGTAACATCGGACCCTTACCTTCTTCTGGTTCCAAAATCCGTCTTCTTGATCTTTCTCACAACCGGTTTGACGGAGATCTTCCTGGTGTATTCGGATCTTTGACCAATCTCCAAGTGCTGAACCTCGCAGCAAATAATTTGTCTGGATCTTTGCCCAACTCCATGAATGAAATGGTCTCTCTAAGCTCATTAGACGTATCCCAGAATCGTTTCACCGGACCACTCCCAAGCAACTTATCCAGCAGCCTTGTGGCCTTTAATGTGTCATACAACGATCTATCAGGGACTGTGCCTGATAATCTGAAGAACTTCCCTCGACCTTCCTTTTATCCTGGAAACAGCAAACTCATCTTGCCTGCTGGATCCCCTGGTTCGAGTGCATCAGAAGCTTCCAAGAGGAAACCCAAGAACTTACTTATCAAGGTGGTCATAATAGTTTCTTGCGCCATTGCTATAATCATTCTCATCCTTGTGGCTATCCTCCTATTTTGCATCTGCAAATCAAGAAGACGCGAAGAGCGTAGTGTTACAGGTAAAGAAATTACTAGGCGGGCACAAACAATCCCCTCGGGCAGTGGTGGTGGTATGGTCGTCTCTGCTGAGGATCTCGTCGCTTCAAGAAAAGGCTCGTCATCCGAAATCCTCAGTCCGGATGAGAAACTAGCTGTTGCAACCGGATTCTCTCCTTCCAAGACAAGTAATTTATCTTGGTCACCTGGCTCAGGAGATTCGTTCCCAGCTGATCAGCAACTAGCACGGCTTGACGTTAGGTCACCGGATAGACTCGTGGGAGAGCTGCAGTTTCTGGATGAATCAATCAAACTGACTCCAGAGGAACTGTCGAGGGCACCAGCTGAAGTTCTGGGAAGAAGTAGCCACGGGACTTCTTACAGGGCAACGCTTGACAATGGAGTGTTTTTAACAGTGAAGTGGCTAAGAGAAGGCGTGGCGAAGCAGAGAAAGGAGTTTGCTAAAGAAGTGAAGAAATTCGCCAACATCAGGCATCCTAATGTCGTGACTCTACGAGGATACTACTGGGGTCCCACGCAACACGAAAAGCTTATTCTTTCAGATTACATATCGCCTGGAAGCCTCGCCAGCTTCCTTTACGGTAAAACTCCTTTCAATAAACTAATCTTCTAAATATCACATGTCTTCACTATTCTCATGGTTCTTGTTTTTGATTTCAGATCGACCAGGCAGGAAAGGCCCTCCCTTAGCCTGGATCCAGCGGTTGAAAATCGCGGTTGATGTCGCACGTGGTCTAAACTATCTCCATTTCGACAGAGCGGTTCCACACGGTAACCTCAAGGCAACAAACATCCTCTTAGATGGAGACGAGCTTAACGCACGTGTAGCAGATTACTGCCTCCACCGTCTCATGACGCAAGCAGGCACAGTCGAACAGATTCTAGACGCAGGCATCCTCGGCTACAGAGCTCCCGAGCTAGCGGCTTCGAGGAAACCGTTACCTTCTTTCAAATCAGATGTGTATGCATTCGGTGTGATACTTCTTGAGATCCTAACAGGGAGATGTGCAGGAGATGTGATCACAGGTGAACAAGAAGGTGTTGATCTAACGGACTGGGTTAGGCTACGTGTTGCAGAAGGGCGTGGCGCGGAATGCTTTGACTCGGTGTTGACTCAGGAGATGGGAAGTGATCCTGTTACAGAGAAAGGCACGAAAGAAGTTCTTGGGATTGCCTTGAGGTGTATAAGATCGGTTTCTGAGAGACCTGGTATCAAGACCATTTATGAAGATCTTTCTTCGATTTAGGAACTATGTTTTTCTTTGCCTTGTGATTTTGTTATGTAGGTTCCAATGGAGTTTGGTCCTTGTCAAGTTCATGCTTTTGTTTCTCGAGAAGCATGTTCTTTGATTTAAGGTAGTGTGTTGTGTCTTCTTCTGTTAGTTTCTTTTTAACATTTTCCCTGTAAAAAAACGAAATCTGCTCATGTCTCATGAGTGAATGAAATTTCATTTTTCCATAATTATATCCTCTCTTCAAAACCTTGGTGTCAAGTTGATTGTTACTTGTTAGGACTTAGGTGGCCTAGTTGTTGTTCTTGATCAAAACCGGTTAAATTACAGACTGATTCAAATCAAATAGCCTATTAAACCGGTCGCTATATCATTCCCGGTTTTTCGGTTAGACTAAACCAGTTCTTTGAATTTAGAATCCAATCTTCTCCTCGTCGTCGTCGTCGATTTCTCGTCCCCATTTTCTCTCTCGCCGCTGCTGTTCATTTTTAACCGGAGACTGCTCGAATCCAGCTGTCGAGGTTCGATTTGACTTCGTATTGTTGTTCTATCGTCTATAACAAGATACAATAGTGATATGCAGATCACATGCCTCCCAATTCCGATTTCATCGATCACTCCTCGAACCTCATTTCCACCTTTATCGCTCTCCTCAAATCCTCGCCGTATTTGCAACCTCAGTTCACTTCACAACCCACATCACGGTCTCTTCGCCGTATCTTCCAAAAGACTACATAAATCTCATACTGGTTTCACCAATCCTGTTCTGGCCGCGATGAAAAGCGAAGAAGGAACTGGAGCTGACGATGCGTTTTATATGAGGAAATGCGTGGAGCTGGCAAAGAGAGCAATTGGGTGTACTAGTCCTAATCCCATGGTAGGCTGTGTCATTGTTAAAGACGGCAATATCGTTGGCGAAGGGTTTCATCCTAAAGCTGGTCAGCCTCATGCTGAGGTAACAAACAAAAATTTGCAATTTTTCTTGCTGGGTTTCTGGAAATGAGAAAACTTTCAGTCTTGTTTTTTTTTGGGATGAACATCTGATAGATTGCATTGTGTTTATATCATTGAAGTGTATTATGAGTTTGATTAATGGTGAAAGTTGAACTTTGGCATTGCTAGGTGTTCGCTCTTAGAGATGCTGGAGACTTAGCTGAGAATGCCACTGCTTACGTTAGCTTGGAACCGTGTAATCATTACGGGAGAACGCCGCCGTGCACTGAGGCACTGATCAAGGCTAAGGTGAAAAGAGTTGTGGTTGGGATGGTTGATCCGAACCCAATCGTTTCTTCCTCGGGTATCAGTCGCTTGGTAGATGCTGGCATTGATGTCACTGTGGGTGTAGAAGAAGAGTTATGCAAGAAGATGAACGAGGGATTCATCCATCGAATGTTAACAGGAAAGCCTTTTCTTGCTCTCAGGTAAAACCCAGAGCTTCTATTGAGTGGGAGAAGAAACCCGAGTCATAGATTTTTGTTTTTTTTTATAAGTTTTGGAAATCTTTGCAGGTATTCTATGTCTGTCAATGGTTGTTTCCTGGACAAGATCGGTGAAGGGGCTTCGGATTCTGGTGGATACTACTCAAAGCTATTACAAGAGTATGATGCGATAATACTTTCTTCCTCGTTATCTGATAAGCTCTCGAGCATTTCCACACAAGAAGCTAATGAATCGAGCCAACCTATTAAAATCATAGTGGAAGAATCGGCCTTGAAAGTTGTCAGCGATGTTGAAACCGTGGTATTGGAAAATATAAATTTAGATTCCATCTTGGGTTACTGTTATCGACGTGGACTATGCAGTGTCTTGTTGGATTTGAGGGGAGACATTAAAGACCTTGAAGTGCTTATCAGAGATGGATTTGAGCAGAAACTGTTGCAGAAGATAGTAGTTGAAGTATTACCTGAATGGTGCGGGAAAGATGAGAGACAGGTCGCGTCGATGAACTGGTTAGAAGAAACAAAGGCTGTGGAAAATTTGCAGCCTAAGCAATTAGGTGGAAGCGTTTTGCTAGAGGGCTATCTTTGATGTTTTGACTATTGTGTGTGGTCTTACAGATTTCTTAAAAAAGATTTTAAAAGTATTACTTATTTCGTTTCATAAAATGTATGTTGTAAGATTTCTTTTTGTTTCACAAAAGTGAATGTAATAATAATACTTGGGTTCCTAATTAACCCATACCACCCATTCAATTAGATCTTTGACTGAGGAGTACGTTTTTAAAAATTCCATTTTCACATTATGAATTAGTGATTCTATGGCCTACACATAGTAAGAGTATACTAAGATCAGATGTTTTCATAATTGGATCTCTCATAAGTCAAAATCCATGCTAATGTCAAGGATGTGTAATAGAGTGGGAAGTACACAATAAACGAAAATCGGCGCTTGATGTCGACTAAGCATTACAAAATTCATGAACTGAAACATTTGACAAGTATTTTGGATTTTGGTGGAAAGATAATTTATCTAGAGATGTTCAAGCTAAACCAATAAAAAACCTTCAAATGACTCTTTCAATTGACAATCTTCAATTTAAGTTAAAGATTTATAATTGCATACATTTTAATATTTGTAATTGTTTTATCATCAAAATTTTTACTCTACTGAATGATTGTGTCAATTGAGTTAATTAATATTTATTATTATTCTAAAGAATTGGAACTGTAAAACATATATGATATAAGCATCCGACATTCAACAGCAGTCTAGTATGTACATGATAAAAGAGAAATTGCACTCGATAAAGATTCATCAACAGATTGGTGATGGGAACAAAAGATTATGAGCATGTCTCTATGTCGACTATGTGCGAGTGGTTCAACAACATCCACGCATTGCCTTAGCGAAAAAGTTGACCATACTCTATCCCCACCATTCTCCATTTCATAACCTTTTCCTTTATCATTCTTCTTTTTACATACATAGAAAACCTTTTTCAAGTGTTTTTCCAATGATGGTTTTCAGATAATAAAAAGAAAATTAGTTACATGCAGCTTGAGGAAACTATGGGTTTAGGTTATGAACTTTGTGGTTTCAACTTTCAACAACAATATAAATAATAAAAATGTGATACTAAAAACTATGTGAAAGATAATAAGTTTTCAGCTGAATGTTAATTGGCAATACGTAGATTCGTTCATGTTCTATGTATATTATTAATATGAGCTATTTACCTACAATAACCTTACTAAATAGGATATTTATTAGAATATCATCCTTCTACAACTGACTAACTAAAATAATTTTACAAAGTTGTGCAAAGACGTTAAAATCTAAATTTTCGATATAATAACGAAAATAAAAAATATTATTTTTTAATTATTATGAAATATATATATATATATATATTAAATCTAATTTTTTTCTCTCTCTCATTTTTTTTCCTTCTCTTTTATTTTTTTCTCTCTCTCTCTTTCTCTTTCTCTCTCTTTTCTTTTCTTCTCTCCGGCCAGATCTGGTTTTTCCGACCAGATCTAGTTTTTCTGATCATCTTTTTTATTTCTCTCTTCATTCTCTTCCTCTCTCTCATTTTCCATTCTCTCTTCCGTCAAATCTGTTTTTTTACTCATTTGTTTTCTTTCTCTTCTTTTCTATATTTTTTTTCTTCTCTCCGGCCAGATCTGCGACGGTTGATCCATGGCCGATAGAGCTTGTCTCCGGATCGACTTTTTCATCTTCTCTTATGTTTGGTTGCTTTTTCTCCGGCAGAATTTCCTATGGAAGCTTCAAAAAGTATGTGTATCTCTTCCCCGAGAAAGTGGTTTCAGAGGCATTCTCTGGTGGCCGATCTTCTCAGAGATGGATGTAGCGGCGGCTTGCAACAGTTTTTGTTCCTAGGGTTTTTGTTTTCCCGTTTTAATAGGTTTTGGATCATTAAAATTTCGGTATCCCTTGATGGTAAATTTGATGTATAAATTTTATTAGTAGTTAAGCGTTATGGTAGATTTAATTATAGTATGAGAAATGTTTCATTATGGTGGTAGATTTTTAATATATGTAACTTATTTGGCATAATAAATTTGATAATGATGGTAGATTTGTTTGATACACCGATTTGGCTTCTATATATCATAGAGCCCAATGTAACTTCCAGTAATCGACATGCACAAAGGGGGAAGACATTAGTAAATATAAATCTACCAGCACGGCATGCATAAATCTTCCACTAAATCATGTATAAATCTACTACGAACATACATAAATCTATCAACAAATCTATCAAATCAGAACATATCCTTACATTGAGTCCAAATCGTTATGTCAAAACATATGAGACATGGTGTGGCAGTATAATGGGTTTAACACCACCTACAAACGTGAACCAAGAAGGTTTGCTGCCAAATGTTTTCAGCATAGAAGATTTTCCAAGATTTGAGTTCTAATATCGTGTACTTTCTACTGTGTAATATGAATCGATACTTCAATCTCGATGTACTTCGTTCAGTGAACATCTCTAAGTACTTTCTATATATACTTTCCTTAACTTGTGTGTCCAGTAAGATCATCAAATTTTCCAATGCAGTGAACGAGTGTTTAACAGTCGAAATACAGGTTTCTCGAACCAAGATGGGAATGCAAAGTGCTACTGCAGATCTGTTGCCTAATGTTTTCAAAGCAGAAGAATTTCCAAGCTACAGGTTCAAACACCCATTAATGTGTTGCCACGAGTGCTACCTTTTTCTTCTGTACCAACTACTTAGATTTCAGTTTTAATAGCGTCTATTTTCTACTGTGGATCGCTTTATCTATCTCTATGCACTTCGTTCGTTGAACATCTCTAAGTACTTTCTTTCTTTAAGAACTGCTTCTCTATGTACTTTCTATAAATTTTGAAATGTAATGAACGAGTCTTCAACAGTCACTATAGAGGTTGAATCTCTTCACTGCAATATTTGCATTCTTATAACGTCCAAAATCAACATCTCACTGATCAACATTTGATTTCAACGTTCTTCACCATGAAATCACCATGAAAAGTCTACCACTACGCAATCACGATCTGTGAAAAAGTCAATTATCTACCAGCACATAATAAGTCTACCACTACGTAACATGATAAATCTACCACTGATGTTATTCTGGTAATTATAGAAAATATAACTCTACCACTACGAAAATCAAGTAAATCTACCACAACATCAAAATAACTCTACCAGGATTCGTTCGTACTAAAAACTCTACCATCACCAAAATAACTCTACCACCAAGTAAATACAGATTTAGGAGTAACAAAAATCTACCACCACAAATACTAAGTCTACCAAATAAAAATAAATCTACCAAGTCCAAAAACAAATCTACCGTCATTCAAAGTCAATGAACGTAAAAAGTCAATCAATCACCCTCTGGTAGGGTAGAAAACAAAAAATCTTCCACAACATATTTTTAAGTCTACCAAGTTTCCCAACAAATCTACCGTTCAAAAAATAACTATACCGTTCTCAATAAATCTACTGCGTTGTAAGCACTTCATCGTCAACAACAAGTCTACCAACGAAACAAATCTACCGGAAAAAAACAAATCTACCAGCTGTTGACCAAACGAAACAAGTCTACCGTCAAACAACTCGTTGACGTGGCAAAGAAAAAGTAATGGCACAATCGTAAATACTTTTTTTGCTATCAAAGGCTTGAAGAGCATAATCGGTACGCTAAGTTAGTTCAGTAATTACAAAAAATTTCAGCTATTCTAGCAAATACTCCTATTTAAAAGAATATTCTAGTAATCCTCTCTATTAATATTGGGTCTTTTCCACTTTTTATATGATTTTTATAACATACTGAAAGTTAATAAAGATTTAACTCTATACCAATCATCGATGATTAGATTAACTCTCGACTCTTACAAATTATAGTGTTGGTCTCTTATTTACGTCCAATGTAACAAACTCATATAAAACTATATTAATACATAAAAAACAATATATAAAGAGCTTACTTTTCTACTTTGTCTTGCTTTCGTTATCTTCTATATATATACAACCTTTTTGCCTTTTGGTATCTATACCATTCTTTCTTTACAACCCCCTTTTCGCTAGTTTGTTATTAGCACAAACTAATTATCATTAGAAGAACCAAGATTTTCACTTTAACAAACTAAACTCTTTATTTCTATAAGTGTGGTTAATATTGAAAGCACAATTCAAGAAGAAGAAGAAAAACAATATGGATCAGAGCCATTCAAACACAAGTCAATCAAGATCTGCAGATCGCAAAACTGTTGAGAAAAACAGAAGGATTCAGATGAAAGCTCTTTACTCAGAACTCAACTCTCTTCTTCCTCAAACTTCTAGGGTTTCTTCTTCTTCTTCTTCGTCCTCTGATTTGCATATATATTGATCTTTGATTCCATGTCTGATATATTTATTAATATATATAAACCCTTTTCTTGTTCAATGATTAGGAGCCTTTAACGCTGCCTGATCAGCTAGATGAAGCTGCAAACTACATCAAGAAGCTACAAGTGAGCGTAGAGAAAAAGAGAGAAAGGAAGAGGATGCTTATCGCGACCACAGCTTTCGACAGATTGAATTCGACTGGATCTTCTTCAATGTCTTCGAGTGTCGACGTCACCGTGCCAAGAAGGTTGCCGAAAATCGAGATTGAAGAAACCGGTTCGATTCTCCACATCTTTCTTGTGACAAGCTTGGAAGATAAGTTTATGTTCCATGAGAGCATCCGCGTTGTCACTGAGGAATTAGGATCTGAGATCACTCATGCTGGATACTCAATTGTTGATGATGCCGTCTTCCACACTCTTCATTGCAAGGTATAAATCCAAGAAAACATTTTTTGATCTGGAATTTAGGAGAAATCCAAATTTGCTACTACTATACGTACTATGTTAAAATTAGGTCTAATACACACCGTATACACGCAGTGGGAACAATATCCAAGTTAGGTCACTTAACTGATATATACAACTCGCAATCATTAGATATATACATATGATATCTATACTTATGCATTTTCAAAAAAAAAAGCCTATAAATTAAAGATGCACTCAAAATGCAAAGAAACTAAATTGGTCCCATCTAGTTCTATGTTTGTTTTACTAGTTGATTCCTAGCTCGTACTATACATCTACAGATGTCCTTGATGATTTCTCTTTTGCTAATTGTTAATTTACGTATATATAGGTGGAAGATTGCGATTATGGAGCTAGGAGTAGAATTTCTGAGAGTCTAAAGAAACTTGTGAACAGTGTCAACTAGTATTATCTCTAGTGTGTGTACCTATTTTTCCCTCTCCTTGCAGCTTTTTCTGTTTTTTTGTTTACGTTTTGTTCCTTTTGTTGAATTTTTATCTTTTCTTGAATTTTATCTTGCACTGTGAAAACGATGTTTCATTGTGAGCATAATTAAGATATGTCTTTTATCTCTACTAAAAGCTGTGAGATGTATGGAAATGTGGATGATAATACTCAACCAAAATATTCATTTTAATCATGTAATCCTTACTCTTTACGTCCGCTTAGACTAAATAATTCTACTAACTATGAACAAATAGTTGTATATATATATATATATATCTAAATTATCAATTATCAGTATGAGTAATTTATGAATTTATAGTGAGCAAAATGGCAACGTCTTATATCCCTCGTTGTAGTATTGTGACACATACGTCTTGCCTTACAAAAAAAGACAAGTATGATATTTAAAAAAAAAAGTTTCTTGGTGCTCTGAAAACGACTTATTCCCACAAAATTAATGAAAATATTCGTAATATATGTTACTCTGTGAAAGAAAAAGACTGGTCATATTGTGAATTGGTTTCTCTGAAAATTGAAATACACTATGAAGATTCGATAACAGAACTACCTTGACTCATTGCAATAATAAGAAAATGAATTGAGAACGTTTTACTTATATGGGCTGTGAAGTATAATTATATAATGATTAATGTAAAGCCCAATAATGCCCAAACAATAATAAAGAAAAAGAATAAAAAACCGACAAAATTAATAAAAAAACGTTCTTCTCTCCCTCGTGCCTAAATTGTAGGGTTTCCGCTTTCCCACACGAGATACACAGCTGCAACAGTATCTTGTCAACAATGGTAGTCGAAGCTTTCGAACTCTGCACCGTGCCTTTCAATTCCGATGGCTGGGGTCCTCCAGACGCTTCCGACGTCTCTTCCTCCGCCTCCTCAACCAGCGTCGCCGCCGCAAACCTTCTCCCGAACGTTCCCTTCGCCTCCTTCTCCCGCTCGGAGAAGCTCGGCCGTGTAGCTGATTGGACTCGCAATCTCTCTAACCCCTCCGCTCGTCCTCACACCGGATCCAAATCCGATCCGTCTGCGGTTTTCGATTTCTCCGCCTTCGCCATCGACGAAGGATTCGGTATCACTCCTTCCGGTGGAAACCCCGATGAGGACGCAGCTTTCCGTCTCGTCGACGGCAAGCCTCCGCCGCGTCCCAAATTCGGACCTAAATGGCGTTTCAATCCTCACCACAACCGGAATCAGCTTCCCCAGCGACGAGACGAGGAAGTCGAGGCGAAGAAGCGTGACGCGGAGAAGGATCGAGCTCGCCGTGATCGTCTCTTCAATCACAACAGAAACAACATCCACCACCATTACCAGCGCCGCGAAGCCGCCTCGTTCAAATCATCAGTCGATATCCAGCCGGAGTGGAACATGCTCGAGCAGATCCCTTTCTCGACCTTCTCCAAGCTCTCGTTCTCCGTTCAAGAACCAGAGGATCTCCTTCTCTGCGGTGGCCTCGAGTACTACAACCGCATCTACGACCGCATAACGCCTAAAAACGAACGCAGGCTCGAGCGTTTCAAGAACAGGAACTTCTTCAAGGTCACGACGAGTGACGATCCCGTCATCAGACGGCTCGCTAAGGAAGACAAAGCCACAGTTTTCGCCACTGATGCTATCTTAGCGGCTCTTATGTGCGCTCCTCGATCCGTCTACTCTTGGGATATCGTTATCCAGCGTGTGGGAAACAAACTGTTCTTCGATAAGAGAGATGGATCACAGCTTGATCTGTTGTCTGTTCACGAGACGTCTCAAGAGCCATTGCCTGAGGCTAAAGATGATATCAACTCTGCTTACTCTTTAGGTGTGGAAGCTGCTTATATCAATCAGAACTTTTCTCAGCAGGTTTTGGTGAGAGATGGGAAGAAAGAAACTTTTGATGAGGCGAATCCATTCGCTAATGAAGGTGAGGAGATTGCTTCGGTCGCTTATAGGTATAGAAGATGGAAGCTTGATGATAATATGCATCTTGTAGCGAGGTGTGAGTTACAGAGTGTTGTTGATCTCAACAATCAGAGATCGTTCCTCACTCTGAATGCTCTTAACGAGTTTGATCCTAAGTACTCTGGTGTTGACTGGAGGCAGAAGCTTGAAACTCAGAGAGGTGCGGTTTTGGCTACGGAGTTGAAGAACAATGGGAATAAGCTGGCTAAGTGGACTGCGCAGGCAGTCTTGGCTAATGCTGATATGATGAAGATTGGTTTCGTCTCTAGGGTTCATCCTCGTGATAATTTCAACCATGTTATGTTGTCTGTTTTGGGGTATAAGCCGAAGGATTTCGCTGGACAGATAAATCTGAACACTTCGAACATGTGGGGGATTGTGAAATCTATAGTTGATATTTGTATGAAACTAAGCGAAGGAAAGTATGTTCTAGTTAAGGATCCATCGAAGCCTCAAGTGAGGATCTATGAGGTTCCGCCTGATGCTTTTGAGAATGATTATGTTGAAGAACCTTTGCCTGAAGATGAACAAGTACAGCCACCTGAGGAAAACGCTGCTGAGGGAGGAGAAGCAAGTGTAGCAGCTATAACTAACGAAACCGAGGATAAGAAAACTGATGAGGGCCAAGCTTGATGGTGATTAAGTCGGGTAATTTCTACAAACAACTCTTAAAATTTAAAAAGCTGTTGCCTTTATATGTTTGTTGGATTTGGATTGATCATTTTCTTAAAGAACTTGTTGGATTTAGAATCTAGAACCCATGAGTATTCAGAAAGTGTTGGATTTTGGCAGTGTAATGTAGTTCGTGATCATCTGAATTTCATGCTTTCGCGTTCATTGATTCAGTTTTTCTGGTGATCTTTATTTTGTTTCTACTAGCTAGAAATATTATATAATTAAAATCTTATGAAGCCTATCATCATCATTCACAATTTAAATACAATATTTTTCAGGTCAATTTTTGTTTTGGTTTCTTGGTTCTTTTGAGAGTTGAAAGCTTCATCAACCAAACAACGACAAGGGAGGTTTTTCATTTTTCTTCTTGTTCTTCTTTTTCCAATTTTGGGGTTACTGATGTAATTTGAGTCGGAAATGAGATTTACAACATAATCAATAAACATGGTTTCACAAAACATCATTCTTGTTATGAATTATTTTGCACCAGTCACTTATTTATTTCCGAAATATTTTACATGTGACTTTGATATATAGTTTGATAGTTAAAAGTTTGTTTGTTCCGTGTGAAACACAATGAGCATATTCTCTATTCAACGAGTTTAATCCTATTATCCAGGTCATTTGTCTTCTCTGTCAAGATATCAAAATGTATTTACTATTAAAACTGAAATTAGAAAAACCAAATGGATCCAATGAACTGTCTCTGTTTTCACTAAGCATTCAGTTAATTATTATTTTCTCCAAATTACACCAACGTACTAATAATAACAACAAAAACGATAAAACAAAACAGGAAAACAAACCTACTGTCTTTTAAATAGGTCATCGCAAAACCCTTCAATGTCAGAACACAGAAACATACGATCAAGAACCTAATAAGCACGAAACAACATCAAATCTCGAAAGAAAGAAAGGAAATGGATCCAAACACAAAAACAATTCTCTTTTTCGCTTTGTTTTTCCTCTCTATAACTTTCCCTCGTATTTCCCTCGCCCATGAGCCTGAAGTCGGTATGTTTTTTTCAAAAAACTTTTGCGATAATTTAGTCTTTTGCATCAAAAACTCAATACATATTATATATAAGCTTTTATTTAATTTAATTGTGAAAACAGATGATGAAACAGCGTTTACGTACGAGCAAAATCCAGACAAAGGACCAGAGGGATGGAGCAAAGTAAATCCTCATTGGAAAACTTGTAACACCGGAAAATATCAATCTCCGATCGATCTCTGTAACAAAAGAGTTAGTCTTATTCATGATCAAGCAATGACAAGACAGTACAAACCAGCCCCGGCTGTAATTATGAACAGAGGACATGACGTTATGGTAAGCTTCATTAATTCTATAAATTTCATTATTTTTCTCATTAAACTATAGTATATTACTATTAAACTAACCATAATGGTAATCTAATTCTGATGAAAAGGTATCGTGGAAAGGAGATGCTGGGAAAATAACGATACGTGGTACGGAGTTTAACTTGGTGCAATGCCATTGGCATTCACCGTCTGAGCATACCATTAACGGAACTAGGTTTGTGTTTCCCAGCGTCTTTATCTCTCGTTAATTTCTCTTACACCGTATTTTCCACAAAAAGAAACAAAGTTAGATGGATCATTAATTTTATTTTGTATTTGTAAAATGTATTACAGTTATGACCTGGAGCTTCACATGGTTCACACGAGTGCTCGGGGCAGAACCGCAGTGATTGGAGTTCTTTATAGATTAGGCAAACCTAATGAATTCCTCGCAAAGGTAATTAAAACAAACAAAATTCTATAGATCGTATATTTAAGAACCTTTTTAATGGGTTTTTATTAATTTATAATGCAGCTACTAAATGGAATAAAAACAGTGGCGAAAAACGAGACAGATTTAGGGATCGTGGATCCAAGAACTATTAGATTTCAAACCAAAAAATTCTATAGATACATTGGCTCTCTCACTGTTCCTCCATGCACTGAAGGTGTTATTTGGACTGTCGTCAAAAGGGTATATTTTTAATTTAAATTTTATTTATAGATTTATAATATAATATACTATTTTTATTAATTACAAAATGCTAAATTTGGTAATATGTAGGTGAACACAATATCAACGGAGCAAATTGCAGCACTAAGGAACGCCGTTGACGATGTAAGTAGTCTAGTCGAATATTGCTAAATGTAATTTCATTAGGTGATATTTATTTGATTTATTACTAATCTAATCATTTACTGAATAGGGATATGAGACAAATTCAAGACCGGTTCAAGACCTAAATGGAAGATCTGTTTGGTTCTACGATCCAAATGCTTAATTTCTTTTTGAATTCACTTATTTTGTAATGGATTGTTCGAAACTTGAATAAAGAAAGCAATGAATTAGATCGATTAATTTGTAATTTAATTTTGAAGTCTTATCTGAACCGACATGAAAAAAGATAACGAAAATAACAAATTAGTTTTTTACCCAAGTGGTTATTATATAATACTCACCAAAACGGAACGTTTCGATGCGGCGATTAACTAGTCGGCATAGAAGCCAAAACGGTTCCCTTGTGGACCACGTGTCATCACATCCACACGTGTCACATTCTTAGGTTGCCAGCTTCTGCTGTCGGATCCATAAGCTGCAACGTATTTAGAGAACCGACCTCTAAGACCCATTGCAAAAAAGAGAAGAAAAGGGATCTCTATCGAATTGAATCGTCATAGCAAACAAATCTCGAATAGACAAATTGGAAGAAAATTTTTGATTGTTGATTTGATGAAAATGGCGGCCATGCAACTAACCAGAGCCACTCTCTTTAGCTTCTCAAAGGCTTTCGCTATAGTACGATCTCCGGAAACTCTCGCTGCTTCGACCCGGAAAGTCTCTCGCGTCTGCTTCGCCTCCTCCGTTAGCCATTCCGAGGTTACTTGCACAAACCCTTGCTTACACTTTTATAATATTCATATGATTGCTACGACAACATATAGTGAATTAGATTCTCATGCATCTGAGAACATGTGAAGAGCTTTGTCTCAAATAAGACCGGTTTTGAGGGTATCTCAATCCCTGACCAAAAAAGAAACCTATTTTAAATCAACGTAACACATTTTACGTACAAATATGTTCTTTCAGAAAGTTGCATAAACACTTTATCAAAAAAAAAGTTGCATACAAATATGTTTGAACATGCCTAGCTATAATAACATTATCGAGTAGGTACTGGATTTAAGGTATCGATAAATTTCTGCGTATGCATATCAATATATCATAATCATAGCTGTTTCATATCCTAGCTAGCCCAGGTTAGGATTTGATTTGAAAACTTAATTGTATATTGGTTCGATGCTAACGTGTTGGATAAGTTATTAACCCTAGTTTGAAGTTATACCACCTTGTTGAATGTGAAGTTTTATCGCTGTGTGTATGTGTGTGTCTTTTCCAGGGAAGAGATCCGGTAGAGAATGCTAGAGACTCGAGGGCCGATTTAGCTTACGGCTCAAAGAAATGGAGGGAGGATACCGGAGGGGACTATACACAAGCGGCTAAAGATAAAGCTAACGAAGGAGCGAGCAAAGCTGCTGACAAAGCTTACGAGACCAAAGAGCAGGCTAAGGACACAGCCTATGATGCAAAGGAGAAGGCTAAGGACACAGCCTATGATGCAAAGGAGAAGGCTAAAGATTACGCGGAACAGACTAAAGACAAAGTAAACCAAGGAGCGTATAAGGCAGCGGACAAAGCGGAAGATACAAAAGAAAGAGCCAAGGATTACGCAGAGGATACAATGGACAATGCAAAAGCGAAGGCTCAGGATGCGAAAGAAAAGGCCAAAGAGTATGGAGAAGAGACTAAGGAGAGAGCAGAAGGGTTTAAGGAGACGGTGAAGGGTAAGGCTGAGGAACTTGGAGAGAAGACAAAGGAGACTGTGAAAGGAGCTTGGGAGAATACCAAAAACGCTGCACGGACTGCGACTGAAGCTGTGGTTGGGCCTGAAGAGGATGCGGATAAGGCACGTGCTGACATCGATAAAGGCGTCGAAGATCTAACGAAAAAGGCGGAGACAAAAGCAGAGAAAGATCAAAAGGAGGATGATTTCATAACATTTAACTAATGAGAAAGATATATATCTTTATACGTGTTTCTCTCTGCTTTTCAGATGTTCTATCTCTTTGATGTGTCGCTCTGTTTTCAGCTTAATCTCTCTTTTTAAACTACGCCTCATCTCATGTATGCGACGATATGTATCAGTATAAAAATAAATCAATCTATGGTTATGCCTATAATATTTTAAGTTGATGACTAGAAAGAATATCATATTTCTATTTCTAATCTGTGGTTATGTCTCTTGACTAAAAAGAATATTAAGTTTCTGTTTCTTAACGCTGTGATTACGAACAAGTGAAAGTGATGTTTATTGATTACTACCGGTTAATAATGGTTGTTTATTACTGGTGGTGGTTGTCGACCGTTTGACCTTGTGAGTTTTTACTTCTTAATTTGTGATAAAGAATAACCGTTATATTATGGCGCGAACTTCTTTAACTATGGAAGAAATTTTTTATTAAATCTTTAAAAGGAGAGGTGTTTTGTGGTTTTAAAAATATAATATTATATATATATATATATTTTTTTTTTGGTCAAACAAAAACTATATACAACTATTCTGGCTGAGTTTTTGTTTCTTGGAAATGATAGTATTGACTGTACTCATCATGTATGGTGTATTTATGCACTCTCACACAGTTTCTCTAAATTATCGTTAATTTCTTAATAAATTTACCACTCGATCTATAGACTTTCTTTTATGAGCCTCTTCTTCTTTTTTCTTGGTCATTCTTATTGTTCAGTATTTAGACTTTTCAACTTTCACCATTTGTTTTCGTTTAGAATGTTGTCAAATCTTATACAACATCGTCTCATAGTTTTGGAAGGCTTGAAGTCCCAAAATAAGAAGACTACTACACATAAAAGATGTAATTCCAATGGTTTATTAGAAGAAAATGAACATTTACTATTTAGTAATATGAACTAGAAACCCCTAATGTCAAAGACGAATCACTTTACTATTTGACCAGATTAATATTTTCAAATTAACTATATTTTGTGGCTTGAAACAAGTTCTTTTCTTGCTTTATAGAATAACATAATTGATACTATATATAGATTTCTGCTATAAATCTCTCTTATGCACTATGAAAAACATGCATACTCACACACATACACATTAGTTTCATAATCAATCTTTCTTAAGTTTTTAATAAAGTTAATTATTTAAGTGTTTTGTCGATTCTAAAAATATATTGTATAAATTATCATTTTTATAATTGTTTATTTTTTGTTTTTTATATTGAAATTGAGTTAACTAAACATTCTTTACATTTGTACATATTTATAACATTTTTAACTTTTTATGAGATTGTTGGGATAATTTTTGAAATGGTCCACTAGATATTTTTATTACGAAACATGACCTTTCTTAAAATGATCTTTTTATGACCCATAAAAGAGGTCAATTAGTCTACATTCAATTGTAAGACCAATTAATCTGTCAATAGTTTGCATTCAGTCTGTCATTAATCTTCTATTAGGTTATAAATAAAAGTAATTAGAAAAGTAACGCTGATATTTTTAAAATCCGTAAAATAAGGATCATTTTCATAATTTTTCCTCAATAAAATACTTGTTTCACATTATTTTCTTATTTTGAATTATTTTGGAGTATTTCCTCTTATTTTTTTTTTTTCATATGCGCACATATTCATTGATGTGTGATCTTACATGTTTTGATATATTTTCTCATGGTAAATGCTTACAATCTAGTTGTGTTTGTTTTGCCTTAAATTGGCATTATATTCTCAATGACACAAGATTTTGTTTATGTTTTTATAAACTGATTCATTTAATCATATCTTCTTGATTTTCCAATTATTATATACAAACAAAAGTTCAGAGTAAGAGAACCTTAATTTTTTTTTACTAAGCTCAGACACAGTTTTAATGTATGAAGATAGATTTTTAGATTTTATTAATATATAATCTTTGACACGTTTTGCTAATAATCTCACTATTTTAAAAGTAAAAAGTATATCTTCCTTAACTTCCACACACTAAAAACCTATATGTAAGATACCCTCTCCCCCATAACACTAAATATTATAATAACAACAATAGTCATAACAAGTAAAACAAGTAGTCCGTGAGAGAAATGAGTGATTCAAATATTTTTGTGAGGAAAAACAATCAGGTGAATGAGGAGAAGCCTCCACCACGAGCGTGTCCAAGGTGTAACTCAAACAACACTAAATTTTGTTACTACAACAACTATAGTCTGGCTCAACCGCGCTACAGCTGTAAAAATTGTCGTCGATATTGGACTCACGGTGGAGCTTTAAGAAACATTCCAATTGGTGGAAGTGGTCGTAAAATCAAGCGTACAAAAATAAATCAACCATCGATTTCTCAGGTGGTTTCTGTTGAAATCCAACAAGTTAATCATCACCAACCTTATTTACATGTTCAAGAAACCAACGAGTTTGTTGGATCTTTTGGTGGTTCTTCTTCTTCTGCATCTGTTATTGCTATTGGGAACCATTTTGGTTCTTTGCCTCAAATTCATAGTGATTTGGTGCTTCCAATTTCAAATATTCAACCACTGATGAGTCATTTAAATTTCTCTGATGGATCGTTTCGTCAAAACTATCAAAATGTGGGATTCAATTATTTGATTGGTAATCCTTTGATAAACCAATCAATTGGTAGGCATGTTGAAAATTATAGTGGTTATCACATAAATACTAAAGATCAAAACAAATGAAACCAAATCTTCAACAACACTATGTACATGAATCATAAGGTCAACATTGATGGAAGCAGAGGATTTTCGGGCATTAATTACATAAAGATGAAAAAAATATAAATAAAGTGAGAAATAAGTGTGTGTTTAGGTTTCCTTATCATTCGGAAAAAAATAGTCCTTAAATCTTAAATATATTATTCGTTTTATTTTCTTAAGTTAATGTTTCAGATTCTAGTAAATAAAAAACCTAAGAGGGTATATTGAAACAGAAATTTTAGAAGACTTTGTGGTTATTTTAAAATTCCATGTTATTCAAGTAATGATTTCTAAATATCTTATCAAAGTCCATGTTATTGAACATAAAATTTATATAAAACCAATTAAAATCACTTCAACATCCATGTTATTCAATCAAGAATTTGTAAAAACCAAATCAAATCCACTGTTGTTGGAAATATTTTAAATAGTGGATTTTAATTACTTTTAAGTGATTTGGTGGAGTTTGTTAATTAAAAATATAGAAAACCAAATCACATTGTTTTAGGTAGAATTTCATATAATTTTAATATCAAATCATATCAACTTCTCTAATCCACATAAAATCATCTAAAATTTCATTAAAACTCAAATCTTCTCAAATTCTTTAAAATTTTAGTTTCAATACACCTCCCCTAGTGTTTCAGTTTTTCATTTATGTTTCCTGTTGGATCTTTTTGTCATTGTGGTTTTTTTATCTTAATTTAAGTTATGAAAGTTTACATCTTTTTGTTTCTAAAAATATTTGAATATAAGTTGCTTGTCTGATCTTTTGTCTTTTATATTTAATATTATAAATATTTAATCGTTACCAAGTCGTTATGACTTCTATGACATTTAATTGATAGCACATTGCTCTGTTTTAACCACTATTAATAACACTAGGTATATACCCGCGCTACGCTGCAGAAAATATTTCTAGATTTTGTATATATTTTTAATATAATTTGTATAATGTAAATGAGTATTATATTTATTTTTTTAATAGCTTAAATTATGTATTTATATGTTTTAAATCTGAATAAACATTATATATCCTTAAATTTTTTATTTTTCAAAATTATAATCTACTATCAATTTGTTTAGCTAATTATCTATAAATGTATATGTAAGAATAAAACAATATATTTTTTAGTACTTTTATGCTAATGAAAAATATAATTTGTTATCTCTACTAAAATATCACTTGATCCTCCTTTGATATTATATAAAGCAAATTGCCATTTTCATAAAAATTATTAATTAATATAATTATTTTGAATTATAAAATTTATTTATTTATCAAATATTTATTATAAATATGTTTATAAAACTATCAAACTATAATCAATAACATTCATATCAAAACCATTGTTATTGTTTTAGAACTAAATAGAAAAATATGTTTGGACTGTTGAAATATCAATTTAGTTGAAGTTAAATAATTAAATTTTGGTTACTATAAACATATTGTAACTTGAAAATTTAGCACAAAGAAATTTAATCTACTTACAAAAACTGAGAAATCGTACTTTCCGACAGAACAAAAAAAAAATTATTTCACTTATTCCCGCCAAAACCAAAAATATTCATTTTTTCGTCAAACCTGAAATTTTATTTTCCCACCAAAATAGAGTAATTGCATTTTTCCGCAAAAACAAAAAAAAAAACACATTTTCCTGTGAGAACCTGTGTTTTCCCGACAAGACAGAAAAATCAAAATTTTCACCAAAACCAAAATATTCATTTCCCCATGAAAACCGAGAAATCGTCAATTCTCGCAAAAAAAAAATCATTTTTCTCGTCAAATCAAAAATCAGGCCTTCCTACCAAAACTAATAAACTATAATTTTGCGCAAAAACCAAAATTTGCATTATCTCTATAGAAATTGTGTTTTCTGCGAAAACTAAGAAATCACATTTTACCGCGAAAACCAAAAAAATCATATTATATGTCAAAAACTGAAAATTTGCATTTCTCATCAAGCGAGAAATTGCTTATTCCTTCCAAAATCGAGAAATTTTGTTTTTCATCAAATTGAGAAATTGGATTTTCTGCCAAAATCGTCAAATTACAATTTCTCACGAAAACTAAGAAATCACATTATCCCGCAAAAAACCAAGAAATCACATTATCCATCAAAAGCCGAAAAATTGCATTTCCTATCAAAATCAAGAAATCATATTTTTCATCAATTGAAAAGTTGCATTTCCTTGCATTTTCTCGTCAAAACTAAGATATTTTGTTTTCGCGTCTAAATCAATTATTTTTTTTTGTTTTCTCATCAAACCCAAAAAATCACATTTTTCGCCAAACCTGATAATTTATTTTTTCTGCCATAACCAAAAACAATTATGTTTTCCTAGCAAAACTCAAAATCACATTTTCCTACCGAAACCAAGAAATTTCCTATTCCCGCTAAACCCATAAAAATTTGTTCTGAGTAACCACCGGAAATGCGAATCTTCAAGTCATGGTGGTGTGAGCTTCTCCTCATTTGCTTTCAACTTCTATTTTTTGTAAACTTTTTGGATTTTTAATGGGTCTGTAAAATAGTAAACTGGTTTTATTAGTGTGTTAATGATATGTATTATTGTTATGTTTTTAGTGGTTCAAATTTTTGCTGATGTGTGAGCTTCTTATAACGTAAAGCTTTTTGCGTTGTTGTTATGGAAACATAGTTGATGATGAGCCTACATTTTTCCAATCATATACGTCTCTGTCAAACAAACAAATAGCTAAAAAAAAATTATTTATTTGCTGTTAATTATTATTTGGGTTTGGCAAAAAAAAAAGATTTAATTTTTTTTTATTTGCTGTTATTTATTATTTGGGTGTAGATTTGGCAAACAATAAAACAAAGATTTTTTTTATTTGCTGTTATTTATTATTTGGGCTTTGATTTATTAAAAAAACATATATATATTTGGGTTTTTAATAGGTTTAAATTTAAAAATTAAAATAAGTAGATGAGTTGTATTAATGTTTTAATTTGATTGGTTTGTAAAATAGCTGAAGTGTCAGCTTCTCAAAGATTAAAAAATCTGATGTGTCAACTTATCAAAAGACTGAGTGTTATTGTTGTATTGATTATGTGAGACACATTAGTGTATAAAGTAAGATCTGATGAATTTATGGTTACGTCTAAACTATTGAGCTTATATTTCCCCTATAAATCTGAATTTCGACAGAATGCTCTTGAAGTTTTACTTTCAGTATTATGTTAAATGGGGAAAATAAAAAGTCTTAATGAATCTTAAAAGTGGGAGAATATATTTTACTAAGAAGATAATGGTTTGTAAGTTAGAGTGGAGAAGATAAATTGGTGGTAAGCACAGGGTATGATAGTTTATAATATAAAATTTTAAAAATGCCTTTGTATATAATTATAGATTGAAAATATGAATTCTATATATGTAATATACTAATATTCTCTTTATTTAGATGAGTTTTTAAATTTTCAAAAATAAATTATTTTATTTTACAAAGTTTCTAACTACACCTTAATTTCTTGTTTTTTTTAATATCATGTGTATTAAATATTAACAAATCATAAAAATAAACATATACTTATATATTATTTTATCGATGAAAAATTATTTTATGCATCATATTATATTCTCTCTCATAATAACTATTTACTTGCAATCTATTTTTCTAATTATTTGTGTTAAATATAATTAAATCATTATCTATAAAATATATTTTACGAATCATTTTATACTCTCTATATTGATTTGTAATTTATATTTATTTATCTCCAAATTTTCTTTTTATTTCAAATATATATTTTTTTTATTTTGCACGAAGAAACCAAAACCTGTTAATAAATCTTAAAAAAGAAAAAACCCTATTAATAAGAAGATAATGTTTTGAAAGTTAGAGTACAGAAAATAAAGTTAGAGTACAGAAAATAAAGTGGTGGTAAATAAAGAGTATGATTTAATCTAAAAAATTAAAACTGCGAAATTTACATTTTAGAAAAATGGATTATTATATAATATTTTTGATTTAGGTGTTTTGTTAATTTCAAAAAAATATCTTATTTAATTTAAAAATTATAACTATTTGGTAAATTATGTTTATTTTTATGTTTATTTAAAAATTCTAGCTTATTTTTATATTTTTTAATCAACTTGTGTAAATTATGTATGTTAAATATTGACATAATATATATAATTTTTTATCAATAAAAAAACTATTTTACGCATCATACTATATTTTTCTCATGATTATATTTATTTGCAATTTATCTATTCTTCTTTTACCATTTGTATTAAACATACACAAATCATTATGTATAAAAACATATTGTACACATGATTTTTATACTCTACATCATAGTTACTATTTATTTATAATTTATGTTTATTTATACTTTGATTATACTAATATGACATGACTTATTTAACTATACACTTTTAATTCTTTATTTATATGAATAACAGAGTAATATCATCTTGATTTTGACTAATCTTATCCTAAGGTTTATGATATGTAAATAGATTTACAGATTTTATAGATATACGATTATTGACACGTTACGCTCATAATCTTACTTTTCAAGTACTTAAAACATACATATTTTTAATTTTTACACCTCGGAAACCTATATAAGAAGAGACACCCCATAACACTAAATATTAGAATAACAATAATAAAAAGTAAAAAAAAAAAACTCTTTAGAAAAATGAATAATTCAATTTTTGTTTTAGAGAAAATAATCAAATAAATGGGAAACCACCACCGTGAATGTGTCCCCAGTGTGACTCAAACAATACCAAATTATGTTACTACAACAACTATTGTATGTTATTGTTACTGGAAACCATTTTGGTTCTTTGCCTGAAATTCTATATATGTAATATTCTCTTTATTTAGATGGGTTTGTCAATTTTCAAAAATAAATTATTTTAATATCATGTGTATTAAATATTAACAAATCATAATATATATATATATTATTTTATCGATGAAAAATATTTTACGCATTATATTTTATTCTCTCTCATAGTTAATATTTACTTTCAATCTATTTTTGTAGTCATTGGTGTTAAATATAATTAAATCATTATCTATAAAAAATATTTACCAATTATTTTATACTCTCTATATTTATTTGTAATTTATGTTTATTTATCTTGAAATTTTTATTTTATTCTAAATATATTTTTACCATTTTGCACGAGGGAACCAAAATTTGTTAATAAATCTTAAAAAGGAGAAAAACTATATTAGTGAGAAGATAATGTTTTGAAAGTTAGAGTACAAGAAAATTAAGTGGTGATAAACGAAGAGTATGATTTAATCTAAAATATTAAAACCATATAATTTACATTTTGGAAAAATGGATTCTCATATAATATTCTAAATTTAGGTGTTTTTGTTAATTTGATTAAAAACAATTATTACTATAGCTCATTTTCTTATGTTGTTTTAATCAACTTGTGTAAATTATGTATGTTAAATATGAACATATTATATATATAAAAAAATTTATCAATAAAAACTTATTTTACGCATCATACTATATTTTTCTTATGGTTAATATTTATTGGCAATTTATCTATTCTTCTTTTACCATTTGTATTAAATATAAACAAATCATTATGTATAAAAACATATTGTACACATGATTTTTATACTCTACATCATAGTTAATATTTATTTATAATTTATGTTTATTTATACTTTGTTTATACTAATATGATATGACTTATTTAGCTATACACTTTTAATTTTTTTATTTATATGGATAACAGAGTTAAGAGTAAGATAATCTTGATCTTTGACTAATCTTAGCCTAAGGTTTATGATATATAGATAGATTTTCAGATTTTATTAGATTTTATAGATATACGATCATTGACACGTTATGCTTATAATCTTATTCTTCCAATACTTAAAATATACATATTTTTACTTTTTACACATCGCGAATCTATATAAGAAGAGGTACCCCATAACACTAAATATTGGAGTAATAATAATAAAAAGTAAAAAAAAAATAACTCTTTAAGAAAATGAATAGTTCGGTTTTTGTTGTGAGAGAAACCAATCGAGTGAATGAGAAACCTCCACCGCGAATGTGTCCCCGGTGTGACTCAAACAACACCAAATTCTGTTACTACAACAACCATTGTATGTCTCAGCCGCGCTATTTCTGCAAGAACTGTCGTAGATATTGGACTCATGGTGGGACTTTAAGAGACATACCGATTGGTGGAAGTAGCCGTAAATCCAAGCGTCCAAAAAAGGTTCAATCTTCTGTTTCTGAGATGGTTTCTGTTGAGAATCAACAAGTTAATCATCACCAACTGTTTTTACAGGTTCAAGAAACCAACAAGGTTGGTGGATCTTCTGGTGAGTCTTCTTCTTCTGTTGGGAACCATTTCGGTTCTTCGCTTGAGGTTCATCCTGATATGATAAATGTGCTTCCAATTCGAACTTTTCCACCAATAGAGGCTTCATATGTTTCGGATGAATCATTCCTACCAAATTATTATAATTTTGGATCAAATGATTTGGTTGGTCATCCTTTAATAAATCAATCAAGTGGTGGATCTGGTGGCGTGAACTCTGATCCAAACAGCAACCGCATAAATCAAGAGAATCTAAACAACTGAAGTTAAAGCTCCAACAATACTATAAACATAGTCTGCAACACATGTGTACTTAAATCCTCCTATCAATTGAAGAATCATGGTCCATAAATTTTAACCATTAGTAGCTTAATGTTTCAGTTTTTATATTATTTTTCCTTTTCTTCTTTAATGTTTTCTGTTATTTTTTTTCCTAAAACATTCCGACATAAATGCTTGTCTGATCTTTTTTCTAATTAATATAATGAAGATTCATCTTATTGTACCAGTTCGTTATTTTGCAATCTTCTTCTCGAGTCTGGCAAATCATGTGCCAACTCCTTTTTTATGTTTGTAGTTACTGTAAGTGGGATGTTGACCCAAATCGCAAATAAAAAATTGAGATTCTCAAGCTGACATGCAGAGTTTATAGTGTAGAACCAAATACGTTCTATAGAAAATTGACATTTAATGGGTAATATATATCAACATGTAATTGTTGGGAAAAACCCCCGTTTATTGTTGGAAAACTCCAAAATACCTTTTATCATATACTTATTTTGATTTCCAAAATATATCTAAGTTTCAGTTTGTTATTATTATTTTGAGTTCGTTTCAATTGAATCTCGGTAATCTAGTGTTCTATAACCATAATTTTAAAACATGATTCATATATAAAATTACCATAAACTATACATTAATTAATAAAATAATTAAATTGAATAAATTCATTTTAAAAATTAAGCTCATCTAAAAAGCCAGCTAAAACCAATAGGTAAGTCCAAGTAAATAGTGTCTTTTCTATAAATTATGACAAATCAACTATGATCTAATATTTACAAATTAACTGAAATAATATTTCTCAATATAACATTATAGTTGTCAGATTTTTTCCCCTGTTTTGTAATCTTATTTAGGTAAATGTGTCTAAAAAAATTAGTAAATTTCTATGTTTGAAAATATTAATCTGTTCCAGCTAATGTTGGCTGGTTTGGCTGGATTAATAGATTTGGTTTATTTTTAGATTATTTGTGAATATATGGTAAAAATCTAAAAATGTAACATAAATAGATCTCTTATTGTTGGCAAGAACAAAATAAATTGTTCCCTCGGATTTTCTAGAGCCAAAAGGGCCACTTTCTAAGAAAAAATCTTTAATGGTATTAAATTAAAGAAGATACTATATAATAGGGACGTCCAGATTTTATCGACACGTTGATATGACCAGTTACCTAGTACCTACCACAAGTCTTTGAAGCGGAAAAGCTATATTTTGTCAGTCACTGAATCCAACAGAGAGATAGAGTCCGCAGTGAATTTGACACGTACACATTTATCTCTTTATTCATTTTGTAACAGTTTCTCTTTTTTCTTAACATCAGTAGTACTACTATGCTGAATTGCATTTTTTCTCAAATTTCTAATTTACTTACTTGTTATTGTTTTGTTGCGTGTAATACGTGAGTAAGCAGTTTAATTACGGATTGGTAAATTTGGTGGAATGGTGGAAAAGTGGAAAAACTCAATTCCGCAAGAATTTTGTTAATCAGAAAAATTTGCGGAAAAACGCCAAAATTCAAGTTCTGCGGAATGGCGGAAATATTTACAAAAAATACAAAAAAAAATTAATTAAGTGAAAAAATGTGTTTCATGTAGTTTATTTACGGAATCAATATTTTATATCATTCAATTATATAACTAATTATATTTTATTATTTAAATAAATATAAATAAATATATTTATACTACATATATTTATATAATGATCAGATTATATCTGTAGATTAAATATTGCAATATATTTATATATTTTATAGTAAAAAAATAATAATAAAGAATTACAATAAAAATTTTAATTTTTTCTAATTATATTAAAATTATGGTTTTTATAATAATTAATATTTTATTTTTTATTATATTAAATTATATATAAAAAATATTATTATGAAAAATTAATTATATATATTTTCTGTCATTCTACCATTCCGCATAATTTATCCAATCATATCATAAATTAATTATTTCACTATTCTGCATTCTACCATTTCACAGCTTAATTTTTTCCGTGTTCTACAGTTTTTATTGTCTTACCAATCGTACCTAACTTAAGAAACGTGCGATCGTAATGGACGATTCGTTCAAGAAGAGTACTATAGAGAAATCCAGAGGGTTTTAACTTTAAAACTTTCAAAAATATTTGAAAAATGAATTTCACATTCAATGGTCGCGACAAAACAAATTAAGACGTACGATACACGTGTCCATGCATTTAATAACAAAAGCTATTGACGGTACAAAACGTCAAAAACAAATTCCCTTTGACGTGGGTAATTACACAATGTCATCTACATATATATATGCATATCATATATCTCAACCACTCCATAATTAAACCAAGAGAGATCTCAATCATTCCTTTGAAATCTTTACATACTCGGTTCTTGTTATATATTTGATCCTTAAAAAAGGAAAATGGCTACTTCACGTCTAGCAAGATTTGTATCAGAGGTTGCTCCGCCTCAATTCGTGACGGTGATGAGGAGGCATAGAGCAGCGAAACAGAAGCTAGACACCATCAAAGAAGAAGAGAACAAAGAAGATTATTTCGGAGGTGGGATGATGATGATGTCTAATAAGATAACATCATCTCAGCATCATCATGCTTATTCCTCTTCTTCTACTTCAGTTTCTAATTCTGGATCTACCTCTAAGAGTTTTCTCGTTGAGGTTCGAAGCTCCTTTTCTGTCTTCGAAAACTAAGATCTTTTATATAAACGAGTTACATATGCTTCATCGGGTCGGTATTTTTGTGTGCACCCGTTTCTTTTTTATTGGTTGCTTATAATTCAGACCTTTTTATTATTATCTAAAAGGTCGGATACATTTAAGGAGTTGTATGATTATTGTATCTCTTAATGATCAGTTGTATTATTAAGGGTTCTGCATATTGTAATTTTCGAAATCCTTTTCTGAATAAGGATGTGGTTATGTAGACACGATTACACATATATAGATTTCTTGATTTACAAAAATTGTTGTTGGAAACACAGCAAATCACATACTGTTTATAGAGATGCAAAAACTCTTTATTATCATAACATATATATAAATATTATAATTCTATTTACATATAACATATATGAACATTTTACAAACTTGTAAGTTGTAAGAGTTCAGTTGAATAGTAGCGACTAGCGAGTCATGCTTAGTCAACTAACTATTTCTAGTTCCATATCACAAATGAAAATAACAAAAATATATGAATTATATAACTACTAATTTATATGATTTCGTAAATAACGAATCAATTGTCAGAGTGCATTATCAGTATTGTATTTTTTTTTCAATCTAAACCGTACACAAATAATGGGATTAATAAAACGTCCAAACCAGATCATACACCAAAAAAATTCCTCAAGTAGCCGACCCATATATAACCTACCCTATTTGTATACAGTTTCCACTACATATTATTTGAGAAGTAACATTATTGAAAATAGCTTACTTGTCAACACTACAGCCAAAGTTAGTGCTTTTAATTGATGACATGTAAATATGACATGTCAAATTTCCTAAAATAAACGAAGTATTTTGATTGGTTAAATTAAAATTATAGTTATGAAATTAAAACATAAATAAACTAGATTATATTTGTAACACTAAAATTAACAAATTTAAATTAACAGAAAATAAAAGTTATTATAATTATAATTTTTTACATATATTCATAATTTCATAAAATATACTGTAATTATGAACTTTTTAATAATATATATATATATTATAATTTCACATAAAAACAAAAAAAATAATACTAAATGATCTAATAGAATAGTAAAAATTATATTTATTAATAATACTTGAAGTATGATATATTTTTATATCGGAAAGTTATTAATTTACAAAATATATTAATAACATCTAAACAATTTCTAAATAAAAGAATTATTAAATAATACAATTTTAAATAAAATACAATCATGATAAAAATAATTTAATGAATAAAATGTTAAAATAATAAAATAATTAAATTTTATTGAAATGGTTTTAAAAAACCATAATTTTGAATAATTTTATTTTCAAACCGATATTTACTAATTGAATAAAGTATATACTAATTATTATTTTATAATATTAATAGGACCATATATTTTTCTATAACTTTTATTATCTTTTTATTGTTGTTTTCTAAAATATACATAATTTATGTTACCATCTCATCTTATCTCTTATCATATTTTAAATAAAAATAATAGCATATGCATATATATATATATATATTTATTTTCATTGTATATGAAAAATTTGAGATAGTAAATGAAATAAAAAATAACCGAACGAAAAAATAAATTATAATAAGATGAAACAATATGAATCATAAATAAAAAATAAAAGTATATAAAAATAAATTTCTCGCACTTTGTTTTACAAAGTCACTTAAAAACTTTTTAAGACGTAAGAGCCATATTTTATTTTTTTACAAATACGCGTACATACATATATATTAATTGTATATTAGTTGAAGTCACATGCGAACTTTTTCGTGCATGTATTTTGTTAAGATTGATTACAGTATAATTTTTATTTTAATTATTATACAATTTATATTTTTAAAATTTTTTTATCTATTCTAAGTGTAGTGAAGTGGGTATACTCGCACATGCATGCCAATTATCTATCCGCTCTTAGAAATAAGTAAAAATAGTAAAAACTATTTCAATTTAATTTGCAATAAATCAAGAAAAATATATACTTAAATATATTATATGTATTTGCAAATTTATATTATGTAAAACGTAAAAAAGCATATCGTAGATTGTGTAAGGAGAAATAAAGCATATTATAGAAATATTTAAAAAAATATTATAAGAATTTTTAATTATTATTTAACTTAACTTTTATATTTATGATTATATATTATTACAAGCATTATAAATATAAAAAGTTTTAAAATACATTGATTTCAGAAAGAAGTTTGTGAAATTTAAAACAATATATATACAAACATACCAATATTTAAAAAAACTAATCAAAATTTAAATATTACAATTAACTATATATATCAAAAAAATTATACCCGTACATATGTACGGACCAACCACCTAGTTACATATTATGCACAAAACACAGTGAAATCAAATGACAATATTAATTTAATATAGGATTTATGATTAATCTGAAAAAATCAAGTAGAAAGTAGAAACCGAAATCCGTATTGAATTCCAAAATTGACCAAAAATCTCATAACTAAAGCCAGATAAAAGAGTTTGCACCCAAAAAGTAATGACTACAATAAACCCTTTGATATCTTTCTCTGATTTTTATAACTGAAATTTACTAAAACAAATAATTCATATTTTGATTTTAAAAGGAAAAAATCGAATGTCAGATAAGGGAAGAGAGAATTTTGGATGGTTTTTTTGAATTTAAAAATGAAAAAGGTTCCTTCCGATTTCTCTCCTTCATCTTCCTTAGTGGGGTTCGTTCTCCTCTGTAATATTTTGCTTCAAGCCCTCTAAACCGCTGAAATCAGGTGGATTGCTTCATTGCAGTTTTAAAGTTAGTAACTTTCTCAATCTCTTCTTCGCCCCAATTATTGCTCTTTTCAAATCCTGCCAAAAGAGGAAAACAATTCTCGTCTCTTTGAACACCCGTGTCAAATCGAGACATCTGGGTTGTTTTGATTGGATTCCGTGGGAGTCTATCAATCTCAGATCGTGCCAAGGTTTCAACTGTTACTGCTGGGTTTTGGGTCTTTTCTCTTTTGCTGACTTTACAGGTTATAAATCTCAAGTTAATCGTTAGAATGAAGTTGTTATTATGAAATTGGCTACATTTTAGATACGCCATTATCAGTTTTTGATCCAAGTCGAAAAAAATTTGATTTTGAGGGAAGTAGTAGTAATTAGCTTGACACTAACAATGAAAAGGGTAAAAAGCGAATCTTTTAAAGGGAATTATAGCTCTAGGAGGTTCAAGTTGTCTCATTTGTTCTTGGCTATAGCTGGGTTTTACTTAGTTTTTCTAGCGTTCAAGTTCCCACATTTCATCGAGTTGGTCACTATGTTGAGTGGAGATACTGATTTAGATGGGGCATTGAGGGATACGGTAGATGTTGGTTTAAGCGGGTCGTTACACAGTGATATGTTGCATCGAAAGCTAGAAGACGAAGAGAGTCAAAGCGGGCCTTCTACTACACAGAAGGTGCCACCAGAAGAGAAGAGAAGTGGCTCTAAACCGATTCAGCCACTTCAGTTTCGGTATGGTAGGATATCGGGGGAGATCATGAGACGTAGGAACAGAACTGTTCACATGTCACCCTTTGAAAGAATGGCGGATGAGGCTTGGATGCTTGGATCCAAGGCTTGGGAAGATGTCGATAAGTTTAAGACTGAAAATATCGAAGAGGTTCCTGTTAATGCTGTTGAGTCATGCCCTTCTCAGATCTCAATGAACGGAGATGACTTGAATAAAGCCGATAGGGTCGTGTTGCTTCCATGTGGTCTTGCTGCAGGATCTTCTATAACGATTCTCGGAACTCCACGGTACGCGCATAGAGAATCTGTTCCACAGCGTACGAGGTGGGCAAGAGGCGATGGGACGGCTCTGGTTTCGCAGTTTATGGTTGAGTTGCAAGGGCTCAAGACTGGGGATGGGGAGTATCCCCCTAAGATTCTTCATTTGAACCCGAGAATTAGAGGTGATTGGAATCACAGGCCGGTCATTGAACACAACACATGTTATAGGATGCAGTGGGGTGTTGCTCAAAGATGTGATGGTACTCCATCCAAGAAGGACACAGACATGCTTGGTAAGTCTCTAACATCCATCATTAAACTGTTTGTTAGTTTAGATGTGTCGAAATAGTTGCACAAATCTAGCAGGTCTACGCTTTGTATACCTTGATTTTGTGTAGTTATGTTTCTTTTTTGTTTCTTTTCATCAAATTAAATGTATTTTTTTCCAGTTGATGGATTCCGAAGGTGTGAAAAGTGGACGAAGAATGACAACATTTACATGGTGGACTCAAAGGAATCCAAGACAACTTCTTGGTTCAAACGGTTTATAGGACGTGAACAGAAACCAGAAGTCACTTGGTCATTCCCTTTTTCGGAAGGCAAGGTCTTTGTCCTAACTTTGCGAGCTGGAATTGACGGTTTTCATATAAACGTTGGAGGAAGGCATGTTTCGTCATTCCCTTATCGACCGGTATGCTTGCTTTATCATAAGAGCATTTCTACATGTATATGCTTTATTAATTGGTCCCAACAGTATAGTATTCATCCGAAAGAAGAGATTTCGTCCTCCTCTATGTCTGATGTCTTTTTATGTGTATATTGTGATTTCTGGCTTCTCAGGGGTTCACCATAGAAGATGCCACAGGGCTGGCAATTACAGGAGATGTTGATATTCATTCTGTTTATGCTACTTCCCTTTCGACATCTCATCCGAGTTTCTCCCCTCAGAAAGCAATAGAATTTTCTCCAGAGTGGAAAGCTCCTCCATTGCCTGACAGTCCATTTCGCCTTTTCATCGGTGTTCTGTCTGCAACTAAGCATTTTTCAGAGCGCATGGCAGTGAGAAAGACATGGATGCAGCATCCTGCTATTCAATCTTCACATGTAGTAGCCCGATTCTTTGTTGCTCTTGTAAGTTCTTACTACCTTTTCTTATCGGAAAGGCTATAGGATGATCCAGGCAGAACAAAATCATTCAGAAATTTTATACTGAGACGGAGAATTAGTTTTTTTTTAAGAATACAGTATTGAGCAGTTTATTGGTTTTATATTTGTAGAATCCAAGAAAGGAAGTTAATGCAATGTTGAAGAAAGAGGCTGAATATTTTGGAGATATTGTGATCCTGCCCTTTATGGATCGCTACGAGCTAGTGGTCCTTAAGACAATTGCTATTTGTGAATTTGGGGTATTGATAATTTCTGCTACCATCTCTATTTATATATCTGGATCCAGCTCTCTGATCTGGATCAGTGTACTAACAGCTTCGTTTATTGTTGTTGCTTCTCAGGTTCAGAATGTGACAGCTCAATACATAATGAAATGTGACGATGACACATTCATCAGAGTGGAATCAATCTTGAAAGAAATCGATGGAGTCCCTCTGGAACAATCTCTGTATATGGGCAATCTAAATCTTCGACATCGTCCTCTTAGAACTGGCAAGTGGGCAGTTACATGGGAGGTACAGTGGCTTGTGTTCTTTGCCTTTATACGCTCTTGTACGATTCATCAATCATAATAAGCTGCCTCAGAATCTAAATGCTCCTACTTATCAACTGTAAACAGGAGTGGCCAGAAGCTGTGTATCCTCCTTACGCCAATGGACCTGGATACATAATCTCAAGCAACATTGCTAAATACATAGTTTCTCAAAATTCAAGACAAAAGCTTAAGGTGTGACCTCTGACCCTTTCTCATTTTCTTACTCTCATCGCCATCTCTTACTGTTATGAACATAAAAATACCTATATCTTTCCTGAAATTTGTTGAATTGACCTGAGCTAAACCATTTGGAAATTGTTGTCACAGCTATTCAAGATGGAAGATGTGAGCATGGGAATGTGGGTGGGGCAATTCAACGCCACGATGCAGCCTGTGGAGTATTCACACAGCTGGAAATTTTGCCAATACGGGTGCACACTGAACTATTTCACTGCACATTACCAATCTCCTAGTCAGATGATCTGCCTGTGGAATAATTTGTTGAAAGGCCGAGCACAATGCTGCAATTTCAGATGACGAAAACATTGCACTAGTCAGGAGATTATTACATGATTACAGTCTTGGCACCCTCTTGTAAACCTTTTTTTTTTGTATTCTTCTCTTTGGTGCTAGCTATTTACACTTTACACATATGAATCATGATAACAATCAGTTATTGTACATTGGTGTAGGAATTTAGCCTCAGAAAGAGATCTATGCAAATTTTACTAAAAACTCTTTGGCATTGATAAACCAAGGTCTCTGTACTATTAATCTGCTGGTCTTTATGATTTAGCTTGAGTCTTGGTTATCGAGATTTGGCTTCCAGCAAATTGCATTCGCTTGATCATCTATCTGCACTTCTTGCATCGATTCCCAAGCTTTTGCAGAGTCCAAGGTGGGGAAACAGAAGAGATCTCCAGGTAATGCTGAATTGTCTTCTTCCTTTCACATGTCCATAGAGATAAAAGCTTGGTTATTTAGCATATACAGAGACTCATGAATTGCTCAAAACAAACAATAAAACAGAACAATCTTGAAAAGAGCGTGCAGTTCATTAGCAGAAGATCTTTCTTAAAATCCACAGATAAATTGGAATGTAGAATACTCAAAAACACGAACTGTCGCGCAAAGACTGCCAACTGATCTTTTCATGATTAGATGGATGCAGTCAAATGTGCTTTATTCGTTTTTATCTATCACCGTGTTTAAGCCTCACGCCGAAACCTCATGGCCGTGAAGTTCTGATACAGGTGAATCAATCAATAAGAGCAAGGAGACACACAGAGAAATGAAGAAGCTTACCCACACAAAGAAAAAGCTAGTCTTGATCTGAAGAACAATGAATCGGCTTTCAAAACCCATCTTTTGACTAGTTCATAACTCTGTTGGGGTTCTGACATTTTGAAGTCGAACACTCTGCTTGATTCATCTTTAAAGGATGCATCTTTCTTTTCCGACAGATAATAGCGGCGGCTGTCGAAGTTTAATTCTTTTGTTTTAGGGTAAGTTTTCATCTTTAAATAGTGTATATATATGAAATGATAATGGACTTACCTCGATACTAATGCTATTGACGACAATGCCCACACGAAACAGAGCAAAATGCCTCCATGCTCTGAAACCTCTGTTCTGCTACTTCCCATGGTCGAGAAATGCGTAAACCTCTTGCAGACGTATGGCGTTTCATCTCTAACGAAACTCAGACAAATCCACGGGGTTTCGATCCGCCATGGCGTCTCAATCTCCGACGCCGAGCTTGGCAAACACCTCATCTTCTACCTCGTGTCTCTTCCTTCTCCACCTCCCATGTCCTACGCTCACAGGGTCTTCTCCAAGATCGAGAAACCCATCAACGTCTTTATTTGGAACACACTGATCAGAGGCTACGCCGAGATTGGTAATCCCGTCTCTGCTGTCACTCTCTACCGCGAGATGCGAGTCTCTGGCTTGGTGGAGCCCGATACTCATACTTACCCGTTTCTTCTCAAGGCCGTGACGAAAATGGCGGATGTTCGGTTGGGGGAGACGATACATTCCGTTGTTTTAAGAAGTGGGTTTGGTTCGTTGATATTTGCTCAGAACTCTCTGCTCCATTTATACGCCAACTGTGGAGACGTATCAAGTGCGTACAAGGTGTTCGATAAAATGCCTGTGAAAGACCTTGTGGCGTGGAACTCTGTGATTAATGGGTTTGCAGAAAACGGTAAACCAAACGAAGCTTTAAAGCTTTATACCGAAATGGATTCCAAGGGAATCAAGCCCGACGGGTTCACAATCGTTAGCTTGTTGTCTGCTTGTGCAAAGATTGGTGCTTTGACATTGGGTAAGAGATTCCATGTTTATATGATCAAAGTTGGTTTGACACGAAACTTGCATTCCAGCAACGTACTCTTGGACTTCTACACGAGGTGTGGAAGAGTCGGAGAAGCCAAAACACTTTTCGATGAAATGGTGGACAAGAACAGTGTCTCGTGGACTTCATTGATTGTTGGTTTAGCTGTTAATGGTTTCGGAAAAGAAGCGATTGAGGTTTTCAAGTATATGGAATCAAAGGAAGGGTTATCACCATGCGAGATCACTTTCGTTGGGATCTTATACGCATGTAGCCATTGCGGGATGGTGAAGGAAGGGTTTGAGTATTTCAGGAGGATGAGAGATGAGTATAAGATTGAGCCAAGGATCGAACATTTCGGTTGTATGGTCGATTTGTTAGCTAGAGCTGGACAAGTGAAGAAAGCGTATGAGTACATCATGAAAATGCCGATGAAGCCAAATGTTGTCATCTGGAGAACACTGTTAGGAGCTTGTACCGTTCATGGCGATTCCGATTTAGCAGAGCATGCAAGACTCCAGATCTTGCAGCTAGAACCAAACCACAGCGGCGATTACGTCCTCTTGTCGAATATGTATGCCTCCGAGCAGCGTTGGTCCGATGTGCAGAAGATAAGGAGACAAATGTGTAGAGACGGTGTGATGAAAGTCCCTGGTCACAGCTTAGTGGAAGTAGGAAACAGAGTTCACGAGTTTCTTATGGGTGACAAGTCTCATCCACAAAGCGATGAGATTTACCGTAAGCTGAAAGAAATGACTGATAGGTTGAGATTGGAAGGTTACGTGCCGCAGATTTCGAACGTTTATGTTGATGTTGAGGAGGAAGAGAAAGAGAATGCTCTGGTTTATCACAGCGAGAAGATTGCGATTGCTTTTATGCTTATTAGTACACCAGAGAGATCACCGATCCGGGTCGTGAAGAATCTTAGAGTTTGTGCAGATTGTCATTTTGCGATTAAACTTGTGTCTAAGGTTTATAATCGAGAGATTGTTGTCAGAGATCGTAGCAGGTTTCACCATTTTAAAGATGGTTCTTGTTCTTGTCAAGATTACTGGTAATGCAGATCATAAATTCCTGTTTCAACACAATTTTTAGCAATCGGTTCTTGTTGTGCCTTTCGGGAAATTTGTAAATTTCTGAAGAATTGTGGGTAAAATTGTCGAAGATTAAACTAACGGGTTCAAATCTTATAAACTAATAAACTTTCGGGGGCAAAAGCGAAAATTGAGTCTAAAATGAATATACCGCGTTTTATATCACATACTCATTTGGCGGGAATTGAAAATTTTCTAAAGTAAGAGAAAAATTTGGCGCTTTCTCTCGTGAAACGTTTTTAATCACTAAGCTTCCATGAGAAGCTCTTTGAAGGATACGCTTCACCATATCTACGTATCTATATACCCAAAGAGTCGATTCCATAGTGATTCATCAAATCTGTGAAGATCGAAAGAGAAGATGGCAGACACGAGTCACCTGGAGAAGATGGGAAGAGAACTCAAGTGCCCTATTTGGTAAATCCCCTCTATCCATTTCTCTCTATTCTGAGGTTTCTACGGTGGGGGTTTTTGAGGGAAAACCCTAATTTGATCTTCGCTTTCTCCAATCGAGTTTTTGGGTAGCCTGAGGATTGGCTTGCGATTCCTTATTCTTATTGATACGATCCCTAACAATTTCAATTCCTTATTTTTTTGCAGCTTGAGTCTATTTAATTCTGCAGTTTCGCTTTCGTGCAACCATGTCTTTTGCAAGTAAGAACCTTATCCTTGTGTTTTCTTACACAAGTCCTTTGAATTTCTCTTAATCTATTTAGTATTAACAACGTCTGTCTTCTCTTGGTTTCAGCGCATGTATTGTGGAATCCATGAAAATTGATGCTACTTGTCCAGTCTGTAAAATCCCATACCATCGTAGAGGTACTTCACACGCTCTTTATTGATCTCAAAGTCAGCTTTTCCTTTCGCTAAACCAAGTTTTAACTAGTTTTTATGTTTATATATGCTGTATGATAGAGATTCGAGGTGCTCCTCATATGGATAGCTTGGTGAGCATTTACAAGAATATGGAAGATGCTTCTGGGGTCAACATGTTCGTAAGCCAGAGTAAACCATCGCCACCATCAGGTACTTACTGTTTCCTTAGCTGGATCAACGCCTTAACATTTTGAATGAAGAGATTACAATTACCATTTGTTAATTTGTGTTCTTTGATTTGTGTCTGCAGGAAATGAAAAGCATGTAAGAGCTGCCTCCTCTAGAAAGGCAAAGGGTAAGAAGAGTGAAGGATCTGAGAAAGTCCTAACATCCAAGAGGAAAGATAAAAGGAAAACCAAGGAAGCAGATTTGGGAACCCCTGGACCCATTGTTATGAAACCTTCATCCCAAACCAAGAAAAGGGTTCAGCTGTTGCAGAATCTGTCTTCTGAAAGTTTGACGAAATCTACCGAATCAGATGAAAAACTCAAGGACTACACTGAAAAAACTGTGATTCGTTTGAATGAGCATTCATCTCTGAATAAAGAAGGAAATCTGGCACCCTTCTTTTGGTTGAGAGATGAAGATGATGATGAGAGCTCAAGTCAGCAGCCAACAGGAAGTGATCAACATTTAGACGTTACACCCGTTGATGTTCCTTCTTTCAGCGATTTGAAGGACTCAGATCATGAGAGCCCGTCAAAAGTGAGTATCTGAAACCCCAATAGCCTTTTTCAATGCTATCTCATATTGCCTTGTATTGTTCTGTGGTATTGGGTCATGTTACACTTGCCCTGAATGTATTGTAAATGTGTTTGATCCATCTTAGTTCTGTGGTGGGGTTTTTCTTTGATTCATGTTGATACTGTTAGTTTAAAGGCTCTTTGATACATATCTATTACTCTCGTAAAAAAAGGTTATTGGGGAATTTGACAAAAAGCCATGAGAAAATCCAATATATGATTTGAGCATGGGATCATTTGATCTTACATTTTTCTTGTGGTGAATGTTTTCAGGCAGATGAGCAAGAAAAGCCCAATCCAGCAGACATGTTTGACAGTGAAATGTTTGAATGGACTCAGAGGCCTTCTTCTCCAGAGATTCTACCTAGTCCTGTGAAGGCCAATGTAAAGGCAGTTCTTTACTCTGAAACAGCCAGATGTTTGTTTTCTTTGATAGTTTCTTCATGTCGGTTGAAAATAAGTGAAAATTCAAATCAATTTGCAGGTCCTAGATGGAGGTGAGATTGATCTTCCTCAAATGAATCCATCAAAAGTAGCATCATCCAGTAAAACACGTAAAGCAGGAAGTGCAAGAAATAAAGTTGCTAGACTACGCGCTGAGGTTTCCAAGGAGGATATGGAATTATCTGCAGAGCCAAGAATTGGTGAGAAACAAGATACTAGGGAGGATGAAAATCCTGATGAAAATGTGAAAGCTAGACGGTCTACAAGAAGCAAGGGCCGAACTTCACGAGTTCAGGCTGGTGTAAACATATCTGTGGAAACAGAGGAGAAGCAGGGGAGAAAGAGGAAAAGATCTAACGTTAAATCCTCTCCAAATCACCCAATTGCTGGATCTAATGAGCTCTCACTTGAAACAGAAACCGTGGAGAAGGTGGATCAGGAACGAGCCTGTGGTTCATCATCTGATGCACAACCTGAAAAAACAAGTCCTGCCGAGAAATCCTCTCCCCAAAAGAGAAGAAAATCTAGTGCACACTCCTTTATAAAAGATCTTTCGGGGAGAACTGAAGAGAAGACATCAGAGAAGAGATCAAAAACTGATTCCTGTTCAGTCCCGAGCAGAGTTACACAACTGCGTGGCAAGAACATCCTAAGTGATGAGTCGAATCAAGTGGGTGATAGACATGATTCAAGTAACAAAAAGAAACCCACTGTGGATAAAGGCAGCCATACCGTGCAAGTTTCAGAGAAACGCTCAACGATGAACAAGCCCTCACTTTTGCGAAGATGTGATGCCCCTCCAACTAATAAATTCACATGCGCCTTTTGTCAGTCTTCAGATGACACAGAGGTAGGCATCACCATCTCACATTGGAGTCCTAGATGTATCCATTTCATTGATTTTTTACCATATTCTTAAATCTAATGTTTAACTGACAGGCTTCAGGAGAAATGGCTCACTACCACAGAGGTGAACCTGTCTCTGCGGATTTTAATGGTGGGTCTAAGGTCATACATGTTCACAAAAATTGTGCTGAGTGGTAAGATATCTAGTTACAGCAGTAAATACCCACTCATGCCTTTTTGAATAGTTTGAACTTCATGAGCATGAAACTTTATTGAATTTTCAGGGCTCCAAATGTATACTTCAACGACCTTACCGCAGTCAACCTTGATGTGGAGTTGACAAGAAGCCGGAGAATAAGCTGCAGTTGCTGTGGGCTTAAAGGCGCGGCACTTGGTTGTTACAACAAGAGTTGCAAGAATAGTTTTCATGTTACGTGTGCGAAACTGACACCAGAATGCAGATGGGACAATGTAAGTATTTCATAGACTATGGAACCTCCATATACAGTAGTCTCTTATACGGTTCTCGTAACACCTTTTATTATCAACAGGAAAACTTTGTTATGCTATGCCCTGTGGATGCATCCTCTAAGTTGCCATGTGAAGAGACTAGTCCAAAAGAAAGAAAACGCAAGCGTACTCCTAAAGGGTATATGTCATTTATATTCTTTTGATGGTGATTATGAGTTGATACTAATTTTCTGAAATTAGAGTTCTGACAATAACTCAATCTATCTTCTCTAGACCACTGCACTCTCAGCCTGATGAAGTATCTGAAAAACCTGACAAAACTGAGCTCCAGAGCAAGCCCTTTCACGGATTACCCAAGAAATTGGTCTTATGCTGCTCAGGACTTACAGATGAAGAGAGGGTATGAAAAACTATATATACATATTACATACTCCCTTTACTTTTATGAAACTTTGAAACTAGAATTTCACGGATGGTTTGGATTGCAGATTGTGATTTCAGAATTTGCTGAACTGACCGGAGTTAGAATCTCGAGAAAATGGGAACCAAGTGCTACACATGTCATTGCGTCAATCAACGAAAATGGAGCCTGCAAAAGGACTCTCAAATTCATGATGGGGATCTTGGAGGGGAAATGGATTCTAAGCATTGATTGTAAGTATTATCATTCTATCAGCAACAAATCATATACAGTACGTTTGCGATTTATCAAATCAATAATTTGTCAGAAATGTCGTATATCTTTTTTTACAGGGGTTAAGGTCTGTATGAAAGATTCAAAATATGTAAGCGAGGAGCCATATGTGATTTCCATGGATGTTCATGGAATTCGACAAGGACCTTATCTTGGAAGACAAAGAGCTCTAAACAAGGTTAGCTCCGTCTCTCTCTCTCTCTCTGATGCTTCTCTTTGATACAATAGACTTGAGAATATTTCATCTGAATGCTTTTAATTCTCCAAAATATGCAGCAACAAAAACTTTTTAATGGACTAAAATTTTACATTATGGGAGATTTCGAGCTTGCTTACAAAGGGTATCTTCAAGATCTGATTGTAGCAGCGGGAGGAACAATCTTGCGCAGGCGACCTATTGCTAATGATAATGATGAAGCTTCAACGATAATAGTATTTAGTGTTGAGGCAAGCAAGAAGAGAACTCTGACCCAAAGAAGAAGTGATGGTGAAGCCTTGGCTAAATCTGCTAGAGCCAGAGCTGCAAGCAGTTCATGGGTCTTGGATTCGATTGCAGGTTGCCAAATTCTAGACCTGGCTTAAAATTTTGAGACCATCTTTGGATAGTTTTCTCTTTGTCAGTAGGATTATATTTTTCAAAACGTTTCCAATAAGATGTGTCGGCAATGAACAATAAGTTACCTTGGCACTCGAACCTTTGCCTTTCGATAAAATGCGCATTATTTAAAGGGGATGTTTCCTACTTTGTTGGTGGCGTTTGGATTCTTGTACTTGGCACAAAGTCTTGAGCAGATCAACACAGAACATGTATATCCTCCAGGGAGTGATATCAAGAACTCATTCATTGTTTTGGGCGTGGTTAATCTCTTGGAGATGGTTTATACATTGTTAATTCCTGAATCTAAAGGCAAGTCTAAGTGGAAATGTCCGGCGAGAACGAGAAGAATGATGAAAGCAGTAGCAGCAACAACAATCAAAACAGCGTGGTATCAACTGCATAGAGATTATAAAGACTTGTGTTTTGTTCTTGTATATTTGTTTACTCTCTCTCTCTCTCTCCAAATTTCTTCTCACCGGAAACTTTATTTGTTCTTCATATTCACTTTTTTTTATTGAACATTAAGTGCAATATGATCTGATCTTGTTAAGAAACAGTTTCTTGGTGTTTATTGTACCTGACAAATGAAAGAATGGAAAGCTAATATGTTGAAGAAGATTCTGTGTGTTTTGGGTGTTCACTGTATTTTATCTACGATCTTAACAACGCTTTTTGAATCATTCATCTCTTTAGAGACGTTTGATAATTCGTTGTCCATGGCCCAGATTTCCAATATTATATAAACGGGATCTGAGTTTATATAAAAGAATCAACTTATGTGCATAGCTCTAAGATAGAAGCAGCTTCGTGTTCAGAGAGCAGCTAAAACTAAACCATGCAATGTAACAATTTCAATCACGGAGTTGTCTACTTGTCTTCTTCATTGACCACGGGAAGAAATAATTGTACAGGCGATGAAGGGGACTCCATTTTCTTCATAGCTTCAACTCCAATTGTCCTCGTTTTGCCATGAGTGCAACGGTGATAATAATATCACTGAACACCATCTGGATCGCCGTAGAAGTCACATGAGCAAGATTGAATTTGAACGAGCAGAACCTTATTTCCTTTTTTAATTTTGAAAATTCCTTTTTTTTTTTAATATAAAGCTTGGGGGTTTCCTCCTAGGGTTGGTCTGTTTCATCGTCTTGTATTGTTGTTCGTTTTTCAGAGATTATAATCTCTGGGGATATTTTTAGATCTAGTGTTTAGCGATGGAGAGAAATTTGCCATTGAGGGTGATGCCTTTCTACACGGGTGTGTACAAGGCTGTGGATGATCCTTCATCGGATTCAATAATCTCGTGGAGCAGTAACAACAGAAGCTTCATCATCTGGGATCATAGAGAGTTTGAAAGGAAGATTATCTCGACTTGCGGGTTAATACTATGCACAGATTTCTTAGATTTTCTGTCCGAGCTTAAGATATGGGTAAGTTTTCTTGGATTAAAATATTATCATCAAACCTTTATTCAATCAAAAATATTCATCTCTCTCTCTCTCTCTCTCTCGTATGCGCAGTTTCTGAATGTTGCTTTTATATGCGTTAGTAGGGATTTAGAAGAGTTATGGGATCTGCGCACCGCTTAGAATTTGAACGCAGGGGATATTTTGTGAGAGGTCGACCTGATCTTTTGAAGATGATGCAGAACAAGGTTATAACCACGAGAAGGCTTAAACTTCGGGAAAAGGAAGCCAGAGAAAAGGAGTTGACGGATGGATTGCATCATTTACGAGTTTGAATTCGTTCACCAATCAATTACGAGTTTGATATGTTCACAATCTATATCTATCGATTCATCATGCTTCTGGTTCCTACTTATGAGTAAATAAACGCTCTATGAGTTCCTTCTTGTTGTTTCAGTTGCTTTCTCTTGTATCAAACCAATACTTTATTAATTTAGCTTCTTTGTTGGAATTCGGCGCTGTGTTATATGTGTTTTATCCCATTGCCATTCATAAACCCATGTTTGAAAGTTGTGATGAATATATATGTTGTTCCATCAACACCAAACCCTACTGTGCTGCAAGTTTCAGTTGTTATGCCGCAGATAAGCTTGTCAAGTTTGCACCCAACTTGTTGCTTTTTCTACTTGTTTTTGACTATGTTCCTGTTCAAGTACACTAAATAGCTCATGTTCTATTCAAGTTAGATCGATTTGAATGAAACGCCTTATCTGCAAACGGAAACACGTATGGAAGCTTGAGGCAGTTTACTTTCAATTCATCTTCTCTAACCGCGTGACTGACTTGATTTAAGACCGAGAGGATGATTTATAACTCACGGAAGAAGGATGTGAAACAAAATGCATATTGCAAAGACAAAGAAGCCAAGATTGCGCCTGTCCTGTCTCTTCTCTTCATCGCCAGCTTCTCTTTGAGAGGCCGGAGTTAGTTTGTTGGAAAGTATTATTCTTGCTGCATTCTCTGGGACAAATGTATAGAATTTAGTCAATGCCCTAAATATCCTTGTGGTTATCATCAATCAAATGCTGGGACTTGTTGCTTAGATTCTCAAACAAAAGGACTAGGAGTATGATGATATGGGATTCACGAAGCATGAAACATGAAACAGAGCTTATCAATGGTGATAGGAAGCCCTACATTCTTGTGTGAAATGGAATCAGGGGAAGACACTGCTATTGCACAAGGGAAATCAAAAACAGCTAGACTTGTCTTACCTTCTTATGATGCAGAGTTTTGAGGCGACAAGTGGATGTGCTTGTGGTGTAGTGAAACTCGAGAACTCTTAACTCAACTAGTTCTGCTGTGAGAGACTTTGAAGTGGGTTAGTGAGGTTTTGGAACGAACCCATCAACTGCGAAATTCCTATTGGCTGAAGGAATGGTTAAGCGTACTCCATCTAGCTCTGCTTTTGCTATGACTTGACATCCCAATCTCGACCTACAGACATCATTTTCAATGTAACATATCAAACGTTTTTCAATGAAACGCCATTTAAAGCATAAGACAGAGAGAGAGAACTCACGTTTCTGTTAACCCGAAAGCAAGATCCAGCATATCGTTCTCTTCATCTGTTGGTTCTTCGAGTTTGTTGTAGTATTCCGTGTCCTGTTTCAGTTACAGTTTCCGTTACAGTTTCAGCTGTTTCGTAAGAAAACACACAAGTCATGATCAATCTATGTAGGTGAATGATTGTAAGGAAGAGACCGTTTTACCATAACAATCATGTGGCACGTTTAACACGCTAAAGAACCTTCACACGCCCCTGAAAATTTAGAAAAAGCAACCCGTAAGCTTCCAATGAACGATCAAACATCAGATGACAAAAAAAAAAAAAAAATATCTAACCCGAATTAAACCGAACTTCATTCAATCCAAACTGAAGACAAACCAAATCCAATTAACTATGGTTGAATTCAGTTAAAGTTTTTAATTAAAACCAAATCAACCATCGAGTCGAACGCGAACCTAACCCGAAGTTAAACCGCAATGCCCATTGTTATCAACTAATTAGCAGTTACCACAACGGAACAGTGTCGAGCCTTGAGTTTGTTAGAAGACAAAGTCAAAAGGCCCATTACAAGCCCAAAACTAGGTGAGGTTTGGGGATCTCCTCCCTAGGGTCTGTTTGTTTCATCGCGTTGCCTTGTTGTTCGGTTTTCCAATATTATAATTTCACTTTTGGATATAAACCCTAAGTGAGGGGGTCGAAGGGATCTTTTAGGGTTTTGTTTGAGAATTGTTTTACTTTTTCTTAGAACTTGAGGATCTCATGCCTAGGGTTTGTTTCATATCGTTTGTCTGGTATTATATACAACAAGTTCTTGGGGGGGTTAATTTTAGGATCTCAGATTAGAGATGGATACAGAATTTGATATGAACCTGACGCTTTTCTTAGTGGGTTTATGCAAGGCTGTGGATGATCCTTCATTGGATTCGGTAATCTCGTGGAGCAAAAGTAACAGAAGCTTCATCATTCGGAATTTGGGAGAGTTTCGAAAGATTGTTATTTTCTCGTTCTTTTGGTTCTATGATGAACAGTAAATCAGAAGCCACATTTTTGATAAAATATCTCTTCTTGACTTTATCCTTCATCACACATTACATATTTATACTACTAATGTTTATTACTTGTTAACCTACTTTGTTACTAAAGACAACCGATGTCCACTTATATTTGGGCTTAACATCTTCATGGCCCAATGGCTAATTATCATTAGTTAACATAAAACATCACGTGCCTTCTCCTGTGTCTTCCTTCTTCTTTGCATTCCGAACGGGTTCTTCCTTTTGTTATCTTCTTCTTCACGCTCTGAACGGGTTCTTCCTTCTGTTATCTTCTTCTTTACACCCTGAGCAGGTTCTTCCCTCTGTTATCTTCTTCTTCACATTCTCTTCCCTCATATCGTTTCTTTCTTGCACGGGATTAAGCACAGGATCAAATTCCAACACTCCCTCTTGATTCCTTTGCTTAATCCCCAAATTTTGATTTAGGGATTTGATCCCTCTTCCTCCATCGTCTTCTCCGGTGAATTTATGATTTCCTGGACGAATCCCTCTTACGACATCAGCAAAACTCACTGGTACGTTTGCCTTCTCCCTCATCACCTCAATCTTCATCGTTTCTCTAGTTTTCATAAAATTAGCAAATTCCACAGACTTGATCTTCATGTGAGTTTCCAGTGGTTTCTTAGATGGATTTTGCATTACTCCAAGTTTCATCCGCAGTTCCTCAAATCTTCTTGTTCCAAGTGGTTTTGTAAGGATGTCTGCAATTTGTTCATCACCACTGCAAAATCTTAACTTGATTACTCCATCTTTCTCTGCTTCACGTACCACATGAAACCGAATCTGGATATGCTTAGTCCTCTTGTGTTGAACTGGATTTCTTCCAATTGCTATAGCTGATGTATTATCGCAATAGATTGGGACACTCCCTGCAACATCAACTTTTAGTTCTCCTAGCATTCGTTTCAGCCACACTGCATGATTTATTGCTGAGCTGAGTGCCATATATTCTGCTTCTGCTGTTGATTGAGCAATTGTATCTTGTTCGTGTGTTTGCCATGTGAACATTGCACTTCCGAATGAGAAAACAAATTCCCGTGGTGCTTCTCATATCATCTTTACACCCTGCCCAGTCTGAATCAGAGAATCCAATTAGCTCAGCTTGATCTGCCCTTTTAAAGTTTAGACCATAGTCTATTTTTCCTTGTATATATCTCAACACCCGTTTTGCTTCTTTCAGGTTGTGCTCCTTGGGTTGAGATAATCTCCTAAACAAATAGGAGGCAGCAAAGGCAAGATCTGGTCTAGTTGCTGCTAAATACATGAGTCCTCCCACTATGCTACGGTAGAGCTTAGGATCTGTAAGTTCTTCTCCTTCTTCTTGATCCTTTCCGTAAGGTGTGAGTGGTGTGTCAACACTCTTACAGTTCTCCATTCCAAACTTCTTCAACAACTGATGAGCATATTTCTTTTGAGTTAAGAACAACCCTTCTGTCGTGCACGTAATCTCAAAACCAAGAAAGTACTTTAGTTTTCCCAAATCAGTCATCTCGAAGGTTTCTTTCAGTTTATGTTTAAGCTGTTCAATCATCCTTTCACTGCTTCCTGTGATAATAAGATCATCCACATATAGACTAATCACCATAATCTCTCCTTCATGTTCTTGGATATAGATTGCTGCATCACAGTCACTTCTCTTACATCCTTGTGATATGAAAAATGAATTTATTTTGCTATACCAAGCTCTTGGTGCTTGCTTTAATCCATATAAAGCCTTTTTCAGTTTGTAGACTTTGTTCTCTGCTCCCTCTATCTCATAGCTTGGTGGTTGTTCTACATACACTTCTTCTGTAAGTTCTCCATTTAAAAATGCAGACTTAACATCCATCTGATGCATGTTCCAGCTATTTTGTGCAGCAAGGGCTATTAGGATTCTGATTGTATCATGTTTTGAAACTGGAGCAAAGGTTTCCCCATAGTCCACACCGTATGTCTGAGTAAACCCCTGAGCTACTAGTCTTGCTTTCAACTTCTGGATATGCCCATTCTCATCTGTTTTCACAGTGTAAATCTATTTGACTGTGATCAGTTTCTTGTCTGCAGGTCTTTCTGTGATTATCCAAGTTCCATTTTTATTGATCACACTAATCTCTGCATCCATTGCTTTCCTCCACTCTTTATGTCGCATAGCTTCGTCAAAGTCATGAGGCTCCTCACAGGTAAAATAACAAGCTTCATGAACTTGAGTTGACTCATTATTTTGTGCTTCCTCTTCTTGATATATGTCATTCAACATTCTCATTTTATGCACATTTCTTGATGAACCACTACTCCCTAAACCATCTCCAGTGAGCTCAAATGGTACAGGACTTATGCATGATCTTCTATCTCTTGTGTCTACTCTAGTTGCTGGACTTAGAGTATCTTCATGCATTCCAGTACAATTCTTTTGAGATAACTTGCTGTTGTTGATTTGAGACTCATGTGGCTCCTCTGTTTCTTCATGTGTTTCCCAATCTCATCCTTTATTTTCTTCAAACACAACATCTCTTGACACTTCAATCTTTCCTGTGTTTATCATATACACTCGATACCCCTTGCTTACACTGCTATATCCCATAAACACACCTTTTTCCGATTTATCATCAAGCTTCTTTCTCTTTGCAACAGGAATCAAAACATGACATATACACTCAAACACTCGAATGTGTCCAATTGACGGCTTGTGGCCACTCCAAGCTTCAAGTGGAGTTTTCTGGTTTAATGCTTTGGTGGGAAGTCTGTTTTGAAGGCATGCTGCTGTGAAGATTGCTTCAGCCCAGAATTTATTTGGCATTGCTTGATCTTTTAGCATACTTCTGGCCATGTCCAGTAAAGTTCTATTTCTTCTTTCAGCCACTCCATTTTGCTGGGGTGAATAAGCCACAGTAAACTGTCTTTGAATTCCATTTTCTTCTAGGAATTTTCGTGAATTTTTCTGACTTGAACTCACCCCCTCTGTCTGATCTGATTTTCCTTATCCTTCTTCCTGTTTGTGTCTCAACCATGATCTTGAACTTCTTAAAGGTAGAGAAGGTATCTAATTTCAGTCTCAGAAAATATACCCACACCATGTGCGAGTAATCATCCGTAAAAGTGAGAATATAGAGACTGCCACTACATGATAGAGTTTGCATCAGACCACATAAGTCTGTGTGAATCAGGTCCAATGTCCTTGAGCTCCTTGTTTCTGATATTTTAGGAAACTGTTCTCTGCACTGCTTCCCTTTAATACATGCCTCACATACATCATGTATGACATTGAATTTTGGGAGTCCTTTAACCATCTGACTTGTTTGTAGTTTTTGCAGATTTTGGAAACCAGAATGTCCAAGCCTTTTGTGCCATAACTCAGATAAGTTTTCTTCACTTGCTGGTCTCGCACTCTCTTCTACTATTTGCATTTTCAACCGATATGCATTACATACCCGATCTACTTCAGCAATTTTTTCTCCAACATTATTGTGTATTATGCATTTGTTCCCTTTGAACACTATCTCGTATCCATTTCTCGCCATTTGAGGCACACTTAGGAGACTTTTATCTATTTTCGGAACTAAGAAAACATTTCTAATAGCTTTCTTCTCCCCTTTGGTTTTTCCTTTTCCGGTAGTCATTAGTATAGCTCCATTTCCTATCCTGATAGAAACTTGACAGGTCCTGTCTAAGGTTGTGAAAAACCTCTCTTCTTTAGTCATGTGGTTTGTAGCACCACTGTCGATTAACCACACTTCATCACCACTTGTTTGCTTGATGCTATGTGCTGCATCAAACCACCCATCGTTTCTTTCTTTGACTTGTGTTTGTGCTTGACCAGCTTGATTTCCTGAGCTTCTACATTCTTTTGCATAATGCCCAGATTTCCTACATGTGAAACAAGCTTTCCTTGGTCTGAACTGTTTTGAAAAATGTTGATCTTCATAACTCTGTCTGAAATAACATTGATCCTCATAGTGATTGTCCTTCTTACATATCTGACACCATCTTCTTTCTTCCAGGCCACCAGAAACTGACCGCTCTGATACCATGTTGGTTTCTCATTCTTTTGGTTCTATGATGAACAGTAAATCAGAAGCCACATTTCTGATAAAATATCTCTTCTTGACCTTATCCTTCATCACACATTACATATTTATACTACTAATGTTTACTACTTGTTAACCTACTTTGTTACTAAAGACAACCGATGCCCACTTATATTTGGGCTTAACATCTTCATGGCCCAGTGGCCAATTATCATTAGTTAACATAAAACATCACGTGCCTTCTCCTGTGTCTTCCTTCTTCTTTGCATTCCGAACGGGTTCTTCCTTATGTTATCTTCTTCTTCACGCTCCGAACGGGTTCTTCCTTCTGTTATCTTCTTCTTCACATCCTGAACAGGTTTTTCCCTCTGTTATCTTCTTCTTCACATTCTCTTCCCTCATATTGTTTCTTTCTTGCACGGGATTAAACACAGGATCAAATTCCAACAATGCTTTGGTTTAACACATTTTTTCCGCAAGCTTGAAAGATATGTAAGTCTCCTTTTTTGGATTTGCAACATTCATTAAATCCATACTTTATAATCCTCGAATATTTGATACATATACATGTTTTGGTTGTTGTCAGGGATTAAAAAAAATTGAAGGATCTAGGCACCGCTTCGAATTTGGACACAAGAAATATTTTGTGAGAGGTCGACATGATCTTTTGTTGAAGATGCAGCTCAGTACTTTGTACGAGCGAGCGCGTAAATTTAAGGCAGACAAGTTAGCCGATGACTTGAATAAATTACGAGTTTGATTTGTTCACAATCTCTATCCATCCATCATCATCATCATGCTCAATTTCGCTGATGACTCCTACTTTTGAATAAATTCACTCTCCAATGTTGTTGTTTCAGTTGCTTTCTTGTATCATACCAATACACTTTATTAATTCAGTGACTTTTATTTGAGTTTTGTATATAACCTATTGTTTGATCCATTGCCATTTTGTATATTCATCAAGTCATGTTTTGAAAGTTGTGATGGGAATTACAGTATTTATTCAATTTTTTAAGAAACATGGTGATTATGGTATGTATTCCATTTTTTTTTTAAGATAAATGTTAATTATGGTATCTTAAAAAATAAAAATTGGAAAGAAGATATTTATTTAATTTTGTTTTACCAAAACATACAAATCAAATTTTGCAGCTATAGATATGAATATCTAACATCCGCGAAGTAATTCAAACTGCGTAACAGAGAAACATATTATCCATGAGATTTTACCAAGAGACTGAAATTATTGAAGAATAACACAGCGAAGGCAAATGCAGTTCTTTACTCAGCCAGATGTTTGTTTTCTTTTGATTGTTTCTTCAAGTCGGTTGAAATTAACTGAAAATTCAAATCAATTTACAGGTAGAGGTGAGATTAATCTTCCTCAAAGGATTCCATCCAATAAAACCAATATTTTGAATATGATCTGGAAAACAAACTGGAATTTTTATTGGATTACCTGATTTTTGATTTTATTTATGTTAATCTGGATCAACCATAAATCAAATAATTAAAAAAAAATTATATTATATATATGTGTGTTTTAAAATAGGAAAATAGATTTAATATAAAAAACACAATCTAAATTGTTAAATTGAATTGGAAGACGCAAAAAAAAAAAATTCTTAAACAGACAATAGTGAAAAAAGTCTAAATTTAATTTCAGATTACTTGTACTTAAAAAAATACATATTTTAAAATGAAATTGTTGGTTCAATCTCATCGGTGGATCATGGATTGTTTGTAAGTTTTTTTAGATTTTGCCGATTTAATAAATTTTGAATTTTAAACATAAGTTGGGCCTAAAAGAGTGAACGGTCCAATTTAACCAAGCAAACAAGACGGTCTGGATCATGTCTCAAAACATTGTAAAAAACTTAAAGCAAGAAAGTGCAAGAAACAAAGTTGTGGGTATCGCAATTTGCAATTGGAACTAATACTGTCAATTTAAAATTCATGAAAATTCCATTCAAGACAGAATTATAAAAATATGGGGCTAGATATAGAAATATTTTGGGATAAAGGTTAAATTTTAAGGGATTCTTGCAAAAATGACCTAAAATTTGATTTGAATTGCAAATCTAACTCACAAAAATCACTTTCCCAACATTTGTCATTTTGTGTCCAAACAATCCTTCATAGTTTCAGTTATTCATGAAATTGCCATTATTTTTAATTAATTTCTTTTATTTTCGGAAATCTAAATGACCAACTAATCCTCATCTTCCTCACTTATTTACGAAAATACTCCGAAAGTAGACTTCTCTCGGTCCGAATGAAGTCTACTAGTCAACGCCCAGGTTAGTTTTGCAATTGACCGCATGAAAAAGTAGACTTCTTTTGGTCTGAATGAAGTCTACTCAATTTCCTTTGATAACAAAAAAAATAGAGTAGACTTCTCGAGTAGACTTCTTTAGAAGCAGGTCATTTTTGCAATTGACCAAAAAGTCAAATATTTTGCAATTGCAAAAATGACCTGCGAGAAGTCTACTTACGAAAGTAGACTTCTCGGAGAAGTCTACTTTTCATAGAGAAGTCTACTAATATTTTGGCAATGGCAAAACTAACCTGCGAGAAGTCTACTTTTATCCGAGAAGTCTACTTTTCTTGTTTTTAAAAAAAAAATCATTTTTATACAATATATAACGAATTTTTAAGATTTTCGCGATCCTAAGCTTCTGTTATTAAGTTTTCTTGCTTATGTATAAGTTTTGCATGTTTATATTTTATAGGTATAGTCGAATGAGTTTTCATGTTTTATATGATACTTAGCTTATTAAGAGTAGACTTCTTAGTCTACTATAGAAGTCTACTATGTAGACTTCATCCGACTTTCAGAGAAGTCTACTTATGCAATTTTGATGTCTAATGTGGTTTGGATTTTGTTCTTTTTTCACAGAGAATGGCTCACATACCCACTGTTTATGGAGAATGGGTTAAGAGTGAATCAGTGTGGCAGTTCGAGGTGGATAATAGCAAAGGAGGGTGAATGTTGTTCTTAAGAGATGGTTGCACACATGGTGAGCTTCTTGGTGAATGTTGGCAAAGGAGGGTGAATAGCAAAGGAGAGCGAATGTTGTCACCTTTAAGTTATGTAAAATTAATGTTTTTAAGAAGTCTACTCGAGACAATGAGAAGTCTACTTCAGAAGTCTACTCGAGACAAGAGAAGTCTACTCGGTTGACAAGTTATATGATATAAATGAGAGAAATGTCCCTCTGAATCACTTTTAAGTTATGTAAAATTAATGTCTTTTAGAAGTCTACTCGAGACAGGAGAAGTCTATTCGAGACAAGAGAAGTCTACTCGGTTGACAAGTTATATGATATAAATGAGAGAAATGTCCCTCTGAATCACTTTTAAGTTATGTAAAATTAATGTCTTTTAGAAGTCTACTCGAGACAGGAGAAGTCTACTCGAGACAAGAGAAGTCTACTCGGTTGACAAGTTATATGATATAAATGGGAGAAATATCCCTCTGAATCACTTAAATTAATGTCTGTAAGAAGTCTACTCGAGACAGGAGAAGTCTATTTTGTAAAATAGATAAACATAGATAATTTAGGAATTTGATTCAAAACATTCAATGCAATTCAACATTACATAGAAAATAACCCTCTAAACAAACAAACATTTAAGGATCACTAATTATAAATCTTAAAATTGGCATAAGAAATGACTAGTAAACTAAAATCTCTGAAAACTATGTATGCAACTGAAGTCTGCTTGAGAAGTCTGCTCGAGATCGAGAAGTCTACTCGAGAAGTCTGCTCGAGATCGAGAAGTCTACTCGAGAAGTTTACATTCAAATCAACAAAATTCAGCTCTGCAACAATAACGAAAAAATTAGATCTAGAACAAAATCTATAAAATTTATACAACAATAAACTCAGATCTACAAATATAAACTTAGATCTACAACAATAAGCTCAAATCTAAACTAATAAGCTCGGATCTATAATAATAATCTACTATATTTATAACATTCAGATCTGTACAAAAATCAACAAAATTCAGCTCTTCAAGAATAACAAAAATTAACAAAATCTACAAAATTTACACAACAATAAACTCAGATCTACAAAAATAAACTTAGATCTACAACAATAAGATCAAATCTATAATAATAATCTCAGATTTGCAATATGAACACAAAGCAAATAAAAAGAGGAACACAAAAGCTCAGATTTGCTTACCACTACCATAACCTGCAAGTGAGAGGAGGTTGAATGCAAGATAGAGAGGATGGAGAGGATATTGATAGCAAGAGAGGAAGGAGAAGAAATTCATGGCCAGAGAGAAGGGAGAAGAGAGAGAGGCGTTTTTTAGATAAAGAGAGACTTTGTTGTTAATACAATTAGGTTAAACTCTCCTTATATATGTAGGAAAAAAATCGTGTAAGTAGACTTCTCCAAGAAGTCTACTCGAGAAGTCTACTCGAAAAACCGAGAAGTCTACTCGAGAAGTCTCTTAGTATTGATTTTTATCCTAATTTATCTATGATAATTTAAATTGATTATTTTCTGTCAAATTTTATTTTTAATAGGTGTAAAAAGTATATATTTGTTGTTATGTATCTAATTTTTTTTATTAAATTATCTTTTATGATTTTTAAAATTAATTGTAAACATATTATTAAAGAGTAGACTTCTTGGAGAAGTCTACTCGAGAAGTCTACTTAACTTCTCGAGTAGACTTCTCTGGGATAAAATAGTAATTGAGGTTGATGTTTTTTTGTTTGGTCATAAGGGTTAAATTTGTAATTTTACTACTCCTGTGAGTTATTTTTGTCAAACATGCAATAGGGGGTCTAGTTTTGCATTTCAACTCAAGTTTTGAGTCATATTCAGCAATTTCCACAAATTTTAAAGAAAAAATTCCCAAGGCCAAAATGCCCAAATCTTGGGATTCGAATAGGGTTTTATCTAAAAATCTTCCTTCATTCGTTCTTGATTTAGGGTTTTTGCGAGAAAGAAGTTTTCTGAAAAAAAAATTGTAGCATGGCTGAAGAACTCAAGAGTTCTATAAAGACACTGAGAGACCATTTCACCCGCTTCGTCGGTGAAGCAAGTTCAGGAAAATGAGTTTTAAATGATTTTGAGTGAATTAAGAAAGTTGTTATGATCTTTTTATTAAAATTATATGTAAAACTATGAGATTCTTTTTTTAATTAAAAATCATCAAAACTACTTATTTTTTTAAAAAAAATTACTACTTAAATGATAATAGTGAATCTGAAAGTACATTTTAAATTATAAATTCAATAACATAAAGTTTGAAAGGACCTTATAAAATTTCATTTTTGAATAACATAAGTCTTTGTTGTTCATGTTTAAATAATATAAGAATTGTCTTTTCAGTATAAATCACTCTAAAATTTAGTTTGAATACAAATTGTTCTGCTAATTGTTTTGTGGAAAATTTTGTGGCATGATCGATCGATCGAACAAAGTGGCTGAAGAAGTTAAGTACTCTTTCAAGATATTGAGAGGTCATTTCACATATTTCACGAGTGAATTTAAAGTACTATATTGTTTTTATTTATTTATTTTGGCATTTTTAATCATTCTATATTAATCACAAACTATGAATTATCTTTTTCTAGGGCTTCAGCATGTCTAAAAAGAACTTGATGTCACTATTTGCCATGATTTTTGCCCCAAAATCGCAAAAGACTTGCTAGAGCAGAATAGTAACTCCAATGGCTCTTTTTCGATATTCTTTTTGTGCTTTGAGAAACACCACTATCACTATTGTTTACTCTTTTTATAATACTAATCTATATCAATTAAATATATTTGAAGTCTTTGTTACGATTAACATTACGATTTTAATTTTCTTTAGATATCACCATCGAGAATGAAATAGCCATTGTTTGTTCTTTCTATAATACTACAGTAATCTATATTAATTAAATAGATATTTGAAGTCTTTGTTACTATTGATATATACAATTTTTTTTTTTTGTGTGTGAAGAACCGAAAGAAAGAGAATTCAGTAATAAAATTAGAATCAGATTCTCGTGTGGAGAAACAAGGGAAAGAAAAGAGAATAAATAATTCCATTCAAAAAAAAGAAATAGCCGAAAGAACTCTACGAAAAAGAATATCAAGAAGAAGACTCATCAAAAAATGTGTAGCTCACCTTCACCATTACTGAGAAGCAGTGTTGGTGAAACCTAAAACTGATGAACCTAAGATACAAATTTCAATCTTTGCTTTCAAAATCTTTGAAAACAAATAATATTTGTTTATGTCATCATAGGATCTTTGATTTTGCTGGTCAAATTCAATCTCTTTGTCCTAATAAATTTTCATTTATGATTAACTTTGTGTCTTGCAATTATCTATTTTGGTAGGTCGGAGAGTCTAAGCTTCTTCTCAGATGAAGCTTCTATCTAATTCCTCACCTTGATAAATTTTCCTAGGCAAAAGGAGACACTTTTAGTTCCTCGTAATTAAATTTAGCTACCTTTTTATTTTAAATTTTCAAATATTATTTTATAAAAATTTTACGCTAATCATATATATAATTATAGAAAACTCTCTTCAGTGGAGCTATTCACATCAGCAATTTATTTTTATGTTTTACAGGTTTTTAATTTTCTAATTTTTATGGACCTTTTATTTTGTATATATACTTTATAAACCATAAAATATAAATTATTTAACTTTACATAGTATTTTTTGGATATTCATATGACATAATTTAAAAGTTAAAAATAAACACTTATTTTACAAACCACAAAAATGTAAAGTATCTACAAATAAAAATTTTAGAATGTTATTTCAAATAAGAAATAAAGTATCTACACTTATTCATGTGATGACTCCTACTTTTGAATAAACTCACTCTCCAATGTTATTGTTTCAGTTGCTTTCTTGTATCATACCAATACACTTTATTAATTCAGTGGCTTTTATTTGAGTTTTGTATGTAACCTATTGTTTGATCCATTGTCATTTTGTATATTCATCAAGTCATGTTTGAAAGTTGTGATGGTAATTATGTTATTTATTCATTTTTTAAAAAAATGGTGATTATGGTATGTATTCAATTTTTATTTATTTTAAGATAAATGGTAATTATTGTATCTTAAAAAATAAAAAAATTGGAAATAAGATATTTATTTAATTTTGTTTTACCAAAATACCAAAACAAACAAATCAAAATTTGCAGCTCAAACAAATCAATATACAAAGTGAAAAGGCCCATTAGAAGCCCAAGAACTAGGTGAGTAATACTGTATGTATAAAGTTTGGGGATATCCGATATGATAATTTTCTAGGGAAATTTTGTAGAACTCAAAAGTGTTTTAGCGATGGTGATCAAATTCCCAGAGGGGTTGCAGCCTTTCTTCGAGGGTTTATACAATGCGGTGGATGATCCTTCATCAGGTTCGATAATCTCGTGGAGCTGGAACAACAAAAGCTTCATCATCTGGGATTATAGAGAGTTTGAGAGTCAGATTCTCTCGAGATGCGGGTTAATACGATGCAATGATTTCTTAGGGTTTCTCTACGAGCTTCGAAGATGGGTAAGTTTTTTTTTTCTCTTGGATTCGCAAAATTAACTATAGTCATCAAACACTGATTCAAAAATCTCTCTCTCTCTCTCTCTCGCTATATGTGATTTTGATCTGTTGTTGTTGTTGTTTGTAGGGATTTAAAAGAGCGAGGGGATCTCCGCACCGCTTTGAATTTGAACACAGGGACTATTTCAAGAAAGGTCGACCTGATCTTTTGAAGAGGATCCAGAACAAGGCTGTAGCCACGAGTAGGCTTAAATTTCTGGGAAAGGATGGTAGAGAAAAGGAGCTAGCGGATGAATTGCATCATTTACGAATCTGATCATCACAATTCTCTCTCTATCAATTACGAGTTTGATATGTTCACAACCCATCATCATGCTCTTGTTAGTTTCGCTGCTGATTCCTACTTGTGAATAAACTCACTCTCACAATGTTAGTTGTATTCAGTTGCTTTCTTGTATCAAACCATTATACTTTGTTGAGATAATGAGGTTTGGGTCTGTGTTCATGTATATGTTCTTGTTCAAGTACTCTATATATATATATATAGCTCATGTTCTCAAGTTGGCTCTCACGCAGATTGGTTCAACAGGAAACTTGAGAAAAGTGCTTTGGTGACAGCATTGGCTTTGCAAATACATTTGAGAATCTGTGATGTATTCTTTCCCAAAGTGCTTTCTTTTTGAAGTTTCCGTTGTTGTTGTGCCAATGGTGCTTACCATAAGATCCAGCGTTATGCACTTTAGAAGATGAGCTTTTAAGTTGTTCAGCATATGCAGTTGTTAACAGAATGATATTTTACTTTGATTTACGTCATTTTTCATTGATTATTTTTGAGAGGAGGCTTTCGTTTGTTGGAAAATATTATTCTTGCTGCATTCTCTGGGACAAATGTATCAATGCCCTGAATATATCCTTGTGCTTATCATCAATCAAATGCGGGGACTTGCTGCTTAGATGCTCTGCATCACTAAAAAGTGAGGCTTCTAGTAGAATGCAAACATATCTTTGTTCTATTGCTAAAGTTGGATCGGGGAAGAAGATCAGAGCCTAAGCATGATGAACCAGCACACATGTCAATGCTGATGTGCAAAATGACTAGGAGGATGATGATCTGTGGGATTCATGAAGCATGAAACAGAGCATATCAATGATGATACGACATTCTTGTGTGAAGTGGAATCAGAGGAAGACATTGCTATTGCACAAGAGGAATCAGAAGCAGGTAGACTTGTCTTGAGTTCAGGCCACAAGGGGATGTGCTTGTGGTGAACAAAGGGATAGCAATGAAAGCAGAGCTACCATATCGTTTCAGTTGCAATTATTATGAGGAGGCTCCAATAAGTTTTCTCTGTGGTAATGTCTTAAGTACAAAGACGAATTACAGCATATATAACTCACTAAGCTTTTATGTAATATGGTTTCTCGGATAATAAACAAGTGTAAACTCGAAAACTCATAACTCAACTAGTTCTGCTGCGAGCGACTTTGAAGTGGGCTAGTGAGGTTTTGGAACGAACCCATCAACTGCGAAATTCCTAGTGGCTGAAGGAATGGCTAAGCGTACTCCATCTAGCTCTGCTTTTGCTATGACTTGACATCCCAATCTCGACCTACAAACATCATTTTCAGTGAAACATATCAAATGTTTTTCACTGAAACGCCATTTAAAGCATAAGACAGAGAGAGAACTGACGTTTCTGTTAACCCGAAAGCAAGATCCAGCATATCGTTCTCTTCATCTGTTGGTTCTTCGAGTTTGTTGTAGTACTCCGTGTCCTGTTTCAGTTACAGTTCTCAACTATTTCGTAAGAAAACACACAACTCAAGATCAATATATGTAGACGAGACGAGTGATTGTAAGGAAGAGACGGTTCTACCATAACAATCACGTGGCACGTTGAACACGCTAGAGAACCCTCACACGCCCCTGTAGATTCCAATGAACGGATCAATCTGAGGCATTAGTTACTGTCTTTGGGTTAAGCGGAAAAAAGCATATCATCAGACAAAACAAAGCAAAAACAAAGAAGAAGTGGAAGAAAATGGTGCCTTCGAGTTCTATATCATTTTGATGAGCAGCTTCAAGGATGTTCATTCCAATTGGGACCTTGACATGAATCTCCTCTCCATCTTTATCAACAAAGATAACGTTTATCCTGACCAACGTAAAAACAAAAATGAAATGCATGTATGCTCTTACATACAGGCGACACTAGTCACTAGTGGTTTCGAGAGTTGAATGATTCCTGAGATAAATTCGAACTTACTTTTCTGTTTCTTCGCATCCTTTTTCAGAGGCAGTGCTGAAAGATGTACAAAACTTATGACTATTCGACAATAAGGCTTCCTGAAATGTCCTAGTTTGCCTCTCTAGTACAGCCTTGTCAAAAAGAAGGAAGAGCAGAGATTTCAAATCAAGATAAGGCATAAGAAGAACATGAAGCGATTTCGAAGCTAATTCACTTGCATAAGACATCATAATACATCTAAGCTACATAACAAGCCTTTGGTTAGCTCTTTGAGCCAAAACCACACCTTTTGATCACAATTATTGATAGCATCAACTCTAAATAGCTAATCCATTTCACGACATTCGCAGAGCAGACTAAGATAGAATACAACCTTTTTATCTTAACGCTATGATGATTGTGATTGGGAAAGTGATATGTCTAATCGATGAACCTAGTAAGAAGCATATGAAGAATTCAAGGTGCAATAAACTGAGAACAAAGCTCAGACTAACCGAAGATTGCAGATATTGGCCATAAGACCTTTGTAGAAACCGCCTTCCACATATTGAGAAATGGCTCTCTGCTCAATACATAAATAATGGAGTCAAATCACACAGACAATATGTGAGCTTTGCTTTCACTACCAAAAGAAAAATCACAAATTCAATTAACAATTGCCAAAACAAAAATGAGAGATTGAGATATTCAAACTTATTGGAGACAAATACCTCTTGGAAGCTCTTTGACAATGCGAGAAGCTATTCTTGATAGCCTGTGGAAGAGCATGACTTTGGCGCCTCCAAAGGTTAAGCTAAAACCTCGAACTAATTCAAACTACGTAACAGAGAAACATGTTATCCATGAGATTTTACCAGATACTGAAACTATTGAAGAATAACACAGCGAAGACAAAAGACTGTAAACTTATTACAAGACTTTTTGAGTGCCTGAATATGGAGGAAATGGCTAGAAGAGGGTTTAGGGTTCGTGCGTAGAGAAAGACAACCTCAACCTCCTCCGTCGGAGAATCTCAGGTGATTCTTTTCTCTCCTCCACCTTGCTTTCTAAACCGTTCTGGTTTGTTCTTTTTCAATTATGGCGTTCCGACAATTTCTTAAATACCGTACCGAACCGGATCAGACCAATCAAAACCGATACTCATGAGCATTTGTCTAAGTATTTTTATGGGTTGGCTGCCGTCAGCCCCCTAAACTATACATTATCCACTTAAAACCCCCTAAACTATCGATCTCTGCATATTTCCACTTAAACAATTGTTTTTCTGCCTATTCCCTCAAATTCAATTAGAAATTAAAATCGTGATCAATTTACGAAATCGCGTTTTGGTTAAATTGCGTTTTGGAGGGAAATATGCAGAAAACAAATTGTTTGGGTGGGAATATATGGAAATGTAGTCTAGGGGAGAATATGCAGAATTTATTAAGTTCAGGGGGCTGAGCGCAGTCAATTTAATTTTTAAGTTTTTCAAAATATTTAACACATTATTAGCTTAATTATATCTATAATATATATTTGTATAATAACACTTCTTTCTACTAGCACTTAAAATAAAATACGTGTAAAGTAAACCAATTATGTATAGTAAAGTAAATTTAAAAAATAGTTTCTCTTATTAACACTTCAAATATACGTGGAACAATAGGATAATAAATTTATATTAATTAAATCATATCATATCAAATAAATAAGTTGTGTGATATTAAGTAAATCTCAAAATATATTTCATGCAATCCTCCTATTAGCAATTTAAATAAAAATACTCGAACCATGAATGGTGTAGAAGAGGTTTCAACTCTATGTCTAACCACTCACTACTCATATGTATCAATTTAAGCACAAGAGGTACATACATCTAAGTCTGAAGTCTCTAACCTATAATGAAAATACTCGAACCATTTGAATGATAAACTTGCATTAATTAAGATTTTTAATGTCAAGTAAATAAGTCCTATGATATCGAGTCTATTCCAAAAATAGTTTTTCTCTATTAGTATTTCAAATCAAAATATTTAAAACAATAGAATAATATTTTTATGTATGTATAATAATTAATGTTAGTTTTGTTTTTTAATTGTGCTGTCATATTGCTACCACTTTTAATAAAAATATATATTTATTTTATTACACAAATATATATTGTGGATATAATTAAGCTAATCATGTGTTAAATATTTTGAAAAACTTAAAAATTAAATTGACTGCGCTCAGCCCACTGAACATAATAAATTCTGCGTATTCCCTCCTAGACTACACTTTCGCATATTCCCACCCAAAAATTTTGTTTTCTGCATATTTCCTCCCAAAACGCGATTTCGTAAATTGATCGCGATTTTAATTTCTAATTAAATTTAGGGAAATAGGCAGAAAACAATTGTTTGGGTGGAAATATGCAAAGGTCGATAGTTTAGGGGGTTTTAAGTAGACAGTGTATAATTTGGGAGGGGGCTGACGGCAGCCAATCCTATTTTTATATATAAACTTTATCTGATTATTTTTATAGATAAACTATATATAAAATTTTATTTATTTCAAATTTTACAAACCATTTTCTATATTTTGTATTTTACAAGTTTTATATTTTTTATGATGGGGATCTTGGAGGGAAAATGGATTTCTAAATATTGTTATTCTATCAGCGACTAGACAAATGCTGATGAAATAATTATTAACAAATTTAATATAGTTCTAACAAAATGTTAGAGGGGAAATGAGCACATTTCCTAAAAGGCCTTACCCGCAATAACATAAGTCCATCACGATCAGGAAGACCGCGCCGACCTAGCTTGGATTAAAGGAAAAACTCTTAGAAGATAATTATGGAAGACCGAAAACATCGGATTAATCCAAAGGATAAAGGAGAATTTCCTTACTTTTCGGAGAATAAGAGATATTTCCATATTTGCGATATGAAAATATACAAGAAGGCAAAAAGGAAAAGGAGTTCGGAGCAACCGACCTCCCATTCCTATAAATACAAAGGTCCCGAAGACGGAAGGAACAACTCATACAATCTAGAGAGCAGCAGAGCTAAAACCAGAGATTCCTAACGCTTTCTAGTTTACTTCGCAAACTTTCTTTTCACTTCGGCATAACCTCTCGGTTATACCTCTCTTTGTAATTGCTACGCTTTCTTACTATCAATAAAAAGATCTTATTCTCTGAAACCCACAACTGTTAATCAAAACCCTAGTGGTGATTTTCTGGTTCAACACAAAACTAACTACTTTAAATCTCTGTGGTAAAATGGAAAAGAATGATAACTATGCACTTGTAAGAAAGAGCCAAGAAAACCGAAGTAACATCGAATAAAAGAGGAATCCTTTTCCAAGTCTTATATCTTCTCTCGAAATTGAGCAATTTGACTGAAAGTGCGAATCCAGAGAGAAGAAGAGAGCGCAAAAGGCGGCGAGAACAGCAGTAGATCCACCGATCATGTCTGGCTTGTAGCCGAAGGAACAAAGTTCAGTGAATCCTTTGACCGTGCCATGCAACATTGGCTCGATGATGATGCTCTCCACGTCACCAAACTGTGAAAGGATCACTCCTTAACGGGCTAACGTTATTGCTCGGAGTGTGACTAGCGATGAACGGTTTAAATCCTATATGAGAAGAACCAATACGGTGAGTTTTGGGCTTTATATATCTCCATTTCCTCCTCTAGTCTCCCTCTCATTACTCTGCTCGTGACCTCGTGTGGTACTCTGTTCTATGCCGTTTATTTTGGTTTCAATGGAAGTTTACATAAAAGAAAAACAAAAAAGAGCAGAATAATCTAATTATCTAACTCCAACCATCAACGGCTTCTACAACATCTCCATCGATGGCGAAAGCTTTATGCCGAGGAGATGTCAAACCAGATCAAGATTGCATCAGTTGACAAAAAAAAATTTGCATTAAAAACGCTGCACACACGTACTGACGTACAGCTCGTAAACACCTGTCCAAACACCACCGAAGCCGATACTTGGCTCGCAGAAATGCATGTTTCGTTGCAAAAGTCCAACTAAATGGATCATCCAATATTTATGCTTATGTATCATCTCATGTTTTGTGCTTTCGGGGTTTCAACAGCAACCTGACCCATGGGAGATAATTTGTCTGAGGAATCGGATTCAAAGGTTACGTCTTTAATTTCGTCAAACCTTACTGTTGCTCGTTTCGTTTCTTGTGCTCCAAGATAAGCTTAACAAGTTTCAGTTGACATGTTGCTCTTTCGACTTGTTTTCGTTCCTGCTCCTGTTCAAGTACCCACCCTATATCGTATTCATGAAGCATGAAACAGAGCTTGTCAATGGCGATACAAAGCCCTACGTTCTTGTGTGAGATGGAATCAGAGGAAGAGACTGCTACTGCACAAGAGGAATCAAATCAAACCGGCTTTCACATAAACAGAGAGGTCAGTTTTAATGAAGAGGAACCATAAGATATCTTGTGGTATACGGTTTCGATTCGGGTTTCTAATTCCGTTTTTTCAGGCCCAAAAGGGAACAGTTTCGTCGAGCCTGTTAGGAAACAAAGTAAAAAGGCCCATCAGAAGCCCAAAAACTAGGTGAGCAATATAATTTTTGGGGATTTCCTTCTAGGGCTAGGTTGTTTCATCGCCTTGTCTTGTTGTTGATCGTTTTTTTCCGAGATTAAAAATTTCTGGGAGATCTCATCAAAGTGTTTAGCGATGCTGCGCAATTTGCCAAGTGGGTTGCAGCCGTTCTACGCGGGAGTATACAAGGCTGTGAATGATCCTTCATCGGATTCTATGATTCGTGGGGCAGAAGCAACAGAAGCTTGTTGTTTGGGATTATAGAGAGTTTGAGATTAAGATTCTCTCGAGATGCGGGTTGATTCTATGCGCTGATTTCATAGATTTTCTGTCCGAGCTTAAGAAATGGGTAAGTCTTTTTTTTTTTATTATCTATAATCATCTAAACTTTATTCAAAAATCATTCATCTCCCTCTCTCTCTCGCTACATGTGATTTTAATTGTTACTGTTGTTTGTAGGGATTTAGAAGAACCAAGGGATCTAAGCACCGCCTTGAATTTGGACGCAAGGAATATTTTGTGAGAGGTCGACCTGAGCTTTTGAAGATGATGCAGAACAGTGTTGTAGCCAGGAGAGGGCTTCAATTTCGGGAAAAGGAAGCTAGAGGTAAGCTCAGTGATTTGGACGAGCGAGTGCGCAAATTTAGGGAAGACAAGTTAGCCTATGACCGTGCCATGGAACATTGGCTCGATGATGATGCTCTTCACGTCACCAAGCTGTGAGAGGATCACTCCTTAATGGGCTAACACTATTGCTCGGAGTGTGACTAGATATGAGAAGAACCAGTACGGTGAGTTTTGGGCTTTATATATCTCCATTTCCTCCTCTATACTTTGCCTTTCGATTTAATGCTCTGTTTTGGAAGGCATGTCTTCCTCTCATTATTCTGATCGTGTGGTACTCTGTTACTGTAGTCTATTCTATGACGTTTATTTTAATTTTAATGGAAGTTTACATAAAAGAAAAACAAAAGAGCAGAATCTAACTCCAACCATCAACGGCTTCTACAACATCTCCATCGATGGCGAAAGCTTTAGGCAGAGGAGATGTCAAACCAAATCAAGATTGCATCAGTTGCATAAAAAGCGCGGCAAACGGAATTAGGTCATGTAAAAGCCAGTTCCGTTTTACCACACATCAAGCAAACTTAACGTGAGAGACAAGGAAGGTCTCATCAAGGGTTTTAGGTGAGTTATTGGATTCATTAGGGGCAAAATCAAATCGAGGCTGCGTATGAGATCGAAGAGGTTAAATTTGCACTTTGCAGCAGGAGTGAAAGGGACACTCAGTGCAGAGCCTGCCCTGGCTTTTGTAAGGCCGCAAGCTCTAAAAAATATTTCAAAAAACCAAAAAAAATTATTTGCAACTCTAAGCATCGAATTCATGATAATTAACAATGAAAACATTTTCACTAGGTTGTATCAATTAGAAAATGATGAAATTGTTTACTTCATTTTTTAACAAATGATACATACAATAGATGCAAATGTTTACTTCATTTTTTAACAAATGATACATA